TGAACACATCATTCCCTCGTGGGAGCGGCAGGGACACGGCGCGCGGGTCTTGTTAACTCATTATTTTCCCTTTTCCCTTTTTTCTTTTTTCTTCTTTTTTTTTTGGCGGGCTGTCAGCTTTGGCGTTACCATGGTACATGTAGGGGTCGGGTTTACACATCATTTGGAGGAAAGGAAGGGTGTTTCAGCGCGAGGGAAGCTTGTCAAGAATACGCGGACAGGGTGCGGTCAGCAGCAGCAGCGCAGCAGCACCTCACGTGTGCATGCAAAGCACACGCATATCAGCACACGCACAGAATGCGAACAGAACGGGTCATGACGACCAGGCGCGGCAGGGCAGAAGAAAGTGGTGGACCAGACATGTTTCAACAGTCTGCATTGGGCTGGTGGTGGTCATATGTGATCAAATCCCGTCCCACGCGCCTCGATAGGCAATTGAACCATGCACACCGGTCACTCACTTACATAGAAATATGTCCAGTATCTTCGCAGATGTCAAACAAGTCATAATTCGCTGAGCTGTCTATCTACAATTTGGTCTTGAGTGATTTTCCCTCCGACAAGCCTACATGTGCCACTTGATTCCTCCGTCACACACATGTGTACAGGGCGCACATACATACACCCCACACACACACGCACACTGCACTCGCACGCGCATCTCGTGCTCCTCTCCCTCACCGTCTGGTTGCTGCTGACCGCCTCGTGAATAGAATGAACGATGCTCGCTCCAGTCCGCCCCCCCGGCCTGTGAGCAGCAGAAGCAAGGGCAAGGCAGAACGCCGCGTGCGGAATGCACAAAACACCCATGTACACAAAAAGCCACAGACAAGCTCTCATATGGAAGCCGCAGATCATGATGAGCTCAAGGCACACTCACTGGACACGGCCCGAGACGAGTGCCCTGATTAGTTAGTCGGCGGCCTCATCCGCCATTCGCCCGCCGCCAAGACCACGAATCACTCCAGCGCGAGCGATATGCTCGTGACGCACCCCGCGGGCGGTGGGTGACCTGCTTGTCCTGTCCTATCCTGCCCGACATATGGCACTCTGTGATTTGACTGCATGGCGTTGGTCGGGCGTGCCACTTGATCAATCGTTGTTTGCCCGTATTGATCCCACAGAGAGACACCGCATGCGTGTACAGATGCACAGAGCGGCAACCGACCGGCCTTACGAGTTGCTGAACAGAGTCTAGGAGGATTAATAATACGCCTACCGGGCGCTAGTCACCACAGTATTGAACCTAGAAGCCAGCAGCAAAGCCACATGATGAAGAAATGCGAGCATCCCGCGCGCGCTGAATGCCGGCGCGAGGCGCTACTGCAGGCCACCACCCACCAGTGGCCGCAGCAAATCCTTGTCGAGCGACGACTTCGAGCGTGCCGCTCATGTTCGCCCGCCCGCTTCATATAGATTCTTTGGAAATGAACAAGGCCAGAAAAAGAAGCCATTGTAATCAACGAGTTCCGCTCCCGCGCCGCTGACTCGCCGTTTAAGACATCTCGCGCGGAAACGTGTTCAGCCGGCGGCGAGACAAGACAACTTCTTCGGCATGGCGGTGGGATGAGACACTGGACAGGAGAGATGTCTCGGATCGGGACTTTTTCAGCGAATGAAGAAAGCTGAGGCTGGAGGCGACGCCACGAACTGCTGTGTTCTAGTCATGTCGTGTCTTGTCTTTATGGTGTCAAAGAGCAACAAGGTCACCGTGAATATTTGCTTGTCCCTCATTCTGCGGTGCAATATCGCTTCCACAGGACAAGCAAGGTATCCACAGGCTTCACTTCATGGAATTGTAGCCTTCAGGCTTCGTGGGCAAGGGGTGCTCGCGGGCGGATCGGCCTTCCGCAGCCCCGAGACCTGTCATTTGCTTGTTGCTCGTCTGCGACCCAAATGCGCGGTCCCTGACGAATACTGTCGTTTCATGCGCTCCAAAGTCCAGAGCGCAGGAGTGGCTGTCCTGAGGTTGCCCCATACATGGATAGTCTCACGGTCGACGCAGGCGAGAGAGTTTTCGGGCGCCCGTCCATCGCCATGTCCATGTTGTCTGGCGAACACGCACTGCACGACGCACAGGCCCCTATGCACGCACAATGGAGGTATCTGGTGCGGACAATGGGGGAAAGTATTTCGTATGACTTTGGTCTGAAAGGCTCCCAGTCTCCACGGTCGCCATGTCGGACTCGACCCATCCATCCGCCTTGTCCAAGCTCTTCTTCTCCACAGAAGCTGCCACTTCTGCTGCAACCATGGAGGGGTGTGTCCCTGCTCGATGAGGATTCACACTTTTTTGAGTTTGACTTTGACAGACGTGCGTACGTGATAGGTAGGGGAGTGGAGTTTTCTTCGGACACGAGCTCGGCCGACTCCACGGCTTTCCGACATGGACGTCAGGCAGCACGCATTGAAGGACGGTCATCTGATTCGACAATTGATGTTTCTCGGTGAGTCGGTCTGATCGAGAGCCGAGCCAACATGAACATGATTAAACTCGAACGGTGAGCAGGGTCGGATCCTCTGCCGCCAGGAAGACCCTGCGGCCGACACATTGTCGGTCGATATGAGACCGAAGTCCAGCCCTGCTCGGTCTGGCCCCAGTCGTCAGCAGCAAGATTCTTGTTGATGACACGATGCCGATCGAATTGTCAGGGCGTCCCCGGTTTCATTGACGAGCGATCAATGCTCGCTTAAACGAGGGGTCATTGCGTCGTTCATTCACGTTGTGACGAATGCATCCATCACCTCGACGCAACGCCCTCCTTCCGAAGCTTTTGGATCATTCCAGGTACGCTGCACCCAGCGACACAACAGGCAAAGGCTTGCTCAAATAATGAAACGGCGGCGCAGAGATCGACGATGCACCGGCGCATGTACGCACTCCGTACCAAGGATGCTCAGGTGCCATTGACACAGATGGCTCCTGCAACTTGGCTGCAAGTTCATTGCATGTGCCGACGTGCAGGACGTCATGCACTGTCATGTCTCGGTTGGCGTCCTTCCGGTCGCAGTCTGGGGGCCAGACAATCGTCAATTGAAAGCCGCTGATTCGTGCTGCTGCCGAATTGATGCCTAAATGCTCCAGACGAACGCGAGGAGGACCATCCCGAGAGACCAAAAGACTGTCCATACTGTAATACTTACGAGAGAGGCCGCCCGCGCAAGCTCATCTTGGACGACAACTGCCGCAATTGGAAGAAGAAGAAGGTTCGAGCCACCGGCCCATCATGTACAATGGCCGCCTGTCTTCTGCAAGAGGATAGACGGAGCTGTCAGACTGCCAGGCACGGGGAATGGGGATGTTCCTCCCGGTCAGGGGTCGTGGGAGCTGTTTGTCCTGGCCCCCCCCCCCCCAGGACCATCCGCAGCGGCCACAGGCCACATGACCGCCGGCCCTGTTTGCAGTCCTTGATCCATCGAGAGCGCCTTGCCACGAAAATGCTGACAGCCGACGGTCGGGGTGTCGGAAGGGGACGTGGCCGTGTAATGGTGCGGCAGGCGACATCGTCAAAGACAACGCTATCGAGTCGCGAGCCTTTGGATTCATCAATGTCCCAGCCTGGGCCTCATTCATCAGCCAAACGTGTGGGAAATCGACTGTACAACGAGGCTCGGCAATCTTTCCACTCCTCTGTGACGACTGTCACATCCGATCTTGGCAGGTCCCTCGCGATGAAGTTGCATGTGGTAGCGTTGGTCGCGCATTCGAGACTCGAAGCAACGTTATGTGCAGTAAACATGAACATGGACCACCCACGTTTATTATATATAGTGAGGCTGCTCCCCGACGGCAGCAGGGATGATGAGTGACCAGAGCAAGCACGCTGATCACATGATTCTTTGATGAGCACCTGGTCCCTATGCAATGCCGATCCTGATTGCCTGCTGCAGCTGCCAAGGAGTCTGACAGGTGTTTGACAGGAGGTTGACAAAGCAACATGAACATTCTGCCGCCGCTCAGGCCACAGCCCAAGACTGTCAGTCGGTTGACATGTACATGTAGACCATCAGGGTCAAGGCACGCAGGCAATGCCCTGTCAATAATGAAGCTGCGGTCCTGCGAGTGTCTCGGGCACGGATGCATCAGCAGCAGCAGCAAGTACAGATACATACATGTGCTTCTGTGGCATCGTGCATGTGAATGTGATGCGCAAAACACACTGCCAATGACTAGGCACGGGGCGGCCCGAGACACTGGTTCATTGCGGCGGTGGTTATCTCCAGAATCTCCACCAACGACCAACAGCCTCACAGAGTACTTGTACTATGTACAGACTCGTGATTCACGCCGTCTGGGGTGCCAGACGTGTGGCTGTTGGCTATGAGGCACAGTCGGCGATAAAGAACGGTCATAAGGTGTGCACTCCAATGAGCCTGTTGGTGATCATTGGCAAGGTGTTCCTAACGGTGCCGACTCGACGAGGTAAGCGGCTGGCTGCGCTTTTTACGGCAATGGCGTGATGCTTGAATGGTATAATTTCATTCTGACAACTTCGCGAACGACAAAAAACCCATGTCTATAGCTGCAGTTTGCCCCACGAGGCGATATGATTTTGATTTTCGGCCTCGAATGTCATGGTCTACAAGCACACTCCCTCCTGCGCCCGCTGGACATCAGGTATGCTTCTTGGACGCCCTGGCGTCCCATGGTGCAATGACTGTACCGTCGGGGAGAATTTCCTCCGTCGCTTGTACCTGGGCTAGAACAAAGGGGTATATGAGGTCGCATAGCATTGTGACGCCAACGATGGTGCAGGATGCTGGCTGAAGCACGAACCCATGTGCTTCAGGCCAGTACCACCACAGTAAGAGCGTCGTGACGGGCAAGCCCATCATTGTACCCACGAAGCGACAGAGCCTACAAGCGAGGGTTGAATTAGTACAGGTCAGAAAGTCGGCTTGCGTAGCGCAGTGAATGCGCGATCAGAGGATCGGCGTCTGGGGAAACGGTGATGCGTTGGCCAAGCGCCAACACCCCTGTGTGATTGACTTGTTTGACATCAGCCCCCAGGGTCTACAGCCCTGTCAAGAATGTCGAGCATTTGCACACCATGCACATCAGCCAGCAGAACCGGCCAGAGACTCACCATATCGCGTAGCTTTGGCCACCAGAGTGCCCTCGCTGGACAACCATGGACAATGCGCCTACGCTGAACAGCATTTGCGCCACGCCTGCGGTCCAGTAGCTCAATTCGGTCGTGTCTCGCGCTTCGAGCTCCTTCCAGGTCTTGCCCCATTTGATGCCGTAGCCGCGATGCGGCTCGGCCAACCACCAGTACGCAAAGTACGCGAAGGACGCGGCGCCCACGACGAACGTGAGGCCCACAATCCTAAAGACATTGCGCGCCACCATGGGCTGTGACGCGAAGCTGGCCGACGCGTACTTTGCCGTGACAAGCAGGACGGGAATGTCGAATAGAAGCCAGAGCATGAAACCGAGATGTTCAAGCTAGGAGTCGCACACATAGGCGACAAAGACACACTCCCGCGCGAGATTGACGCAAAGGGGGAGAAGAGGGACGGGCGTCGCTCGCGTCGCGTGGGCGCGATGCACCATGAGGACGTACGCGACGAGCCAGAAGAACACGCCGGTGCCGAGGCATCCATTCGCAGCGTCAGTCAGCCAAGGCGGCGTGCTGGAGGGCGGTACGTCGCTCGAGCCCATTTTGTCGATATCAGCTCGCGTCAGATGTAATTGCTAGGCGAGCGACGTAGTGGTGCGGGAACGTCTGGTCGTACACACAAAGGGCCTTCACAATTGGATCCCCAGAGCTTCTGGGCCGAACCAGCCTACCATACATATGAAATGCAAGAATGGAGGGCAGGATATCGGTTCCGGCAGATTCTTGCCTTATCCTCCGTGCTGACGCGACGGTGGAAAGGGATCGTACGATGGCAGGCCCAGCTCAACTTCCTTTCAAAGTCATTCAATCAACTTGCCTACCCTACGTCCTTGTCCTGTCTGCGATATGACCAGGCTGAAGGTTCAAAGCATTATCAGTCCCTCACTATCTGGAATGGTCAATACCGTCAGTAAATACCGTATGATCCGATCACTTGGGTACTGACTGACTAGAGAAACAGCTATATTTGATGTGGGAATTTCATGTGTCCATTCATGTGCTATTCGGTTGTTTTGGGTTGTGAAAAGTCCAAACTTCAAAGATCCCAATGTGGCTAACATCATGTCATTACAATTGCATGAACTGCTTCGCGACTTCAACCTTGGCTTTAATTCACAGACAGTTGCCGCAGAGCACACTGTCCACGCAGGCAAACGGCGCCCCCCAAACCCGGGCCACTTGGGCCCCCGTAAGCCTCTGGATCTCCGTGGAAGGATGGTAATTATCATGCCATAGCTACCACGGTCAACAAATGTCTTTTGCACAGCGAGGGGGGGGGGGGGGGGGGAAGACTTACACATCCGCCGTCTGTGCTAACGCACATTGCGTCCGGCGCCCCATATCTCTGTGGGTTGTTGATCGCCTCGTTGAAAGGAGCGTGTGTGTCCACGACGACCCCACGCACGCCTTCGTTGGCAGCCTTAAAGTCATCCAGAAGAGCTTCGACGCGCAAGTTGAAATCCGCAATGGCATCAATCATAGGCTGGCCGTTGCCTGTCATTAGAGGGGTCTTGTCGGTTGCTGCATCATGGTCAGTTCATCCGCCGCAGAAAAGGAGAGCAGGGGGGCCATTCAAGGGATATGGGAACGTACGCGGCACATTGAGGAGGAAGAAGTCGCGCAGACCAGCGTCGTAGAGGATCTGGAGTTGATCAGAGTAGACAGCCATGATGCTGTCGTAGATATCGTCGCGGGTGGCCTCCCACCATGAGTTGCCAATGTCGTTCACGCCGATCCAGATGCCGACGATGCTGCTGTCCGCGGTCCACGGGGCAAAGTCGGGCTGGGGGACGAGGTTGTCGGAGAAGATGGCGACCTGCTCCTTGAAGCTAACGACCGACGGGTCGTAGGGAGCAATAATATCCGAGTCTACCGTTGCGCCGCCGTAGGCAAAATTGTAGGAGAGGACGGTCGAGGTGTTGTACAGGGACACCATGTAGCCGACCCAGTTGAAGCCGCCGGACGACGTCCATCCAGGCAGAGGAGGATTCCCAAATGGATTTGCTGCTGAGGGCTTCTCCCTTGAGATTTCGAAGCCTGTCTGGGAGTACGAATCGCCACTGAGAAATGTCAGACTCGGTGCGCCTCAGCGAGCGGGAAACGTGAGGTTACAATGTGAACAGATACGTCACATCTTGGGCAACAGCGGCCCCGAGAAAGGCCGTCAACAAGGAGAGCGGCTTGTACATGTTTAGGGAGGGGGGTATAAATGTAAATAGTCAAAAGATGTTAGCGAGTGCAGGATGTGACATCCATGCTGGCAGCCGCGGAAGGTACGTCAAGACATCTTATACAACTCTCGACGGAAACTCAATCCTCCGTTCGCCCGGCATACCGGGACAGTATTATGCATTGTCTGCATTTAATATCGCCTAGAAGCCACTCAAGAATCGGCAGTCTCCAATCGATGCGACTCCGTCTCCAGGAAGGGGCAACGCCGTCCGGGAAAAGTGGAGAACACGGAGGGAAGTTGTGCGGATGCCCAAACGGGCAATTGGACACAGACACGGAAGTATATAAGTACTAGTCTAGTAAGTAGAATCGACTGGTATATATGGCCGTACATTCTGAGGCCGGTCATTCCAGTAGCTGCGGTTCCATCAACCAAACTCCTCTGCTGTCCGGCAGCCTAGATGCCAGTGATCACGAGGGGCGCCCATGGGCCACATGGCGACAAACAATGTCTAATCTGGAGCGCAGACTCTGTGTCGAATCCAGGTCGGCCAGGCCAGAGTCTGCATCAAGGTCTGGAGCAAAGGCCTGCTCACGTCAAACGCATCTTTCAGCGCCCCCTTGTCTCCACCCATGTTGATCTTGCCCTGGAATCGCTCATCTTCGCCGAGATATGTGTAGAATGTTGAGCGCATTGTGTACAGAATGTAGCATATGTCATCCATGACGGCCTGCAGGGAGGTGTAGATGAGATCATCCTCGAGGCTCCAGCGCTCCTGGTCGATGAGGACCGGCTGGAGATAGTGGTCGCTGTATCGGTTCATGGCCGCCTCGGTTTCGTTCCGAGCCTCGTGGTTGTGTCCGACATCACTGTCTTTGATCCCCGAAGCATACAAATAGGTCAAGGTCAACGATTCGAGTTCGCTAATGAACCGGGATACGGAAATGTTGTCAGACCCCATGAGCGCGAAGCGGTCAGCATATCGCGCGACTACCATGTCGACGACCCCTTGCCAATGGACTGTGAACCGTCTTGCTTGCATTGAGATATCTTGCAAATAATCCTTGATGCCCTTCGAATCCAGCTCCGAGGCAGCTGCCAACCGGATGAGATCCGGTCTCTCGTCTGTTGTGCTGCTGATGTTGATCGGGAAGAAGAAACCCGAGACAATGGACGAGAAGTCAATGCTCAGTCGATTGCCTCCAAGACCGTCATATCTTTGCCCGGCTGCGCGCACCCCTGGAACGTGGACAAGCCATGCTCGTATAGTCTGTCGTTCTCGTAGAATGTTTGCAAGCTGGACACCTGCTCGAGGCCGTTGTCAAAGCCACATTGGATCATTTCGAATCCAATCTCATCCCGAACCAGGCCATCATACCCCTACGTGGTCACAATGTCGCAAAGGTCGTTTGCCCTCTCCCGCTCATCCATGAAACCGTTGTCGGTGGTCGACTTGGCGCGCAAGAGAAGGTCTTGAGAGTCGAGAGTCCCGAGATCCGTCTTGCCAGCCGACATGCCATCAAAATAGAGCACATTGAGGTCTCTCGTGGCAACATAGGTGTGGAAGTAGCCGACCTGACTCCCAGTGGGCCCTGGATGGCCTTCGTAGGGTGGCATCAGAGGTTTCCGGGGACCTTCAGCTTTGTCGAAGCCATCTGGTCGGCCCATGGGAGGTGGTCGCTGATGCTCTCTCCGAGATTTTCCAAAGTTCTCGGCGTGCTCAATCTCAAAAGCGAGCCGTTCCGGTTCGCTGGGGGGCTCTGCTTGACGACCACCGTGGTACAACACGGTGCTCCTGGGCACGACAGCTGGGTAGAACCCAAAACCATTGTGTACCACGCTGGATCCCCATTGCCGCCCTGCAGAATGAATTGAACACATGGAAGGCGTTGTCACTAGCAGCTTGGTAGCTTGGCTCCATTGGGGCATGTTCTGATGCAGCCAAGGCCACGAGCGCCATCGCGCCAGGGACGATGGACCTCAAACGAGCCATATCGGTGATACCGCAGTTGTAAAACTGCTGGCGCTGAGACTAGCTGGTGAGCTTCCCAAATACTCAGATGTCATGGGCACGTTCTGGTAAGGAGTAGGTCGGAGATTCAATGCACCTCCGACTCCTCGGTCGCCGAACTCGGCACAGCCCCATGAGAACTCGTCACCGACGCTGAGTGCTGACGCACGCAGCCTCCAGCCGTTAATTACCTCGCAAAAAATGGCACATGAATTGCGCGTACGGCAGTTTGGCCCAGTGCAGCTTGACTGGATGTGCGTGGATCAACCGCATGTTTGGCGATGCTCTTCTCAATGCTTCCATGTACCCTTGACATACCGCTCACTCTGCTCTAGCTCGATATCTTGCAACGGGAGAATGCTCATCTCGCTGTCATTGTCGGCCTCCGCGGCCACGGTTCGCAACTGTGTGCCCTTGACGTCGCGGTTGCTCTGGAATCCGTTGTGTTCGTTCGATTGCAAGTATCGGCCAGCCGTACGAGAGCTGGACGACAAGTAGGTCTTTCTCACATCGCGGACCAAGATGCGCAGGACGGGAATAGACGCTGCAATGAGCGCGGCGTTGGGCTCTGCATGGACCAATATGCTCAGCCTGGCGAGCTTGTAGGAGACTGCGCGGACTGGGATCAGCAGTTGCAGAGTAGTCTTAGGGAGACGGGGAGAGGCACAGTCGGTACCGACAGTAGTCGCCACTCTGGGAGCTTCGACGGCTTTCATGATAGCGACGGCACCAGCACTACGGTCGAGTCAGACTGTTCTTTGGGTGATCACAGAGTGGACACCTTCGACTCACAGTATACCGATGGCCATGGCGGCTGCCATGCCAATCTTCTCACGCCGGACCATCTGCAGCTTCCAGACCACCGCTGCTGGGACCAGGGACAACACAAGGTCGCCAACCGCGGATATGACTTTAGGTGACGATCAGCCTGCGGACATGATGACATGAGGAACGGGGAAAAACATACTTGACCCTATCATATTCATCCAAATACCACTGTCCATGGGCCAACGCGGCGCAAAGGTGTACGAGTCCTCCACGCCGCAGTTCGCCCTCCAGACGAGGACGGCATGGCTCATGTAGGCGGCATCCGTGACGACAGTCACCACAACAACAACCCAATGCAGCCACCCTGTAGCGAAGCCATACAGCGTGAGTGTAAACGAGGTCTTGATGAGGGCCAGGGACAACTTCATCGACGAGTCACTCCCAAGGTTCATGGGCCCCGTGACAGGACTGCCCAGAGCGGTGACAAGGTAGCCATCGTGAAAGATACATGTTTGCAATATCAGCGCGTTCATCAAGAATACCCAGCCCGCTATGAGGAGGTAGTCGTCCCATCAGGACTTGGCGCGCGATATTCGACAGTACAAGCGGAGGGCTAGGAACACTGTCGATGTGGATGGCATCACCCATATAGACACGAGGACCGTCGTCGTCACGGTAGGATCGCCTGTTGGTAATGGATAGATCATACCGGGTTCTGCCGACGCATCTGTCCTAGTGCTCGGTGTATGCGCTGCCATGTTGGCGATTCAGTCGTGGATCTGGCGATCGAACCCCAGTGACGGACGGACAAGTGGCCGAGATTGCGGAAAGGTACCAGAATGGATCAGAATGCACCCAAGACTTCCCCGGACAGCACGAGTAGCCTGAGAGTGCGAAATCCAACATTTATAGTGAATATATATTTACGCTCGCGTAGGTACAAAATCGTGCGTGGCAGCGGCAATGCTGCTCGTAGTTACATGATGCCGCACCTCTGGTAGGTACATCATGAATTGCAAGCGAGCCGTCCGCACCAAGACGTCCCGCGCGGAAGGGCTTCGAACTATCGAGCAGGACATCCGGGTCGCCATCCACAAAGCAATACTTGCTCGTTCCTGCGTGGCTGGCTGCTACAGCGATTGGACCGGACGGCTCATGTTGGCTTCCAAGATTCACCCGTGCCGTGCTCCCCCCCCTTGCAAGTGGATACAATACATGCACATGTGCGTGCTTCAATCTTCAGGCAAATTCCTGGCCAACAGGTCGGAAGGGTCGTCCGCCTCGGGTGAAAGGCTTCCCTGTTGTTTCGCGACACCCCCCATCCTGGCTTGCGTTGCGAACATGAACTTGCGATCTTTTTTGCAGCCTTCTCGAGATGATCCGACAGGCACAAGATCGAGCATGGTTCACGCAAACGCTCAAGGGCAACTTCTCGGTTAACACAAAGATGCAGGCATCAATTTCCAGCAGTAGACGGTTGAGACTAGGATCTTGTCTTGGCAGCTCTGTGATAGTATACGAGTACGACGGTCGTCAATATGAAGTATTTACAGGACCATCCCACCACCCACATTGGGTTGCCCTCGAAACCCACATAGAGAGCAGGTGCACTCCGGCTCTAAACCCTTTGACACTCTTTGATCATTGGCCTGTTTGAGATGATGCGAGTTCTGCATGGCTGTTCTCTCCCCTTTCTGTTGCTCCTCAGCGCGGTGGGAGTCACGTCTCAGGACCTGTCTCGTTCCCTCAGCGAGAAGGACAGAGTGGGAGTCCGGGTGGTGAGTCGTTGCTAATTCCATGGCTGGGACCATGGAAGAGAATGTCAGATTCCCCGGGATACATATGCTGATAGCCCAGTGCCGCGCGTTGAGCAATGCTGGCCTTTCGGAGGTACTGTACTACCCCGAGGATGATGAGTACGCCTCAACACTCAGCTCCTACTATTCTGCCGACGTTCAGGACATCAATCCTCGGTGCATCTTGCAGCCGCGCTCGACAAGACAAGTGTCGACGGGGCTCAAAGCTCTGAGCGAAGAAGATGGGAAGTGCTGGCTCGTTGGAATCCGCAGTGGTGGCCACTCGCCTTTTCCGTCCAACAACGTCCAATATGGCGTCACTATTGATCTTGGTGCCATAGACGAAGTGGACTATGCGCCAGGACCGAATGGAACCGCTGAGGTATGTTTTTATGCGTGCCATTAGTTTCCCCCGCAGAGATCACTGAAACCCATTGTCCAGGATCGTACTGTTGTCGTGGGAAGCGGTGCTCGTTGGGGCGAGGTATACCCCACGCTTGAAGCACAGGGTGCAATGACAACTGGTAGGAGAGAAGGCCATGTCGGCGTTGCCGGGTTCCTGCTCGGCGGTGGTAGGTCCATGCCCTTCGGTTGTCTTTGTCATCTCGCTCAAACGTCTGATAGGATTCTCGTGGTATTCCGGAAAACTGGGCATGTCTGCAGATAATATTGTGAGCTACGAGGTGAGTTCAATTACAAATATTGCCGGGCACGAAGTTGACCACCGGACAGGTTGTCCTGGCTGATGGTACCGTCGCGACGGCAGATGCTACAGAGAATGCCGATCTCTTCAAGGCCTTGAAGGGCGGTATGAATAACATTGGTGTCGTGACACACTTCGAACTCAAGACATTCGCCTCACACCACCTCTTTGGCGGCGTCATGACATTCCCGATAGCTTAAGCTCCAGCCATCGCTGACAGATTTGTCGGCATGGTCGACAACAGCCGCGTGAACCCAGCAGAGACGAGCTTTGTTTCGTACTCCTGGACACTTGAGACTGGCTCGTCTGTGGCTTTCATCACTGCGAATACGGATGCTATCAAAAACTCCGCCTCGTTCCAGGGACTTGAGGACTTGGGTCCTCTGGTCGATTTCCGCATGTCGCAGCCCGTCACTGGAATCGCACTGCGAATGCAAAGCACTCCCGGCCTGTACAATATCTGGTAACACTCACGTTCCAAAACACAGTCGATATGGGCCTCAAGTTCCTAGAGGTCTTTAATTCCCTCGTCGCCGGCATTCAAGGCGACATTGACGAGTCCGTCAATATCATCTTCGTCATGACGCCTTTGCCGACTACATACAAGAAGGGCGGCGACAACATCCTCAGCCTGGAAGAGACCCTCACCAAGAACTCCATCGTAGTACAGCTCGAAGCGCTGATGCCTTCGGACAAGTACAAGTCTTTCTTGGCAAACAAGCTGCGCGATGCCACCACCGCGGTCCAGGCGTATGCGGAGAAAACGGGGCAAGACAACAAATGGCTCTACGTCAACTACGCAAACCGCGAGCAGGACCCTTTGGGCACATATGGAAAGGGGAATCTTGACCGTCTTGAGAGGATGGCCAAGAAGTACGACCCCGAGGGGTTCTTCCAGGACAGGGTCACTGGCGGGTTCAAAATTACAAGACGTAGCTAATCTATGTTGCATACGTGTGCACACTTGGAAATCAATCAAAGAGCATGTCTTCGCTGTACAATAGCCTTCGAGAAAGCGTCCAGTCGGAGCTTGCTATACCTAGCTGCGCGGATGGCACGCAGGAAACTGAGGCTAGAAGGAATGCATGAGAAGTCAGAAAGAACCATACATATCATTCAGCAGTCTTTGTGGTAATCATGGCCGGTCGTGGGAAAACAAGGTTCCCCCTAATGCCCAGCATAGAGGGGCGGCTACCACAACCATTCGATCAAGGTGGCGTGTAACCATCCCGTCACAGCAACGTGCCGACCATTCAGCTCCGTTTCTTCCATTACTTCTTACGTCAATGGCAGGTCAAGCAAGCAGGCAGTGCCAAAGCGCTTACACAGGCCAGTGTGTTCTCACGGCCAGAGCCTCAAGTTCTCATGCACCCGGCCCCGATAGCATCAAAACCTTCATGCTTCGAGTTGCATCTTCATCATGAGAGACGCAATGTCTGATGGAGCGGCATCGTCGGGTGAGCCTGGCCGTTTCAGGGCCAGTGAGTCGCATCACCATAAGCGACGCATGAGCCTTGTGGCCAAGGGAAAATCACACTTTGGCCCTCCTCTCACGGTACTTGAAGCTGCTCCCCCCCCTGTCTCCGTGGGATGAACGAGAGCGCTGAGTTCTGCAGACCTTGTACCTGGGTATGTCCGTCTCGCTGACAGATGACGGCGACACGGCGAACCTGTCCATAGCCGCACACGACGCGACATACCTCCTGGACTCCTCCGAGGGATGCGTCCGTCTGCGCTCGCACGATCAGAGTGACCCGATCACGTCCAAGGACCCCATCGCTGAGCACGTCATCCCCGCTCTGGAGAAATATGAGAAGGACAACTTCTTCAAATTCATCGGCGCCGGTATACCGATTGCGCTGCACGAGCTGAGTCCCACGTTGTGCTCGAAATTATGGCTGGAGCTGGACATTGTGCCCATCGTCATGGAACCCGAGGGCGCGTCTCGACACAGCGGATTGTGGAATGTCAAGAGTCTCGACGAGCAGGCCGATTCCATGGGTCGCAAATGCATCATGTGAAGTCAAGCCCTCTCTCCCGTGCATCGGACACGCTGACAATAGTCCTCAGGCACTTTGGCCCATCACTAGCTCCCCTATTGCATGTAGGCTTCAAGGGCCGCGTCCAGACAGATGCTGCATTCCGGGCTTGTCTGACAACCCTGGAAAACCACAGAGATACGTGTGGCCCAAGGACCTGGGACAGCATGCTGCACTTTGCTCGCCAGCTCAACGACGGCAACACGCGGATCGCCTTCTTCAGCAGCACGCCCCAAGGTGGTGGCGTGGCTTTGATGCGCCATGCGCTGGTCCGCCTCTCGCAGCTTACGGGCGTTAATCTGCGCTGGTACGGTGAGTTGTCTCGAGTTTGCTGTCCCCAGCACGCGGCGGCTCTGACGGGGAACAGTGCCCAAACCGCGAGCAGGCGTCTTCCGCATCACCAAGAACATTCACAACATCCTCCAGGGCGTAAGCGAGCCTGGAGTGCATATTACAGACCAAGAGAAACAACTCATCGTAGATTGGATCGTCGACAATGCCAATCGATACTGGCTCTGTCCAGGAGGTCCTCTCCGACCACCAGAAGAAGGCGGTGCACATGTCATAGTCGTGAGTGCTCTCATCTTACTTTTTAGCTTTTTCTGAGTCTTCGGTGTTTAGGTCGATGATCCTCAGATGCCGGGACTGATCCCCGTCATCAAGAAGTTGACGCCTGAGCGCCCTGTGTTGTATCGCTCTCACATCCAGATCCGCTCCGATCTCGTGGCCAAGACCGGCTCGCCCCAAGAAGACGTATGGTCGTATCTTTGGGAGAACATTCGCCACGCAGACATGTTTATTTCGCATCCAATACCCGGTTTTGTCCCCAAACACGTGCCAAGGGAGAAAGTGGCATACCTGCCTGCGACGACCGACTGGCTGGATGGCTTGAACAAGCCATTGAACCGGTTTGACACAGGATACTACGGACATCTATACGATATGCAATGCCATGAACATAGAACGTATGTACCAGTTGCCTGGTTCTTTTCGCGGGAGATTGGTTAGGCGCTAACAACGTATCCCAGGGCTGAACTTGCGTGGCCAGCTCGTATGTATCGTTCCCTAGAGGGACATGGAATGAAGTACTGACAACTGTAGGAAAGTACATTGTACAGATCGCGCGCTTCGATCCATCGAAAGGCCTGCCTGATGTCATTGCCTCTTATGGAGAGTTCCGCCGTCTCTGCAAGCAGGACGGTGTCATCGACCCTCCCCAACTTTGCATGTGAGCACCACTTCGAACCGCCAGGCATAATGGATGAATCCGTGGTAACCAGATGAACTTAGCTGTGGTAATGGATCAATCGATGATCCCGACGCATCCACCGTCTACGACCAGACGATGACGCAGCTCGAGACTGACTACCCAGATCTAGTCCCGGACTGCTCCATCATGCGACTCGAACCCAATGACCAGCTTCTGAACACCTTGGTCGCCAATGCCCACGTGGTCCTGCAGCTATCGACGCGTGAAGGTTTCGAGGTCAAGGTATCCGAGGCGCTTCACGCAGGACGGCCTGTCATCGCCACCAAGGCGGGTGGTATCCCATTGCAGGTCAAGGACCGGGTGAATGGCTTTCTGGTAGATGTTGGCGATCACAGAAGCGTAGCACAGCACCTGCTCGAACTGTTCCGCGACGACGAGCTGCACAGGAGAATGAGCCTGGAAGCCAAACGAGGTGTCAGCGACGAGGTCGGCACGGTTGGCAATGCTCTTGCATGGTATTATCTCGGCGCCAAGTGGAGGGAGGTTGGCGCTCGCGGGCTCAAGGCCCATGGGCGGTGGGTGAATGACATGGCCAGGGAAGAAGCTGGGCAGCCATACCAAACGGGTGAAAACAGGCTGCCCCGAAAATTCACCGATCAAGCAAGCAAGTAATTTCGCTGCAGGTACGACAGGATAGAATTTTCTTGAATCAGTAAGGTATTGAAAACTAGGCTGTAGCTGGCAAATGGTACAAGTGCTATTCACATGGTAGACAGCTGGACGCTTCACTTCTCAAAGCGCTTGGCCACGTTGCCCCAGTTGATGACCTCCCAAATGGCGCCAAAGTACTCGGCCTTGCGGTTCTGGTACTGCAGGTAGTAGGCGTGCTCCCAGGCATCAATGCCCATCAGGGGCTCCAGGTTGCCCGACACGGGGTCCTGTCCCATCCTGGTGACCAGGCCGAGGGTGCCGCTCGTCTTGTCCTTGACGAGCCATGCCCATCCAGAGCCCTGAATACCGGCCAGCGCGGTGTTGGCCTGCTTCTTGAGGTTGTCAAACGAGCCAAAGTCCTCGTTGATGGCGGTCAGGAGCTTGCCGGTGGGCTCACCACCGCCGCCCTTGCCGTTGGGGGCCAGGTTCTCCCAGAAAAGGGAGTGGTTGATGTGGCCTCCGCCGTGGAAGTTGAGGAGGGGAGCCTGGGTTGCAGCGGCAGCGGCGTCGCCCTTGGCCTGGGCGTCGCCAATGGCCTCGATGGCCGCGTTGACGCCGTTCACGTAGGTCTGGTGGTGCTTGGCGTGGTGGAGCTCCATGATCTGGCCGGAGATGTGCGGCTCGAGGGCGCCGTAGTCGTCTAGTCTGGTCAGTACAGTAAACAGTCCGGTGGTGAGTAGATCTACGTACAAGGCAGGTCGGGGAGGGTAGCCTTGCCGCGGACGAACGAAGTCGAGGCCATGCCGGCCATGGGCTTCGCGGCGCTAGCGCGGATGCCAGCGCGGAGGGCAGAGGTGCGCAGAAGAGTAGCAGACATGATTGCTGTTCGTGTCAGTCAATTCGATTGTCGCAAAGAGTCAATTGGTGTGTCGAAAGGAAAGATATCAGTGGGGAGTGTGCGTACCAATGGTCTATGTAGCCGTAGTGCGTGGTGGAGGTGGAAGACCTCGGATGATGTCAACAAAACGACATTTGAGAGCTCGGGTTGCCGAGAGCTAAATTACGTCGGAAGATCCACTATTCCAGGTTGAGCTAGTCCGGGAACTCGGAGTCCGAGTCAGCCAACTCAGGCACCGATTAGCACATTTTGCTTAACCTGAAGTAAAGCATCGCATACCGTCCTCTGGCCGTTGGTGTCCGCGCGAGGAACATAGCATTCGGAAAGTCTATTGACGGTTTCTGGCAAAACCAATTCAGAACAAACGAGCAGAAATAACTTTAGGAGCATTTAATTTACGCCTACTTTAGCCCCTATGGTTCATGGGGCGAGCCACCTGAATGCTGTTCCATGTTCGCGAGCCTAACGGTTTGCACAAACACCTTGAAGAGCAGCAAAGTCATGTTGACATTTAGATTGTTTCTCTTATTAGAAGCTCTAAATTCTCTCGGATATCTCAGCAATTATGGCAGCGCGACTGCATCGTGAAGTAGATGGTGGTGACCGGTAGCTCTACTGTTAATGAGGGCGCCTGACGCTGCGCACATTGTGCGTCTCAACCCCACGACGCGTCTCTCGGTTCCCCTCCACGAGCAGCACCGTGTCACAATGTCCTACTACGATGTCGACGCCATCTTGACAGACGGGGAGGTACAAGCCCTTCTAAACGCCTACAACTCCAAGAATCATGTACTGACCCTTTGGCAGAAAGTGCCCTGCACATTCGAGCTCGAAGTGCCCTACCTGGGCCACCTCAACAACGCGCCCTCGCAAGTCCTCAAACCCGGCACCCCGTTGACCCTGCCTCTCTGGCTCGCCGAACTTCTCGCGCTCGCGTCGTCAGGCGACTCCTCACCCCCGCTCACCCTCAACATCCCCCCGTGCCTGGGAACGGCTGTACTGTCCGCGCTCAAGGCCGATCCGCGGGCGGTCCCGCTACGAGACCAGTCTGTGCACCTGTACGGTGTCGGCGTGCGCATGCTAGATTTGTTTGACGAGAAAGAATTGAGCGAGGTGCTGCGGCGGACGTGGACCGTCCGAGCAGGCGACGTCGGTCTGCACGCACGGAAAGCGGACGAGGGCGGTCTGGGTGGACAGCAGGAGGAGTTCCTCCGAGGTCTGGAGGAATGGGAAAGGAAGCTGTTCAGAAGAGCTCATGAAGGCATCAAAGGAGCAAAGGAGTGGACTGAGAGGGTGAAGAAATAACGATAATGAATAATGACTACTACGCTTCCCTCAGTCGCTGCCACTTTTGCTCTGCCATGCGCACCGACACAAGCAAGCTGGCTACAAGGCAGTATCCCAAGGTAACAAAGACATCGCTCATCTCCAGCCAGAGAAAGTACTTGTTGGAGAAACGCACGAGGTGCACCGTCACGCCCACGACGACTGCCCATCCGCTCGCGAGGAGCCAGCGCCCTCGGATCAAGGGTAGGACTGAACGAAGCAGCCATTCCAGCACAAGACAGAGTTGCGCCATGATTCGCCACTTTTTCTCGTGAAGCAGAGCGATGACAAAGTGTCGCTCTACTTCCCCGGCACCGAGGAGGGAGGCGTAGGCCCAAAGCTGCGCACAAGACCACGAAGCCCGGACAAAGGCGCTTTCCATGCTCAGGATGCATGTGAAAAGCCACAGCGTATACCACGGGTCTGCGACACGTCCACCGCACAAGTCCAAGAGCCGCCCCCGGCGGTTTTTTCTAGACCGTTCAGAAAGGATCACGGCAACCAGAGACCAGGTCACCAACCAGGACCAACTATAGTCGGTCGCCGAGTCAAGGAAATAATGAGGCGACGATTTGGCGGTCTTCATGTCCGTCAAAGCGTGAGGCCAAATAAAGATGAGGTCTGGCAGTACGATGCGTCGAAGATGAGAAAAGTAAATCGCTGCAAGCAAGCAGAGCGAAAGGCGTGGAGTAGACAGGGCTGCTGTGGCGGACGCAAAAAAGATGGACAGAATCGCATCGGCGAAAGTACCTCGACCGTGGGACTGAACGATATGGCGACGTGGTTCAGGCCTCTTCTGCCCTGGAGCCATCGTGGGCACTGTTGGGGCTGCCTCTCGCTGCTCCTCGAATTTGGTCAGAAGTTGTGAAATGTCGCAGGAGGGCGTCTGGTTCTGATTGACGATGGCCTCCAAAGGACGCAGCTTACCGATAGTAGTGGAGTCTCACCACACCACATACTAGTAATCAACAACTTCAATCAATTGACTCAAAAAGCAGACAGAGCTCTGGAACTCGCGTGCACATTCTTCCCTGCGCCATCGACAGAAATGTCCCGAATCCTGGTACCTAACATTGACACCTGGCATCTCGCCGTGATAATCCCACAGAAGTCCTAGCCAAACCCATGGCAGCCATACCGAAATGCTCATGTCGAGCCCGAAAGCGAGCCCCAAAACTCCAGCGCATGTCCAAAATATCCCAATACAGGCCCATATCAATATGCTGTTCGACCATCCGAGAATAGTAATCAAAACGCCCAATCGAAGCGATTGCTGCTTCATCCCATCCCAAAACACCGTCATCAGTCGTGTCGCTAGTCTCTATATACACGTCGCCGGAAGAAAAGAAGAAGGAGAAAAGGCTCCCGACCTTCCACCGAATATTATGATGCAGCAGCCATATGTGCCAGCACCAAGCCGTGGTGTGCCGCGATCCACGCGGCAGTGGTGGCAGATGTAGATGTGCCCATGACAGCCATGCGGTCTGGGACTTTGAACGTATCCCCGTCTCTCCTCTCGTGTCATCGTGATCAGTACAGTGGGCTGGCGGACCAAAAGAGAAGCGAAGAAAATCAGTGCGCCAGCCCGAAAAGAAATTATGAGCAAGAAAGAAAGAAAGAATGGAGCCAAGGGGCTCCGCTTGCCGGCGCCAAGCAGAGCAGGCATGCAAATGTTTTTGGGAAGGTTGTGGAAGACCTAGTATGGGTTTGAGAAAAGTAAAACGTGCGAGGATCATGGCGCGAACCCGTAGAGAGATGTACGGGAGCAGCACTCAGTTCGAAGGAAACATCGAGTCGACCAATTCAAAAGATGATGATTGTGCGAAAGTGCAGAGATCATGATCGATCCATGGAGCTGGCTCGAAGCTTGCGGGCGAGTATCCCATGGCGTCCATGGCCGGCATTGTCGATCCGTAGCTAAAGTCCATGCAAGCACCCGCGACAGTGTAGGCGCTCTGATCCGGTGTCCCGGTTCCAGAGCTGGTCTCGGACAAGCTGAAAGATGCATGGCCTGATTCCTGACAATCAACCTCCGCGTCATCTGAGCTGATCGTCTCGTCGTCGGCATCGGAAGGTTCCAAAGGACTCGAGGTGGCCGAGGAGGAGCCCTTCTTGGCATCCTCCTGAGAAACGCTCACCTTGACCATCCATAGTTTCAACTCGTCCATGGGAGGCCAGTGTCCGCCCGCGCTGCCGCCACGCTTCTCTTGTTTCGAGTTGCGGCGGTTGCTGCGGGCCTCGCGCGGCGAAAAGTGCGCGCGGCGAAGGTGTGCTGCGGCGTTGTAGTATTGGCCGTAGAACTTGCCGGCGTCACAGCTCTTGCAACCGAGCAAGGGTACTTTGGGCCGGACCGCGCTGCTCATGCCCTGTGCGGCAGGGTCGCGACACTGGAAGACCGTGACGAATCGGTTGTGCTTCGCGTCCATGTGGCGTCGGAGTTCGTGGTCGCCTCGAAACTCGGTGTAGTCGGTGCATTCTGTGCAGCGAAGTTTCTTGGAAGATTGCGGCGCGGCATGCTGCGTGGATTTGGGCAGGGCCACTGGGTTTTTCTTGGCGTCGGCGTTGGTCTGAGGCGGTTGCGGCTTGGGCTCCAGCTTGGACTGCGCTTGGCCGTTGCGAAGGATTTGCTGTTGTCGCTCGCGGTATCGCCGCTGGGAGCTGGTGCTGGACGTGCTCATGTTTGACTCGGTCCTCTCCATCTCGGCAGACTGGGCCTGATTCGCGGTCGCAGCCTCCGTTTCATTCGACGTGTAGTCACCGTGGGGCTTGAAGCTGGCACCGCAACCGTCGAGCGAGTCGAAGGGGACAAGGGGGTCCTTGCTGCCATCGCCATATAGTGCGAACAGGTTCATGTCTGATCCGTATACCATGCTCTGCGCCGATCCCGATTGGACCATGGGTGTGCCCGTATGCAATGCGTTGGACATGGTGCTGTTCCCTCGGGTCATGGGCGTTGCCTCGGGCATTGTGGAACCTGAGATCATTGAAGGGCATCTCGACTGCGGGTCGGCGTAGTAAAAGTGGTCGAAGGGCATGTTGCCCCAGCCATCAAGGCGGGTAGACAGGAAGTCCGAGTCGTCGGGCTGGCCAGCAAGATAGTCGGCGGGACTCTTGCCAACACCCTGAAGGACGTCGTGCTCGTTGACGATGGGGAGCGGCTGGCCCGTGCTGCTTGGGTGTCCCATGTGACCACGCATGAGGTCTGGCTGCGCCGATTGAGAGCGATTCATGGGAACGGCGCTGATCCTGGCAATGTTGTTGCCCTGACTTGTGAATGGCACTGGAACCCTGTGGCCTTGATAGTGTTGTTGCGGGTGCTGGGTCAGAGCCTTCTGAAGCGGCTGGGACTGGATCGCCTGCATCAGCATAAGGTTAGTGGTCATTCTATAGAATAGGGAGCAGGCTGGGAGACTTGCACCAACAGGTTGACTGGAGTATCCGTCAGTCAAGACGTGAGACATGCTTCGCGCAAGCATGGCGGGATCCCATCCAGGATTCGACAGGCCAGGTTGGACCACAGTGTTGTGGCCGATGGCGAACAGCAGCCCTGGCGGTGTTGTTTTGCTGGAGCCACTTATATGGTCGTCGTCGACGGCTTGGGCGACGGGATTCGACTCGAAAATCATACTGTTTGATGGGTAGTGATGAGCAAGAAGATGGTGTGGTGTAGCTGGGGTATGTGTATCCGTAGTGGTGATGGATGAGGTCGGGTATCGCTAAGTCGAGGTTTACAGCACAGGACTGGAGTGAGTGAAGGGGTAAAGTTAGGTAAGGTAAGGTACCGTAGGGCTGGCTGGCTGGCTGGAGAATTGGAAGAATAATTTGACAGGGACGGGTCAATACTGGATGGGAGCGAAAGATGGGTTCGACAGGATAGATTCAAGGGATCGAATAGGGAGAACAGAACGAAAGTCTTCGGTTCAGGTGTTTGTGAGGGATGAAGGGGCTTAAAGATGCAGTTAGGAATGAGAAGGGCGAGCAGCCAACGATTGCAGCAAGGCGAGTGACAGCGCTCCCCACCATACCAGAAGGGGATCCTGGGCGCCCTCATGCATGGTTGTCAGTGGGTGGTGGCCCTGGTGGGTGTAGTGTTGGTCCAAGGCCCACGGGTGGACTCGCGGTCGCTGTGAAGCACTGAAGTTGGGCTCTGGCACTCTGGCAGCGCAAGCAGACAGGCATACGGCGGCGGACCAGACCACGAGGCCGTCGTGGTGCGCCCGGGGCGGCCAGACCCATCGTTAGTGCGTCGGCAATAAGCGTGCTCGCGGCGCTAACAGCTCTCGCATCCTCCTTCTCCAGCGCACAGCACATCGACACCATTCGAAACGGGCCAGGTGATTGGTATATCGCCCGCCAGAGGCACATAATTGGACAAAGTAGCGGACTGGAGCCCAACAGCTTCGTCCGCGTCCTGATGCGTTGTCACTACTTGGACTCGCAAACAGACCATCCCATGATTGAGACTGACGCCCGGCTGATTGTCTGTCCTGCGATTCCGTCAACACCGAGACAACATCGAGCCTGTCGTCCCGCACTTGCCTCGTGCCGTCCCATTGAAGTATGTTACGTAGGACTACGTACTCCAGCCGTGACGCCCACGACGCTAGCTGCGCCTCTCTAGCGGTCAGTCAGTGTGAAAACGACAAGACACAACAGCGCATGCATGCATGCACACGATATGGCTGTCACAGAGCTTGGAGAAAGTTGTCCGAGTCCATGGACTGGGCCCCGTTAATATCTCGGTCAATTCAGTAAGGTAAGCTATGAATCAGAACTTGCGACCTGATCGTGAGATTAATACAATGCACATCATGCACGATCTCGGCTCAGCAGAACTTGAAAACAGAACTGTCTGGTCCTGCTATTTATCAACTCGCGCATATCCGAATCTTATTATATAGCTCTGGGTGCAATTGCGGCGGCGATCAGATCTGCGCATCCTGTGCACTCCAGGTCCAGGGACCAGCAGCGTTGCAAAAGCTAACTAAAGCTAAATGTCACAATAACGATGCCATGGAAAAAGCAACAAGCTGCCCGATCGTCAGTACAGAGTACATCATCCCTTCTGCGCGATCAGCAAGCAGCCCAGGCTGAGTCGCTGCTAATTAACCACCTAATGACGCGTGGGCCCTTTCTCATGCTGCAATTGCAAAGCGATCAAGTGGTGCTTCTTTTTGTTTCGAAACGTCACGTCCATCCATCTTCAACAGTCCACTCAAAGACGCAGCGTTAGGCAAGACCTGATAGATTCAATTATAATAAATAATTACAGCGCCGTATCCGTAGAGGCCAGTGCATTACGTGGTGCCTCTTCTTTCCGCCCCTCGGATATAAGCTACTATGTCATTTTGACGTTGGGCATTCATTGCACGGCACGCGATGACCATCATTCGAGCATAACGGTCGTGATGTCGACGCTAGCACTCCAGGCACACCATCAGCCTGCGCACTCATCTGGCTCAGTGGCTCATCTCACTTCACCCCACGCAGCCAAGGTGCAACCCTGGAGGTGATCACCGTCGATTGGCTCTGGACGTCAGGTGGAAAGTGAGGCGAGGCCGCGAGGATCCACCGACACGCATCCTCCTCTTTTGGCATGTTGGTGGGGTTGGCTGTCACCACGGTCGAGTATCCGGCCTACGCATGTATATCACAGCGACGTTAATGCTCGCAAACGATGGGAATAGTTGTTGTCGTGTCTGGCTAATGCTATTTGCGGCTGACTCGACCGTGCATCGACCCGCTGCTCTTCCGCGTTACTCAGCATCATGGTGGCTCCTCACCTGAGCATTGCTTGCGAGGTTGATTGGCGCCCAACATCAACTCTGTCCGTGAAGGCCTTGCGGCTCGCCTGGCTTCGCCACGAGCTCCATGTCGTTTGGCTGCGAGCAGTAGGACTTGAAGGTAGCGTTAGAAAACTTCCGGTAATCTGATGGTCGGTGCGTCTCGGTGAGTGCTCCTATCTTGAATGGCAATTGATGCAACGGCCTCTGCTGTATTCTTGATGAATACATGTTGACAAGAAGAGGCAGTGCGGCAGTGTTGATAGCTTATGTTGCATCTTGGGTCTCGTAGTGTATTCGAGCCCTTTGGATACCAATGTACAGTGTGCCCAAATCACCCTGGAGACAAAACTTGTCTGTCTTCCAGGGTGCTCTTCTACGAGAACTGAGCCAGCGTCCGGTGCGATTAGGTCCGTGGCGGCTGTATCAAAGGTGCTGCCAATGTCCTCTGAGCGACAGCCTATCAAAGGTCGCACGTCGCGACTTGTCGTCCGGGAATCTCAACTGGTGTGCAGCAGTGAAGGCCTTGAACGCACCACGTGACACTGCTCCGATCGGGGACCGGGGGTCATCGACCCCGACGTTAATGGATGACAGATTGACCTTACCGGTTGGAAGCCATCTGCACAATGGGGTCTACTTGATGATCACTTATTGTCGCCTCTCCAGCTACACTTACACGACACAGGCAAACCTTTGCTTCTCTCCTCTGGCTCAGGGTCTTGAACACCATGCGCCGCCGCAACGCTGCGCTACTTGTCGCGTCCCTCAGGCTCGGCGGAGCTCAGGCGCGAAGCTTCAGCGTCCACGAGGATCTCCTAGCGTTTCCCCAGGTACGACACTCGCTACTCGATTTCTTCACTTGACTAATTAATTAAGTTTGATGTCGTTTTCGATGATCAATGGATATCAAAAGACGATGCGCAGTCATTACTAGCTGGCGACGCTCCCCACGCGACACAGTCGACCGATCTTTCCCATGCGACAACCGAAGGCAACTCCGGCTTGCCTGAATATGACGGTGCAGGCAAGGAGTTCAAAATCATGAAGCTCTCCTCGCAGGAGTACCTCTGCTCGATCCCCATGCTTCAACCCGATGCGCCCGAGAACCAAACAGCCAACGAGCTCGCAAAGGCGGAGGAGGCGCGGGAGCTCAGTCGTGCCACGCTCAGTGGCTGGGAATTGCTAGGGGACCTGGCACAGAATTGTCTCTACTTTGGTTCCGGGTGGTGGACATATCGCTTCTGCAACAATGTCGAGATTGTGCAGTTCCATGCTGCTGCGACGCCACCTTTGGGGAGGGCACCGATCCGTGACAAGTCGACTGCCGAGTATGTCCTTGGCGCGGTGCCGTCGCTGCCACGTTCTACATCATCACAGGAGCAACTGCTCGACGAGGACGATAAGCCGGTGCCAGCGGAAGTCCAGATAAAGGCGGACCAGAAGTATCTGGTGCAAAAGCTGGAGGGCGGTACGGTATGCGACCTGACCGGACGAGAGAGGACCATTGAGGTCCAGTACCATTGTGTTCCCGGACTGAGAGAGCCGCGCATCTCTTGGATCAAGGAGGTCACCATCTGTGCCTACCTCATGGTAGTGAACACTCCCCGCCTTTGCAACGACGTGGCTTTCCTGCCGCCCAAGGAGATCACGGCGAATCCTATCAGCTGTCAACTCATCGTCGAGAAAGGGTCGCCGCCTCCCTTGCTGGGCGAAGAGCAGACGGCAGACGTTGATGGTGCGGATGGATGGATGCCACAGAAAGAAGACCAGAATCCCCTCAAGGCGCCGGGGAAGAAGCAGCAGGTTGTCGGGGGTGTCGTTGTGGGTGCCCGCAACATCCTGTCGGGCGGCGACGAGCAGGGCAAGCCGCCAGTGCAACTGAACACACCCCGCAATCCCCTCGGGAACCCATTTCACGAGGAAGGCCTCATCGAACTCGTCGCCAAGCGCGCGAGCAAAGCTGACGGAGGCAAAGTTGAGGCTATGGACCTGGACGACATGGAAACATACGAGATTGACCCGCAGATGGTGGAAGAGATGCGTCAGGAAGTCGAGCGGTTGGCAGGGGACCTTGGCTGGCGGATAGAGATTGTGGAATTGCCCAATGAAGATAGAGAGCTCAGAGGCTACGTGGATGATGATCAGAGCGACGAGACTGGCTCGGAGGACGAGGCTGGCAAGACCACGGCAGACAAGGGCGATGAAGAGGGCAGCGAGGAGAAGATGAAGGACGAGCTGTAATTGGGAGACTCCTGGCTGGGGTCGAATGAGTTTTGTTATGCATCAGCGTTTGGAATTTGACATGATCACGATCAACCTCATTCACCTACCCTATCCGCTGTACTGCTGGGCTTTTGGACCACCCTTGCACCACGTGAAGGCGTGCATTTGGGTGATAATTGTATTAACTTTGTCTTGCTACTGCTGAGGTGGAGACTACATATGCTCCCAAGCAACGACTTGCCTCGATCTTGGGTTGGTGATGCTTGGAACGAGGTTTCTTGAACTGAAGTGTGAGAGGTAACGGGACAGGTAGTCGTTGAATGGCTATGCGTCAACGAAAAGGTAACAAGCGTTGTTCGATTGTTGTCTCGTACAAAGACACTACCGACTAGTGTGACCGCCAGTCACGTCACCCTTTCCGAGGTTTGTGTGTGGACTGCTCCATTTCCAGTCGGTGGCGCAAACAGACGGGATCTAGAGTCTGCCGAAGGTCGGCCATGGCGGGCAGGGTCGGGCCAGGACATGGTAAGTTAGTAACGCCAATGGATTTAGTGTGTGGTGAAACAACTTCATATCAATAAGTTACTTACATATAATGAGCTAGACTTTGTACTTCATCGTTTCACGGACTGACCGAGCTATCATGACCCACACCAGACCAGAGCAGAACAATTAATTGCCTTGCCCGAGATGCAACGGACGGACAGGCGGTCTGAATTGCAAACCCCGCGTTTCGTAAAGAGGGCCTTGTCTTACGGCTTTCATTGTGTGCTACAGAGGCCATTGTCGTGAATCCTCATGGAGGCAACGCGCGTTGACCGGGTGAAGCAAAGCTCTGGTTGGGTGAGGATGTGACGACATGAGAATGGTGCCAGGCTTGGGTGGACGGAAGTGCATCCGCGCCCCTGACGGCACTGCCGCCCACGGCACCGGAAAGCGGGCTGATTGGTGTGATGAGAGCTGGGAAGAATAAAGTGGTTTGCGCTAGGTCAGGGGACGAGCTCCATGTCAATTTGGTGGAGAGAGAAGATTGTCGTCTCTGCTAAGACTTGTGCTGGCTTGCTGCTTCATCCGCAGTGCAACTGCAAGCACACGAGCAAGGAGAAGGCAGCTCTCACGATAGACGGCGTCGGCCCTCTAACTTAGAGGCGTATCAGGTGAGGCAGAGCGAGAAGCGCACGTTGAGTTGACTTGCATTGCTCGCAATCTCCAGTCCAGTCCAGTCCGGGCAGCGCAGTCGTGCGTCTTGTGCGCCGACCTGACTTGTGCTCCATGTCATCAATGCCCACCGCGTCATTGGGCTCTGGGCTCTGGTAATCCTCTGCCTGCCTGCCTGCCTACCTATCGACGGCCTAACATTGCACCTCCCATCCCATATGGACCATTCATTATCGCCTTATGCACACCGGCTGCAGCGCTACTGCACCTGCTGGAACCCCCTGCAGGGCCTGGGGCCTGCCATCCAGTCTCCAGTCCAGTCCTCCAGCAATTTGACGATCGTCCGCCAAACCATGGACCAACAATCTCTCACCACTCGCTTCCATCCCTACTTTGTTCACTTCTTCTTTGCCTGCAAGGCCTACACATTTCAACAATCCTGTTGTCACGGCTAAGCCAACCGTTCATGAACCGTTTCTGCCGACGTAGATAGTGAGTGGCCCTGGACTGTCAACCTAAAGCACCACCCTTCATACGCACGATTCGACAATCCGGACTGCACGACGCCTCGCAACGAATTGTGACTCTTCGAACACGTCATTAGATCGTATCCTCAAGACAAGGCCGTTATCTCGCCATCTCGCAGCCCGCAATTCCATTCGCCCACGCTCCCACTCTACGAGACACGTTCATTCCTCAAAGCATACGTGGGGAGCACAGCAGTTGGCCGATCAACCAGTGGCACGTCGTGTTGATCACGGTCGCTATGGTCCAGCATTCGAGTTCTTGCTCTATGCTTCTCTTCACCTGAGCTAGCACAACCAACACCAGCAGCTCTTCCGTCACCATGGAGTGTCAGCCGATAATCCGAGAAAGACCTGGCCAAGCAGCTTTAGATCGAGCCTCGCGCTCATCCGTCAACGGCAGGATGCCAACCGACAGTGCCGCTTCCTTGTCATCGTCAAACCGGAGTTCATCGCCGTTCAGCCATGCGCACCGGGCTCACCTTGCCAATAGCGCGAAGCCCGGCTCTCCACGTCCCGCGCAGAGGCCGACGCGTCAATCGAATCGCGAGGACAGCACCGAATCAGCCAGAAGGACGCCTGTGTCGACTTTGCTGCAGGAGAAGCTACAGACTCAGCGTCAGGTCGAGGGCCACAGGACCTCAGCAGCAGCGTCGAATGCTTCGAAGTCCAGCAGCGACATGACAACCTCGATCGATGCTAGTAGCTTGCACCAGACATGCTCTAGTAAGTATGCGGGGTCCGATGCTGGACGTCAGCCATTGCGTACGGACGGCGAAACGGGGCAGGGCAAGGGTCTGGCGTTGAAGGAGATGGAGCACGTCGTCTCGGGGCTGCACAAGCAGAACTTTGACCTCAAGCTGGAGCTATACCATCGACGCGAAAGACAGACTGCCCTTGAAGAGCGAATGGAGGCCCTGCAGGTGGAGAAGTCCGAGGTCGAGGATATGAACGACAGGCTCATCTCAGAACTGGAGAAGAGAGACAAGGCTGTGGAAGAAGCCGTGGCCATGATCATCATGCTGGAAGAAAAGGTCGATACTCTCACCAAGGAGCGGAACATGGTTCGCCACGTCGAAGCACAGAGCTTGTTCAACGCGGCCTACCGCCCGGTTCCCGAGGATCCCTCGTACAGAGCAGCGACACCCGAGCGACGCCCCGAGCCCGCAACGCTGCACAGAGTGCCGAGTTTCATGTCAGACCGCAGTGAGGCAACAGAGAATCTTCGCAATGTATACACTGGCGTGAGAGGCAGCGTCGTCAGCCTTGCTCGTGTCCCTGAGGGAACTTCTGAATTGGGCGATCCTGATCTGGACAGTCCTTCGCTGAGTGTTCTGAGCAAGAGTTCGTTCGTCAGCGTATACCCTTCGAACAAGAGGAATGGGAACGCAGCATATCTGGCTGATGGTTCGCCATCTATCAGAGGTGAGCGTACCTCTTCGCCATCTCAGCGGTCAGTCGCAGCCAGCCCCAGCCGTCGAGGTGCAAGTAGCGTACCTCCCCGATTTCGTACGCCAGGCCGGCTCGGCAGTGCTGGTCAGATCCAACCTATCACAAGTGTCATCGAAGACAGTCCGTTGCAGCGCATCGAGCGCATGGATCCTTCGTACTCGCCGCGGCGGGACTTGTCACGACAATCGAGCTCTTCAAGACCAGCGACCGCCATCGAACAACCTAAACTTCAGCGTATGGCCAGTCGTCGGGTTCTCCGCGCCGAGAAGCGAGACAATTTGGCTAAAGTCAATACGGACGCACCAGGTGGCGTGAGTCTTTATGAGCAAACTCTTCCACCTACGCCTGACACGGTCGCTTCATCCACTCTGCAGCGATTTAAAAAGTCGACTGATACACTTGAGAGGAGACAGAACGGACTGAACGACCGTTCTAATGATCATGTGAACGTTCCCAGCCGCAATGAAGGGGTGTCCTTGAAGACTCAAGTTGGCAGCACACCTATGCCAGCAGACGCCCCGACCATAAGGAGGACCGAAACTCTGGGCAACAGCCTGAACCAGATACCAAGGTCGATCCCGCAAAGGCCTCGGTCAGCTGATGAGTCCACAATCTCTTATCGAAGAGACAGGGATTACGGGTTCGACACTGAAGACTCGGAGATTGATTCCTTCGCATCGAAGCAGGAGATGTGGGAGCGAGCGGGACATGACAAGAGAGAGGAGCCAGACCTGTTTGGCTTTGCCTCAAACGGGACCGCATGGGACCACAACGCTGGCTTGACATATACGAGTAGCATCAGAGACCCGCTCTCCCTGAGCTTTGGCATGGAAGGAGCTGTTGTTGGTCCCACCAGCGATCAATTGTATGATGCTATCCCCGCAGAGGCCTTACCTGCGGCACAGCAGACGTCTCGAGCTGGGATGAAACCGGGACTGAAACACGCACCTCAGCAGAGGGTCGCGAAGAGACATGCTCAACGACAGCGACGCAACAGCGACAACGGGCAGAATCGAGACAATATGAAGACACCTGTACAGCAGAACTTCACGCAACAGGTACCCGATGCGGCGACGGGGCACAATAAACAGTATCCGCCGATTACGACTCAACGAACCCGGGATGCCGTGAAAGGCTTCTGGCGTCGGTCTTTTGGCGGAGGACCCCTTCCGCAGAACACTCCCTCAGCGTCAACGGCAACAGATAGCCAGGACCAAGGAACTGCACCACGACCGGCTGCTGGAAAAGCGCAACCAGAACAGAACATGGGTGACGACCCAATGAACGACGCTCTGTCACGAGCAACACCAGCGCCTATTGGCGACAAGCGTCCGAGTTGCAACAACGCCAACTACTTTACAAACATCGACAGACCCACAACAGCCATCACTGCCGTGTCAGCGCACACTGAAAAAGTGGTAGCGCAAGAGCCGGCAGCAGCAGGCGGTGGCAACGTGAGCAACGCGACTGGAACTCGGAGGAGCTGGGTAAAACAGCGCTTCAACCGACATCGTTCCAATAGTATGAAAAATGGCTAGGGACTATGTAATGATCGATCGAGTCAACACGACAGTCGGCTTTTGGGAGCGCGCACAGAGGAGGATCCATTGCCATTATGAGAGCGATCATTTTTCATTTTCTTAGGAGTTGGTGGTTCAATTGTTATTTGGAGTATTGCTTGCTTAGGACGGGCAAACCGGCGCCAGTATGGCTTGCATAGATGACCCGAACCACTTCAGGAAAGGTGAAGCGTTGTCAAATCTCAATAGCCGGGAAGGCAAAACATCATGAATCAGAACAACGGCATGGGGCAACTTTATTCCTGTGAGTAAACATCGACTATGTGCTGTGCAAGCGGAGCATGTCCGGAGACTGTGATTCAGCACTTTGATGTTATCAGATCCTAGTCTAGACCCATTCCCATTTAGCTTTGGTCCGGCCAACACCGAGACCACCAACGGCTTGCTCGAAAGCTGCAGGCGAAAGGTCAAGATCCCACTGGTCGCAACCAGCGCAGCGGTCGACGACCTCAACTACGACATCGCCCAGGGGGCCCTTGACGCGTATATGGTTGCCACAGTATTGAGGTCGGCCGCTGTCGAACAGAGGAGCCGATATGGCGGTTATGAGGGAGCCGTCTTGGTGGCTCTGGCCACAAGCTCCCAGCCCTGGATGGAAGAATGTGAGTTGCCCGGCGTTCATGTGCCCTCTGGGGATGGGGTTTGCCGCGGCCAGAGAGGCAAGAGCAAGCAGGATAGGAAATAGGCAAGACATCTTGTGAGATCTTGTGTGGTATGAGGTTGGGGTCCTCCGAGAAGAGTGTGGGGGAGCAGGTGATGGCGGGATGAAAGGAAATCGAATTGTGAGCTTCAAAGTTTACAATGAGAAAAGATGAGAATGGTGCAGTGTGCGGATGTGATATTTCTAACCGAGAAAGAGAGAGGGGGACAGGATGGTTTTATGGACATTCATGAAACCTAGTCCTAGACACGCATACTGTCATCTCAGATATTCCCACCAAAAGCGAGATCGCGAGACAGCTAGCAAGGTTACAATTTCACATGTCTCAATCAAGCTGTCTAATCACCTTGCCGCTCTTTGCGAAGATTATATTGCAGCATGTGCACGTAAATGCAGTGGCAGTATTACAGCTAGCATGTGATTTGCTTTCACTTCGCGTGCTTGCGTTGAAAATTCACCCGCTTGGACTATAGACACTCGGGTCATTACATGAGACTTTGTGCTCACATGACCGCGTGCGTACCCGGGTTCCGAAATCTGGGGAAATACAAGGTGGCTTGTTTCAAGTAGAAAGGGTGTCGGTTGCCAAGGTTGGCCTTGTACCACTTCTTCCCCTCAATAATCTGTCACCAACGGAGAACACTGAGTGTGTCCGGGCGACGTCCCTGAGTTCGGGTGGAAAGGGCGGATGCGAGTTTCCGGTCTTCAGGGGAGATGCCGCTTCCGGGCATACTTGGCTTGACCCGATGTTGTTCGCGCAAGCGTCAAGGACGTCGTGGCAGAGGGAAAGGTCGATGCACCTTGCCGCGAGACTTTGTTTCATGAACATATGTGGCGGGTTCTATATGTGACTTCAAGTCTCCTTGGATGTGCAGGATATCGCAAAAGTCCAGCTGGATCCGGGCCAGCAACTTTCTCCCCTCCTGGGCCGTCAAATCTCTTCACGGATTGCATCGTACCATATACTCAGCGCTGGGTCAAGATCCAGGGTGCCTTCGTCGAAGAACGTCGAGACGTTGTTGATGTACGCCTCGAAGCCTTGATCACCTTGGCTGAAGGTGTCCATGTTCATATCAAGACCACCCAAACTTGGCGTTGACCCAGTATCATGCTGCGCCAGAGGTTGCGTCATGCTACTTCTGCGCCGCTGGTGGCTGTCGTACACCGTGAACCTCACCTTCTGCAGAAGCTCTTGGTATCGCCTCAGACTGGGTTTGTTGATCTGTCGGATACCGTCTCTCAGAATATCCAGACAGGCGGCCACGTCGTGCCAGTGTCGTGCATCGCTCGATGCGCTGGCCAGTCCATGTTCCCCCGACATCGAAAGTAGGCGCCTGGTGAAAATGCAAGGTAAGCAAGATCTCCCGACGCAACAAAAGCGGCTTCGACTCACCAGTCACAATACAAGCCAGCTAAAGCAACTACGAGAACACTGTGAAGCTGCCTGAAACTACTGCAAATCGCATTCAGGCCATATGAGGTGCGCAATCGTGTCCATTGACGGACCGTACTCGACACAGCCTTGGAGCACGCAGTCATCATGGCCGTTGATGGTACCATGAACGTGGGACTGGGTCGGTTGACCAGCAACACAAGAAGACTATACTCGACTTTCAACTCGGAATATTCTCTCGACGGTTTTAGATCAGAGTTGTCGAGGTCACACTTCCACTGGCTCAACTCGCGCCGTGACTCTTCTGATGTCGCATAGATCTGCTGGAACGACGTTGCGTATGCCTTACCGTCCGGTCCACGGCCGATGTAAACTGACTCGAGCACACGGCCAGCTAACTGACGCAGACGAATCATGAGCTCGAAGGGCCGAAAACTGTGCTTGTGAAAAACAGCAGCTACGCTGGCCTCACCTTCGCTCAAGACATCCAAGCTACTCTGCTTCGGTTGCAGCGCATGGATGGCGTGGTCCCGGATGGAGAGCACTCGGCCTGTCAACACAGCAACCTGTCTCTCGAGAACGTAGATGCACCACCAAGTGCGATTGCGTGTCTCCAGCTCGTCGGAAGAAAAGCCCCAAGCGGCATTGTGGCGATGCAACCCGCTCTCAATCGCTGCAGACATGACATAGCGACTCAAGTGCCAGAGATCGTTGCAGTGACTGCTGGAGGATGAACTGAGCATCCAAATCGAGAGTAGAAGCACGGCCTGGATGCCAAAAATATCTCGCGGATGGTCGTAGAAGCTCACAAAGAAGCGAAGAGCAGTGTCGAAGTAAGCCCTGGGCTCGTTCATGTCTAGGAGGGCGCCATACTCGGGGTCGTCCTGCGATGCACTGCTGGCAAGGGCGAGTACCATGAACACAATGAAGCGATCATCGCTGCTGGTCGCCCTATGGTTCCCATACATGGACTGGAAGAGCTGCCGAAGCCCTGGAAGCTGCAGGAATGGCCACCATGTATGCACCCGAGCAATGTATCGTGACAAAAGGAACCTTGCGGTTGCCCACGATGGCAGCGAGGCGCCGATGGTATCTGGTAGAGGGTCCAAGTCCACCCCGCTCCTTTCCGATGCCCTCAGGTTAAGCTGCTTGAAGAAGATGCGTGCAAAGGTTGATCCTGCTGCGCTTCCCACTGCAAGACATCATCAGTCGACGGCTTCGGCTGATCTGAAGGGGGGCCATACCATATTGATCTTGGGTAAAACGACTAGGGCCGCCGATGGACAGAACCCCGACCTCCTCGGCTTCTGTTCCAGGGAACGACACATTCACGTCCTTATCAGAGGCTTGTCTCGGCAATCGGGATCCATTATCTGCCCTGGGGGGGTCGTTGTATGTCTCCGATGCTGTGTGTGCCTGTTGCAGCCTCGCTTTCAGACGTTCAATCTCGGTTTGCAAGGCAAGTATCGCACTGTAAGGATACGAGACACAGTCTGTGATGTTGCACTCTTCATTATGACGAGTGCATGCTGCGCAGCGTGGCACTTTTTGGTCGCACTTTGGCTGCTATCAGTTCGAGACCCGATGTGATAGGGGCTCGCTGGGCCAGGTGTCGCCGACTCACTTTGACCTTCCTCGCGTGACACCGAGCACAAGCCTTTGAGACCGAGGGCTGAAGGTTGTAAGTTGGTAGTGTCTCCATGACAGCGGACCAGTGGCTATGCTCCTTGCGCGGGTATCCAGGGCCGAGCGGTGTTATACGAGTGTGTCGTTGAGCCTCGGACAGGACCGAGGGACCTTATCTACAGCGCGCCGAGTGCGGAGAGATAAGGTTCACTCAGTTTGATGTCTGATAACGACAGATACCAGCTCGATGGCGTGCCCAATCCTGATGGAGAAGTTCATCCCCATATTTTCGGGATTGGCCGAGTCATGAAGTGATCCAGTGCCACTAGGCTCGGTATGGGCCGAAGTGACTCGCGTATTTCATCGAGAGGGCGGGATCAGAAGTCGATTTTCTTATATTCTTCGTTGATTTCTTGATTCGAGTTGACTCACGCTGAAATCATCGGAGGAACACGGACTCTAGCAAGCATTGCGACAATTGACAACGGTGCGCATCGGGATGTCTGCGGAACAGCACGAGCAAGGCAGCCATGCCGTCGTTCCCAATTCGAAAAATGACAGTATCTTGGTACAGTTGTTGCGTTGAACCTAACTTGGAGAAAGTTGGTCACTGACAACACTGCCTATTCAGGTCGGGATGCGCGATGGAGTGAGTGGTGAGTTCCGCCTTGTGCCAAGGGCAGAGGCGTCGGTCTCGGTCTTCGACTCGAACTTTCTTGTCGGTGATGGTATCTGGGTGAGTGATCACGGACTTGGATTTCCAGCTCGAACTCATCCTAACTCTTAACCAGGAGGGTATTCGTGCCAACAACGGAAGGGTGCAGTTTGCCCGTGAACATATCAACCGCCTCTTCCAGTCAGCCAAGGCCATGTTCATGGACTTGGGCCTCAGCAAGGGTGCCCTTTTGAACCTCATCCACCAGACTCTTGATGCGAATTCCATGCAGGATGAACCTCATGTTCATCTACGCCTCGTGGTCAGTCGCGGTTTAAAAGCAACACCGTACCAAAATCCTAAGATCAACATTGGGCTGCCACTCATCGTGATCATCCCTGAGGTCAAGGCCGTTGCGTCATCGGCCAAGGACAAGGGACTTCGACTAGGAACCACATGGGTACGACGTGGTCCTCCCGACGTGAAGGACGAGCAGTGGAACCACATCTCCAAGGCGACCGACGTGCAAGCCTGCATCCACGCCAACTTTATGAACGTAGACGAGGCGTTGATGCTGGACTTGCGAGGGTTCGTCAAGACGGGCAACTCTGTCAACTTCTTCATTGTGCGCGGAGACGAAGTGTGGGCACCTACCAAGGACAACCAGATGCAAGGCATCACGAGGCAGAAGACCATTGACGTGTGCCGTGCCAACGGTATCAAAGTGCGGGAGCTTGACTTTGCTCTGACCGAGGTGTACGGAGCGGACGAGGCTTTCTGCACAGGCACTTTCCCCTCGCAGATTCATGTCACGGAGGTCGATGGTAGGACAATTGGCACTGGCAAGAGGGGACCGGTCACGGAGAAGATACAGAAATTGTATACGGAAAAGGTCAAGGCGGATGTCGAACGACCACGATCTGAGATCCAGGCTGAGGTCGAGGCATCGAGGGAGTTGAGTTTCCTCGCCAAGCTGTAGACGACGTACACCATGTTAGGCAGAAATCAGATATGTCTCAACGAGATGAGCTTGTTCAGGAGATTCCAAGTTCCAACTCAAATATCAAAAATAAAAAATCAATGAACACAGTCTTGCGGTGATCACTGATCATTATGTCATGCGGCGTGGCCCACGGCCAGTCCATGCAACCTTGGTAGCTCAACTGTCTACATGCACTTGCCACACAGTTCTCTTTCATTGATTTCTTATCATTTTTTGGTCATTCTGCCTGAATGTATCCCCTATCTCTGCAATCAGAGTCTCGCTGGATATCGCTTCTCCTGGTGGCGCTCTAGCTCGGTAGCGTCCGAGATTCCTTCGGTGGCGCCCGAGCTCGCCCCCGACGACATCCACCTGGCATCCCTGCGAGACTTGGATGCTCACGTATATATCAAATGCATCCAAGACAGAATCCCAGAAGGTGCCGCCGCACGACTTCATCTCGCTTGAAGAGCTGAACTCAGGGAAAAGCTCCAGTTCCAGCAGCGACTCTCCGTCACGCTGCGTTCCATTACTACCACTCAGGCTTTTACCTATTCTCTTCCAAAGATCGCCAGCCAACATGGACAACCACTCCGCGTCCAAGCCAGAAGATATGGTCTCAACAGAGACTGGAAGGGCATCTCCGGGTCCAGGTGTAGTTGAGGATCTGAGCAAAGCCCAGGCACGGCGGCTTGTCTTGAAGACCGACCTAGTGGTGACGCCACTGGCGGTCTTAGCGATGACCCTGGCTTTCTTGGACAAGGTACGACTCCAAGAGAACAAGCGTGTCAATTTCAGGCCATTACTTACACCTGGAAACAGAACGCCTTGGGTTACGCTGCCGTATTCGGAATCCGCGACGACGCCAACTTGAAGGGCCAGGATTACAGCTGGCTGAGCAGTATCTTCTACTTCGGGTACTTGGCCATGGAGTTTCCCAACCTCTGGCTCATGACAAAGGTCCCAATTGGAAAGTACATTGGCGTGTGCCTCACCTTGTGGGGAATTTCACTTTGCTTCATGGGTCTGTGTCACAACTTTGCGGGATTGGCCACGATTCGTTTCCTGCTTGGTGTCTTTGAAGCTGCCGTGCTCCCATGTATGATGCTTCTCAACTCCATGTGGTACCGCAAGGAGGAGCAGCCGCTACGCACTGCCTTCTGGTACAATACTCTTGCTGGAGTATTTGGTGGCATCTTATCTTACGCCATTGGACAGATCAACGGATCCCTGCCGACTTGGAAGGTAGGCAACGTTCAATGATCTGGGACGGCGTCCTATCGCTTGTGCAACAATAGGCTGACAAAAACAGTACATCTTCATTATTTATGGTGCAGTCACAGTTTCTATCGGCGTGTTGATCTTCTTCGTCCTCCCAGACTCACCATCCAAGGCTTGGTTCTTCACCGATCAGGAGAAGCGCCTGGCACTTGTTAGACTCGCCGAAAATCAGACCGGAGTAGAAACTCATCAAGTGAGTGCGAAGCCATTCAAAACAATCCGTCCATTGACAAAATTGGCAGAAATTCAATACGAAGCAAGTGCTCGAAGCACTTCGCGATCCGAAATGCTGGTGCATTTGGCTTTGCGCCTTGGGCTACGCGGTTGTCAATGCAGGCGTCACAAATTTCAACCCCCTCATCATCGCCGGCTACGGGTTCTCGCAGACCAAGACTGTTCTCATGGCCACACCCCAGGCCGCGGTGGCCATGGTTGCGGGTGCCACCTTGACTGCTATAACCTTCTGGGTGCCCAACATGCGTTGTGTCTTCTGGATTATAGCGTCCCTCATTGGAATGGGCGGTGCCATTATGGTCCATGTTCTCGATGTTGAAACGCATAGAGACGCATCACTGGCCGGAGTGTACCTCATGGGCTTCTACAACGTACCCTGGGTGTTCATGCTGAGTTTGTCTTCGACGAACACCGCTGGCGCGACCAAGAAGAGCTTCATGGGAGTGTCCATTGCTGTGGTCTATGGTACGATTAGCTTCATAATTCTCAAGGATACCATGACTGACCTTCTTTCATAGCTGTCGGGAACATCGTTGGACCCCAATTCTTCCTCCAGGAGCAAGCGCCACACTACCCGCTCGGGATCGGGAGTATGCTTTGCGCTTTTGCAATGATGGCAGCCGCTGGTGTCTTGTACTACGTTCTTTGTGTGGTGGAGAACAAGAGGCGCGATGCCAAGTATGGGAAGCCTCAGGACGTTGTTCAACATGGCCTGGAGATCAACAGGTCCGACGAGACGGACAAGCAGAACCATACCTTTCGGTACACGTACTAGGCCAGAAGTTTGCGAATCTGTCCATTTCGCCTTCAATTAATTTTCTGTAGTCTTGCATCTGGATGACATTCCAAACTCATCTATAGTAAATATTCTCCGCATCTGAACTTTAAAGGGGTGACAGACTGACAGTCTCTGGACCTGACGTTCGAAAGTATAAGACAAGAAGCCTTCTCTTCCAAGCCTTAACCCGAGAAGAACTGCCGTCGCAACTCTGATGAAGCAATAAGTTAAATGTTCCGCGCTACTCAATCTACCAGTTGACATGCAAGAATCCAAACGGCTGCTTCGACATGAATATTGAGGGGTTGTCTGTCCTGAAAACTTTACAGGTTTATATACAACAAATTCGGGAGTACTTTCCATCATCCGGTATGGTGTAGTGGCTAACATTTGACGCTCTCATCTGCTCAACAGTTGTGAAGTTCCGTCAAGCCCAGGGTTCGATTCCCTGTACCGGAGACATTTTTTGCTTTACAGACCGACTTTCTACTGTAACACCTTGATCTTCACATTCGGACACTGCATCCATCCATTTCGGTATTTGCTTTCTTTTCATTATGCACACTTCGCGGTGGAGAATAAGCAAGTTGGGTTGTGCTTCACCTCAACACCAACCGGCTGGCGATTTTTTTGAATACAGTAGGATGTGTGTAGTACACGTATTGCATTATTCAAGTAGGATCCTTCTTATGTTCGTCTCTTCTGAGCAATGTCTAAGCTCAGCAGTAAGTATATACAAGAATCGCCCCTGGTCGAGGAATGACCAGATGTGTCACAGTTTCCGGATGCAAGCCGATTTTATCTCGTCATGTGGAACACTCTACGAAGTGCCCACGCAGGCAACAAAGGCGTTGCCAGAAGCACCGGTGTGGGTAATGGTTCCCGCGAGGGCGCACGAGTCCTCGGTGAAAACGACGCGATCAGCACCGGGCGAGCCTGCATGGATAATTAGCACTGTTCTCGAACCCCTTGGCTGGCGAAACTACTACATACCTCCGGTGTACACGCCGCCCGAAATGATGGGGAACTCTTGAAACGGACCGTCCAAGCCCTTGAAGTCAAAGCCCTCGTAGTTGTTATAGCGGTGAGGGTAGCTGTTGACATCGGAGCCGCTCTCAAAGTAGGAGCAGCCCTCGTCGATGGCATTAGAGACCTGCTGAGCGGTGTAGGACTTGCCACCGCAGTCGGCGGGCTCGTCGCGTGTGACAACAGTCGGGGCAGCGCTGACGACGGTCAGCCCGAGGAAGATGGCGGCGAGAGAGAGCTGCATGCTGGCGCTGGGTTGCGGAGGGATCAAGCCGGAGGGATCTTCGAGGGTAAGACTCTAGCGACACAGCGATGGGATGATTGTGCTCAAGCTGGCAGCGCTGAGAGAGAAAGTGGCATCTATCTGCTTCAGCGCTGGAAGACCGTCCTCTTATACATGATACATGCCATTTCCGGAGCTGAGCAGGTCGTGGACAAAGCACACATCAGTTCAAAGGTGCCGCAGATCTTGCGACGCTGCTAGGTCTCACTAGCTCACCTCTGTCCAATGCAAGCCAATGTCGCGCATGATCGACTTCTTACAATGAAACGTTATCCAGTGGGGATGTCGTATCGTCGCCATGTGAATGGGGATGATCCATGCTGCTTCACCGTTTCACGGGAGCTCGTTGCGGATGCGGAAGGTCGTGGTGCTGAATCGACCGCTGACTCGTCAAGACCCTCGGGCGCCATTGAGGGATCGGCACTGGCCCCGTCGTGGACCTGACATGGCGGCTTTGAGGTGCCGTGATAGATCATGACACCATGGCAAAGTCGCTTTGCGGGATGCCCAGACGGCAGCTATGGTGTTGGCGTGCTCCGGCCGGGGTGCAAGTTATGGGATTCTCCCCCGTCTAGACTTTGGCGTGATGTCGAGTGTCACTTGTATTTCACCTCGAATAAGTTGAGACCAATCGAAGTTTATGATTGCCAAACCCCGGGAGCGAGGCCAGCGGTTTCGAATCCTGAATGGTGCATCTGCATCACGTTGTATCGTGTCGCTCCTTGTGGGGGCTCAGGAGGTCTGTCTTCGATGTTCATGTTAGTTGACTAGCGGTGATGATGCTCCAGTTCACCAATCCGCACCATGGGCACTGTGAAAGGATAGCTCAAAGTGGGCCGCGTCTACCCAGCTTCCAGACACGAAAGGATATGCCGATCTCTGCAACATTGGTGCTGTTTGAGGAAACCCAGGGGCCACAGCGCTCGGTCGTCGTTGGCAATTGTTAGATGGGATGTTGTTGCTTGCCCCCACGGAGGAGTTTACGTCTCGAAAGTCGTTGCTCGACATGTCTCTCAAATCGCAAAGGCGATTATACTCGATTGTTGCATTACATGCTAATTACATATCGGAATCGCATATTTCGAGGCTTCCCTTAGTCACGAGTCCACGATGTGATCTCCAAAGCTGGAAGTATCTGTTTTTGTTAAAATGAGTACTACGTTAAAGTTGTTTCGTAAGTTTGTATTCCAGTGCACGAGTAAGACTCAATAGTTGATTCTGCCGTCCGAATACAGCAAATGACTTCCAACCGCACTGAGCGCGATCACTCGCCTCCGCCCTCTATCGAACAGAGCCAGCCCGTCTCATCAATTACGCCCTCTTCTTCAGGACCACTGGGCTAGAAATAGGGTTAAAACGTGGCAAGGCTCCAACACTCGCTGGGCGTGGTACGAAACGACTCATCGACATGCTCGATCATGATCAGAATCGACCCCCCAAACGACGTAGGTGGACTCCCGGAAAGTCACTTTCTGTCAGCGACAGTACGTGCGCGCCAATCGACCAGGTCGAGCTATGGCTCCCAGACCAGCGGTGGCCACGAGAATACTTCGATCAGACATAGAACAACCACTTGCCCGAAAGGAATCGACCTCGCCCATTGTCTGCAAACGCTCAGACTCTAGCACATCTGCAAACCAAGCGACCAAATACCAAGAGAACACAAGAGCACTCCATACGGAGATCCACAATACGAGTTGTCTCTAGAGACAAAGGGTTTTTTTTTCTTTATGACCAACTGCAAGCTTGGCCCCTTGGTTCCTAGCAAGACCCTTTCCAAGAGATTGCTTCAAGCGAAGCAGATGGTCCCCTAGGACACGCTTTTCCGCGGCGACGTTTTCAAATCCACCCATCAAAACATTCACAACGGGAACGAGACCAGCATCATTCAAGACATTGCTCGACTCATCGTTCCGTCTGCCGAGAGTCTGGCTGCGTTGGACGCCAAACACATCGATCAGTTAGTGGAGAGTGTCAACGACGGCTGGGATACTCGGTCCCGTGGACTGGCACTCGTCCCCAACCAGACCACTCTGTAGGGTTCAGGCGCGAGGCGTTCACAGAAGGATCAGCTTGCCAAGCTGTCGCCCTTTCTTGGCAACTTTGTCGCTGGCGAACATTCTTTGTTCATGAGCACGTACTACATGCTTACAGCTGCTTACAGTATTGCTTTCGCGGTACGGGGAAATGTCGAGCTGTTACGCGTTGTGAAGCGTGAAGGCGAGGTCGACCGGAAGATCCTTTCTGGCCGCGTCAGCACTGCAGTTGGTCACATTCCATGTTCGTGTTGGCTCGGCTCTTTGGTGGCCTGCAATGCCTGCATCACCCTGCGCCTCAATGCAGAGCGAGCAAGCAAGGGTCATGGCGATGTGGCCCGGTCTAAAGCGAGTGAAGCGACCCGAGGTCGCGTGTCTCGTGGTCAGTCGTGCGCCTACTTGGTAGCTTTTGCCCGCTGTGACGCGAGTTGATTCCATGTCCAGTCTTGAGCAATGAGACGGCACGCCGCGCAGGCACTATGGTTTCTGGAATTATTAACCTCGAGGACGGAAATGGCTGAACTGGTGGGCTATCAGCGGTAAAGCCTAGGCTACAATGCCAAGTCAATCATGCCAGGGGCCTGCCGCCTGTGGAATTTCCGGGGCCCATAAGGCTCCAGGCCAACCCACGGGAGCTTGGCAGGCCTTTCAGAACATGAACTCACATGGTCTTAAATACCACCTTGCCGAACCGTGGACTCATCCTGGAAAACTTCCGAGTCAGAGCTTGTCTGTCTAAGACACACAGTTTCAATCCTCTCCCCTCAGCTAGCCGTCCTTTTCTTTCCCATCGCTCACCAACGCCGGGAACGCAAGATGCGTCCACGTCCAGTCCTGCTCTCCACAATCACCCTGGCCTGCGCTCTCCCCCCCACAGCTCACGCCTTTCAGTTCACCGGCCCCGACTCGGCCGACAAACTCGACCTCGCCAAGCCCATCACGGTAGAATGGAGCGCCACGGAAGGATCCCTCCACGTGCCAGAGGCCCGCTCACTCGAGCTCTGGTTCTCCGCAGTCACTGGCGATAGTGGTAGCCAGGCTAGCTGGCAGCTTGCCGCCAACCTGTCCATCTCGAGTCCTACCTCGTACGAGTGGGACCCCAGCAGCATCGTGGAAGGCATCCAAGACATCGACGGGACTCTCTCGCCAGAGGCGGTGCACAACTTCGAGGCTAGGCTGCTTGATGTGAATGGGAACAGGCTGGCAACGGTTGGGAGCGACAACTACGCTGTCGAGGGCTTTGACTTTGTTGAAAACAGTGTCGGCGGCGAGAGGACGCGGGCTAGGGTCTACTTGGCCGTTGTTGGTGCGGCGGCAGGAGTGCTGCTTGGGGACCTGTAGACGCGTTTAGGACATGGGGACTGCAACTTGAACTGACTAGATCATTCGCAAGCAACATGGATGTCCGAAGTGAAGGGGCTGACGCCACACATGAAGATTCAGAAGGCTGGGATTGCTGGAGACCCTGCACGATCACTGCAAGGAGTAGAGGGTTGTAAAAGATGCGAGCGACGATGAGATTATTTGTCAGGTCGCTGATGAGCATGATAGCTACTATCGCAACTTGGAGGCTGCCCCTGCGCTATTCATCACGAATGGCAAAACGCCTTTATGGTGTAGTAGTCTGCGCTATCGCAACAACGGCCTTGTCCAGAATTGGCTTGCTTTTTCGCGCCCTTGTCTTTGTTCTCATGAATAAACCCTGCCCGCATTGCGAGCGTCTGTCTTTTGACTAGGAGCAGGGTTGAAACATACCACGGCACGTCTTTGTGATTGAGTTAATCAGCATCTGTTTCCCAGGGAGACTGGCGCAGACACCGTCTGAAATGTGATAGGTATCCCTTGACCAGGCGCAAAAGATAGAACCTCTAGTTGAGAACCTAATAGCGACAGGTTTCATCACATGCACCCGGCAAGCCATGGGCAAAGCCATGGCCATGAATGAGATGATTGTCTTCTTGAGCATGTTGAATACGCTGGAGGGTCGAGGTTCTTGTGGTTTGATAATATCGGCCGAGGAAAGGGCGAGTGCTGTGTGGTTTGAAGATCCCCAAGTCCCCCCAAGCATGCTTTTATACTTGTTGGAAACAGCAAATCAAACAATTACTCCACATTCTGGTACCACAACCACATGCCCTTGAGTCTCTTGATAGCCTCACTTTTGGTCGAGAAACGATATTGCGCAGTAAGCGCCAAGCCGCCTTGGTCTCTCCGCCCCAATGAGCCCTCACCTGAGTGTCAGAACCGGTCTACTGTTGCTTTCATTCTATGCAGCAGACTGAAAGTACGGCCTCCCGCCTGTCTGATCTGCAGCGGGACCTAGCGGAGCCCAACGTGCCTACAGGGCACACGATAGCCGGAGGCCAGTGAAAACGCGAACCAAATGCTCAGCAGTCTGTCGTGTTTCTTTCTCGATAATTCAGCAGAGCTCACGTTCCAGAACACCCGAATTGGATCGTTCTTCTCGGCGACGACTATTGGATATGAATAATAGACCTTGGCCCTGCCTACACATATGAGCTTGGATGACGGACTAATCGTTTATATGACGACTGGCCCCGCGCATTCCCTCGGCTGTCATAGGGAAAACAGTTCAATTGGCGTGGCGGCGAGGACTTCATGTTGTGTGACCAACAAAACCAATAGTCCACAATGTGGCATAGATCATCTTGCCTCATACGACAACGAACACCCTCTGTTGTGGGTCACAGGCAACCTCCACGCTGCTCTGTCGTCCTTAACTATTGCAAGTGAGCGTGCAGAGACTAACGGCTTACCTAGACTTGGTTCAGGCCGGCACCTCTACAAACACGACGCGACCAAGCTTTCACAGTGACGCGGCCCATTTACCGTCATTAAAACGAGCCCTCGCATGCCAAGTCACTAAGATAGGCCCAGTGTGGAAAATTGTTACCTGAAGCCGGCCTAGCTGGGTCCTCCCAGTGCAATTAGATAGTACAGCTAGCTAGAGATGCAAGATACATGGAAATATCCAAGGGGACCGAAAGATAGTTACCGTCTTGGTAACCCGTACACCAGTTCGTGGTGACGGTAGGATAGGCTTTGATAGCAATGACACGAGATGCTCTTCCAAGGCGTACGATCCCTCGCTGTTCCTCTAAGACAATGAACGGTCGCTAGGTGTGACATTAGACTTGGAGCAGATGTTCCGTCTTTCGACGCTGTGCCTCATGTAGTCTGCGGTGCAACACATGTGACATGTCCAATCTCATCTATTGGCCGGGTGACTGCACGCCTGGTCAAAAACAGCCGGTCAGGCCTTGCATTCCACGATAACTGATGAGATTGCACGATTGCTCCATTTCTCCACTGCCATCTCTGTCTGTTTCCTAATATCTCGTCACGCATGCCCATCAGGGTGCGAGATGCGGCGTCCCGCCGCCCCCACAGAACAAGGTTAGGCTACAAGATTTAACCATGAATCAGGCTTTAATTAATTAGCAGACATGCTAAACCTGGGGAGATGAGAGAGCCCCAGCCGCCAAGATCATTCCATACTTACAGTTGTCGTTCCCCCATGGGCTTCTACCAGTATACCCCACAGCCTCCCAAATCGTGGGTGAACAAGCATGAATTCGGGTAATTTATGCTTACATGTCTCACAAATTGGCTGGCGCCAAGGTCACCCATCTCGGTGGTCCAGACCCTTTGCGCCCTGCACCGCCGCGATCGTTTTCGATGCCGGATTTCCGAAACGCATGCTCAGACGAATGAGCGTCCTTGTAAATAGATTGCAGCCCTACATCCACATGCACGTCGAAAGGAAGCAGCCGTCTTGGTAGGGTCTGGTCCTCGCTGCAATTTCATGGTGCCTAGTCAGTGGTCTTAGCGCAACAACAAGTCGCAGACCGGCAACACGCACGTGGACGTTGTTGCAAGCACTTGAGCTAGTGCCGTTCCCCGGACATACGGAAGAGTCTCCAAGCAGGAGCTTCGCATCCGTGGGCCAGAGCTTCCACAGCATGACGAATAGAATGTGTTCTGACCAGAGATGCGGCGCGGGACTGCAAGATCTAGGCGGCAACCAAGGACGCCACACCTTCTAGAAGAGGCCGAAGAGCTGGTTCTGAGGCTTTGGTCCGGCGCTAGCGCTAGCGTTCGTTCCATGTGCCGTCTTAGTCTTGAGTCGTGACTTTTCCGGCCCTGATTCATGCGTGTAAGACGGGAAGAGAAAGAGAAGAAACGCTCCCAGGCTGCGGGGAAGAGGGACCCGGGATCCATCGACCGGCCTATCGAGTCAATACTCTACTCATTGCCCACGCTCATTAAGCCCAGCCGTGCTCATTCGAGTTGGCAGTAGCCTCGACTATGGCTGAGACCTCGCGGCTCATTGGCGGTGCATTCTGCCGCTTCGGACTCCCGGACCAAGGGGTTCCAATGGCAAGGATGGGCAGAATTCTTTGGGGGACCATGGGGTAATTCGTCGCTCGGAGCCTCGGATGAAGGGGGTCTGGGCAGTAGACTAGTCTCGGTGTGGGATAGAATGCTCCCATCAATCCGTGCGTGCGTTCAAGCGTAGAGATTCCGAGGTCGCACCAGGGTCGAGGCAGGCAGATAACGCGCGCGTTGCGTTACAAGGGCGCTTGCATATAGAGCAGAGTCCCATCGGCCATCTCACTGATCCCCCTCTTCCTGTCTCTTGAGCGTCCTTGTGTGAGCGGCCTTCCCATATTTCTGCTCCTCACTGATACTACCATCACCTTCCCTTCTTCGAGTGGCACTCTGACACACAAGGGCAGCCTCGCAGTGGCAAGAAAGATGGACTCGACTGGTGTCCAGAAAAGACCTGAGGGCAACGCCAACCTGGAGACGTCCTCCACCGAGAAGAATCTTCACGACACAGATGTCGCCCTAGGCTCGACCGAGGTTGAGTCGGCCGGCTTCGACTTTGCGCGGACCAAGAAGCTGTTACGGAAATGCGACAAGGCGCTTCTACCGTTTCTGGCGCTGCTGTACCTGCTCTCGTTCCTAGACCGCACCAACGTTGGCAACGCCAAGCTGGCTGGCTTGGAAGAAGACCTGAACATGAATGGGAAATGGGATTACAATGTTCGTCTCCCCCTGCCTGCTTCATTCGAGAGAGATATTGGGACTAACACGAGTGACAGGTTGCTGTGTCCATGTTTGTGATCCCCGTGCGTCCCTGTTGGCCGACGTGAATAGCTAACAGGTCAGCTTCTTCCCCTTTTATGTCGCAGCTGAAATGTGAGTACGTCCACTCTCGCTGGATGTAGCAAAAGAAAGCTCACAAACAACAGCCCGTCCAACATGGCCATGAAGCGATTCCGCCCATCGATCTGGATCCCCTCCATCATGGTCGCCTGGGGCTTCTGCACCATCATGCTGGGTGTCGTGCACAACTATGCCGGCCTTTTGGCATGTCGCGCAGCTTTAGGTCTGGCCGAAGGTGGCCTGTTCCCTGGCATCACCTACTAGTGAGCACAATGCCCTTTCCCGAGCCATTGTGTGATACGTGTTCGAAATTGGCTGACACGAGCGCGGCTCAGCATCACCATGTGGTACAGACGACACGAGTGCGGCCTGCGCATGGCCATCTTCTTCTCCGCCGCCACGGCCGCCGGTGCATTTGGTGGCCTGCTCGCATTTGGCATCATGCAGATGGATGGCACGGCAGGTCTCGGGGGCTGGAACTGGATCTTCATCCTCGAGGGCATTGCGACGTTGGTGATTGGTACATCAGAGCTTCTCTCCTCTCTCAGAGTACAACACGCACTGACAACAGATATGTAGCCATCACCGCCTTCTGGGTCATGTACGACTACCCGGCGACCGCCAAGTTCCTCGAAAAGGAGGAAAAGGCCGAGATTGTGCGCCGGCTGGAGCACGACCGCAGCGTGCTCTCGGACGAGTTCAAGATCCAGTTCATGTGGGACGCCTTCAAGGACTGGAAGATCTACGTCCACATGCTCATCACCATTGGCATCTACACGCCGCTGTACTCCATCTCGGTCTTTATGCCGTCCATCGTCAAGGGTCTGGGCTTCAGCAACGAGATCGCGCAGCTCATGACGGTGCCGCCGTACTTTGTCGCCTGCCTCTTCACCATTGGCGGCGGCTGGCTCGCGGATCGACACGGGCAGCGCGGTATCTACATGATGGGCTTCTGCCTCGTGGCGTGAGTTCTGGTTTTGACACATCGTGTTTGCGCATATATGCTGACTTGCTGGTAGGATGATCGGCTTTGCCATCCTAGCGGGCGCGGACAACCTCGGGGCCAAGTATTTTGGCTGCTTCCTCATTGCGTCGGGCATCTACCCCAACGTGCCACAGGGTGTGGCATGGAACGGCAACAACATTGGCGGCTCGCTGAAGCGCGGCGTCGGCATTGCCATGCACGTTGGTTTCGTAAGTCTCCCTCGGGAATTCTGGAGGTGTGTAAGCACGAGCTAACAACAGGCAGGGCAACCTTGGAGGTGCTGTCGCAGGCTTCGTGGTGCGCGCGCAAGAGGCGCCTCACTACCGCTCTGGACACCTCACACTGCTTGCCACCACAACCATGAGCTTTGTTCTCTCGGGGTTCATGACATGGTATCTGCGCCGGGAGAATGCGCGTCGGGAGCGCGAGCACAAGGCTCCCACGGAGTACACGTACGAGGAGAAGCTCACGCACAAGGAGGATGGCGACAACGCGCCATTTTTCAGGTACACGGTCTAGCACGGGTGGTGATGTTGACAGCGTTGGACTGCTGATGGCGGTGCTAGTGTCAGAGATGGTTTGGCTGGTCTGCAGAGGCCGGTAGAAGAACAGAGCATGCTTGGAATGAAGACGGATTGCTTGGCGATGATCATCGCTGCTTGTTTGCGATGCGCTTGAAAGGGAGCATCTCCTCGGACTGTATAGGTTAAGCGGATTAACTAGGAGAAGAGCATCGTTCACTCTGCCTACCCGGCACATCATTCTCTCTGGTCGCCGATGGTTGGCAGATAGCCGTAAGAGTGGGTCTTGAACTCGGACTTCAACGTCCAACAATCGGTCCTCATCACACCGTCAGACCCCACGAAGCGTACGCCAGACCAGAGATCTGGCATGCTCTTCACGAGAGGCATTCCAAGAATAAGATGACGAGCCCCCAAGAGGACCTGGACCCTCGCCAGGCCTCCGACGCGTCTCCCCTCCTCCATGGCCACGCTCGCCACCACGATGAGCCGGACTCGTACAATGGCGACCTTCTCACCACCGCAGAAACGCGCAATCTCGCACGGGGTCTTTCCCAGCGTCACCTCTCCATGCTCGGCATCGCCGGCGCCATTGGCACGGGTCTCTTCCTCGGTCTCGGCGGGGCCGTCCAGTCCGGCGGTCCTCTCGGCGCGCTCCTCGGGTACGCGACCATCGGCCTCGTCGTCTGCGCCGTGCAGTTCGCCCTCGGCGAGACGGCGGCTCTCCTACCCGTCACGGGCAGCTTCGTCCGACACGCCGAGTTCCTCGTCGACCCGGCGCTTGGCGTCGCGCTGGGCTGGAATCTCGTCTATGGCAACTGCCTGTCCATCCCGAGCGAGATCACGGCCATTTGCGTGCTGTTCCAGTTCTGGACGGATGCCAACCCGGCCATCTTCATTGTCCTCTTCATCGCGCTCACCGTGGTCGTCGGCTTTGCGCGCATCAGGGTCTTTGGCGAGGTCGAATACGTCTTCGCCTGGATGAAGACCCTTCTCGTCATCTTCCTCGTCCTTCTCGGCGTCGTCATCGCCTCTGGCGGCATCTCGGGTACGCCCGCCACGGGATTCAACTACTGGCGCGATCCAGGTCCGTTCGTCGAGTTCATCGCACCTGGTCATCTGGGTCAGTTTCTGGGATACTGGCAGGCGTTGGCCGGGGCGGTGTTCTCGTTCGCGGGAGTCGAGAGCATCGCCATGGCGGCGGCCGAGACGCAGAACCCGCGCAAGGCGATCCCTGCCGCGTGCAAGCAGGTCTTTCTGCGCATCTTCCTGTTCTACATGCTGGCCATCTTCGTGGTGGGCCTCCTGGTGGCGAGCAACGACCCGCGACTGGATGGATCCTCGGGGACAGCTGCGCAGAGCCCGTTTGTCATTGCCGCATCGGCCGCTGGGATCCCCCTGGTCCCATCTATTGTGAATGCCGTGGTGATCACCTCTGCATGGTCAGCCTCGAATCAGGCCCTCCTCTCTGGGACGCGTGTGCTGTACGGGTTAGCCCTCAAAGGCCAGGCGCCGCGTGTCTTCTTGCGCACGACGAGCTGGGGCACGCCGTACATGTGCGTCCTTGTGTTTGTGGGTGGCATGATGCTCAGTTTCCTCAGTCTGTCGAGCGATGCGATAACAGTTTTCTGGTGGTTTGTGGACCTGACGGCCGCTGGGGTGCTGGTGAGCTGGACGGCCATCTTGGGCAACCACATCAGGATGAGGAAGGCCTTCAAGGTGCAAGGGATACCGGAGTCGAGGTTACCATGGTACAACTGGTGGACAGGTGAGTCTTGCGTGGTGACATCCTGCGGAGACTGCATGAATGGCTGACACCGTGTCAAACAGAGTACTCGTCCCACGCAGCACTGGTCATGTGCGTCACGATCCTGTTGACGAGTGGCTTCGCCGTCTTCACGCCTGGTAACTGGGACCCCAGCCAATTTGTGTCTTCCTATCTGTAAGTCAAGACTCAACTGAAAGATTCGTCGTGGCACGCTCGCTGACGGTGCGTAGGGACATTCCTCTCGTTGCCGGTGCATTCTTTCTTTGGAAAAATTGGAAGAAGACAAGCATCGTGTCCCTCAAGCAGATACCGATATCTGCCGCTTTGGAACAGGCCGAGGGATCGGTATGAATCAGCCATGCATGTAGGCAAATGGACAGCGTCTCGGTCGCTCTGCTCGTCCGCCTGTACGTCCACGTCTTCCCACACGCAAGCACGTGGTATTATGAACCTGCGTCTCCGCGGTTCTGGCTTGGGCATCTGGGGCAGGGTTTCCGATGAACAAATAAGATCTGCCGAGCACACCTCCCTTCCCCCACGCGGAGAAAAAGAGGAGCCAAGACGGGCGGACCCCAACCTCCTCCCACCATCACACTCGCCCACCATTCGGCCAGCGGCGCCGTTGACTGAAGACGAACGGCGGCTCCCTGCCCGCTCCAACGGCAGTAGCGTCGTCGTCGCTCACCTCCACGTCGGTCAATGTGGCCAGTGGATGGATGGGGCTCGAAGTGGGAGAGATGTTGAGAGATGAGGGAAATCCGGGGTCAGTGTTCCTCTTTGCGGGGAACAAGTCAATTATCTATAAGCTGACCTTGTCCTCGCTGAATCCCGCCTTTGTTTTCCTGGGCTCATCTGCAGTGCCATCTTTGCTCGACAGAAGTGTGCAGCTATCACCCCGGTTACGATGGCGGCGCACCAAGAAGACAATGACCAGCGCCTGAGCGCAGAGCAGCACCGGCTCCAGCACCAGCCGACCCACGACGTCGAGAAGCTCAACTCGACGCACCAGGAGGACGATGTCATTGACAAGAGCGATCCCGTCCGCGAGGAACACTACTCGGGCGCCGTGGCCAAGTCGTCCGCCGAGGAGATCAAGCTGGTCCGCCGTCTCGACCTCTTCCCCATGCCCACCCTCTGGATCATGTACTTTCTCAACTACCTCGACCGCGCCGCCATCACGCTCGCCCGCCTCAACGGTATCCAGGACGACCTCGGCCTCGAGGGCTCGCAGTACAACACGGCCGTCTCCATCCTCTTTGTCGGCTACATGCTGGGCCAGATCCCGTCCAACATGGCCCCTGACCCGCGTCCGCCCCTCGTGGTGGATGGGCTCCTTTAAGATCGCCTGGGCCGTCGTCAGCGCCCTCACCGCGCTCGCCAACGACTATGTTAGCATTGTCCTCACACACTTCTTCCTTGGCGCCGTCGAGGCCCCCTTCTACCCGGGCGCCCTGTTCTTCGCCCTCATCGCTTGCTTCACGCTCCCCGACGCGCCTCTGCAGATACGCTGGTTGACTCCAGAGCAGCGTCAGCTCGCACACGACCGTGTGCTCCAAGACACGGTTGGCCAGCGCACCGACGCCTCCATGTGGAGCGGCTTCAAGGAGGCGCTGCTCGATCCCAAGGTGTGGGTGTTCATCTTCAGGCAGCACGTGCACCTAGGCACCAACGGCTTCAAGAATTTTGTGATTCAAGTCTCGCCTCTTCGCATGACAGTCACGGATCAAGGAGATGCTGACCATCTAGTTCCCCACCATTGTCAACACCCTCGGCTTCAGCACCACCGTGACCCTCGTCCTCACCTGCCCGCCCTACCTCATCGCCGGCGGCATCTCCATCTTCTGGGCGAGATCGTCCGGCCACTTCAACGAGCGCACGTGGCACATTACCATTGCCAAGTGCGTGGCCATCCTGTGCTTTGCGCTCGCCTGCGCGACCCTGAACGTGGGTGCGCGGTACTTTGCCATGGTCGTCTTCACCGTCGGCACGTACTGCGTCAACTCGATCCTGCTCGGCTGGGTGGGCAGCAGCTGCGGCGAGACGAGGGAGAATAAGGCGGCCGCGCTCGCCATTGTCAACGTCAGCGCCACCCTGAGCTTTGTGTGGACGTCGGTAAGTTCAGTTGGCCATGGATGAGAGGATGACACCGCGTGCTAATCGTTGGACAGTAACTCTGGCCATCGTGGAACGCCCCTCGATACACCATCCCCATAATCTCCAGCGCTAGCCTGGCCTCCTCCTGCATTCTCGGTGCCTGGATCCTGAGGTGGATGTTTGGACGGCAGAACAAGAAGATTCGTGCTTCCAACTCGGAGGCAAGGCTCTTTTACGCCTATTGAGAGAGCACTCCATGTCGTAATGAACTTGCCAAGAGACTGAGTCCGGAGAAGGACTCTGTGGATGAGGCTGAGGCTACAGCTAGGCAACGCATCAAGCAACCCCCAATCCAACTTCCACTCTTCCTCCGCTCCATCATGGGTTCTTGTCAATGTGAATCGACGTGCTCCCCGCCTATTCCCCCGGGAATGTCACCGATCCCTCAACTCCATGTGCCAAGCCCATCCTTCTCTCCACAGTCCCCGTTGCTGATGCACCCCGTGAGCCATGGTCCCCTCGGCCTCACCCTCCGTCCTCGGCCATCTCAACCGCCCTCCCAGACTCTCCCGCTCCCACAACTTTCCCCCGTGCTGACTTGCAGCAGCAGGACGAGACATGCCGAGCTCCACAGCTGCCTGCGAGCGCTGCCACCGCCGCGAAGTCCGCTGCGACGGTAGAACGTCGTACGCCTCGAGGAGAAGGTCAGGGAATCGACGGCCGAGAAGGATGCGCTGCAGGGCGAGCTGAGACGCCAACGCCAACGTCCGCAACATGATCAGAGCAGCGGAATCAGTCCAGAGACGCCATCAGCCTCCTATGCTGCGACATCGTCGACACCGCAGGGTGTTGGAGGAGACGTGGCTGATCAAGTCGTCCACCTATCCCTCATTGCTGGAGGCGGACAGCACTTTGTCGGGTCTACCAGCGGTCTTCTGCTCGCGAATCTCCTCCAGTCACGCCCACAGGGCCCTTCATCTCTCGACGCAGCATCCGCCTGGCAGCCTTTGCAAAGCGATGGCCATGCGACATCCAGTCTCCCCCCGAAGCCGCTGGCGCAGGATCTCCTCGCGGCGTACTGTAGCCACGACCATCTCTGCTACCCTTTTCTCTCCACAAAGGCCCTCCATCGGTCTCTGGATCTCGTATATGACACGGACAAACCCGGCCCCGTGGACGCCTCCTTTGTCGACATGACACTCGCCATTGGCACAGCACAGGTATTGCAAGTTTGGTTGGAACGGCATCTACGACGCGGAGACGCACTACAGCCGCGCCATGACCCAGCTCGCGGACGTGCTCGCGGACGTGCTCGCGCGCGACGGCATCGCGAGGGTGCAGGCGCTACTCCTCGTGTGCCAGTATCGCATGGGCACGACGTCGAGCGACACGACGAGTGTGTGGCATCTCATTGGCGTGGCAGCCCGGACGTGCCTCGGCGTACGTCCTGCGTGATGAGCAGTCTGAAGGCTCTGGCGCAGCGGAAGAGATGGAGGTCAAGAGACGTTGTTTCTGGAGGCTCGTCGCGCTGGACACAAGCCTCGCTCTCGGCAGGCCCTTTACCATACAGCTGGACGATGTTGAGGTTGACCTCCCGCACTTTGATTCGTTGCCAAAAGGAGACGTCGTCGCGCCGCAGAGCTCCTTGAACTTGACAGGCGCGGAGTATGGCACGCCGCAGTGGCACATGGCGATTTCCATCTTTGCACACATTGTGCGCTACCGACTCATCTGCGGCACGATCATGACCTCGCTTCATCGCAATGCCAACAAAAAGCACAACACCTATTGCTCTTCGACTCACACGGATCACGAGGCCGTTTGCGAGACGCTCTCTCGTGAGTTGCAATCCTGGCTCTCGCAGACGGCTGACCTTCCACTGGTATCGGGCGCCGCTTCATCACCACCATTCTCTTCGTCATCTTCCTCAACATGACAGCAGCGAGGTCAATTCTCCAGCTTTCGTTCGGAAGAGTGGTACCTCCTCTGCTACCACAACGGCATTGTAATGGTCTACCGTCCCTCGCCTTGTCTGAACGACACCACGCGCAACAGCCTCACACTGCAGCACGTCTACACGTCATCACGCTAGTCGATATATCTCTACGCGACACTGTACCGCAGCGGGATCTTGAACTATAGCTGGATCACCATGCAGACCGTCTTCATGTCGGGACTGTCGTACATTTACGCATTGAGAAAACGCCTGCAGGAAGAGGGAGCCCGTCTTTCGAGCGAACCCAGTATCGGCCAGGTGGTCAACCATACGAGAGCCTGCTCAAAGGTCCTGGTCGCCGTTTCCGAGCGGTGGGTTATGGCACATACGTGCTCAGAGCTGTTTGATCGGCTGAGCGGTGCCTTCGTGGCGGACGTGGTCGAGGTCGGAACGTCTTCTTCGCATGTGCGTCCTGTTCCCACCACGCCGCAACAGTTGCCGATGCTCACGCCCACTGGAACGTCGAGGGGGGATGGTGGAATTCTGGACCTGGGCACGGGCGATGGCACAGCAGCAGCAGGACGTCAGCATGTACGGCCAGACGGTAGTGGCGCCTAGATTCGTCAATATGACCGTGGACAGCACCCTCAGGGATTGCTTCCCCGATCTACAGAATCTGGGGTATGATCAGTACCACACCGATGCCATTGCGCAGCTATCACAGGACTGGTTCTTTGGTATTGGCGATCCGGACGGGCGGTACTACTAGCTGAATGGACAATCCTCTCCTGACACTTGATACACGTCCATCTCTGCCTATATGCGCCCCCTCTCCAGAAACCTCTTTGGTACATCAATGTACCGGCTCCGCAGATACTCTGCAATGCCCTTTCCAAGGCCGTCGATGCGATCCGACGACGCAATGCCTCCGTGCAGGTTGTCCATGATCCGGCTACAAATCCTTTGTTAGCAAGATTCCTCACATCACATCACGAGAGCACTCACAAATGTACAGCGTTGATGCCTGGAAACTCAACCCTCTCCACCCTCCTCATCGTGTCCCCCCTGAACCAGTCCTCGCCAAGGAGGCTCTTGAGCTTGCTCGTGCTCAGCAGCATCCGCAGCCAGGGATACTCATCATCATGCCGCACAAAGAAGCCCACGTTGGAGTTGTCCGCCTTATCCCCCGATCTCGCGTGCACGATGCTCCCCAGGGGCGCAAACTCGCTCGGCCCGTACGCCAGCAAGTCGACCGGCTTGGCCGTGTCGCTCGTAGGCCGCACGGTCGGGTACACCCTCGTCACCTCGTGCGGCGGGATAGCCATGGTCTGCCCGTCGCTCAGCGCCACGCGGTGGTCAATGTTCGCCAGGCTCATCATGGCCGGGAACATCTCCATGAACAGCTTGGGACTCATCGTCCGGAAGTCCAGGTTCATGTGGTACCCAGCGTAGCTCTGCATCCGCAGCGCGTAAATTGGTGTCTTGAAGCGGATCTCGTCAATGTCCTCCTTGCGTCGCGCCGGGCGAACACACGCAGCGAGACGGTGCCCTGCTGCTGCGACGAGGGGTTCGAAGCGGCTGTGCCGTACAGCTCGATGCTCAAGCGGGAGAAGTTGCTGTCCCCGAAGACGTGCGCCGGCTGTGCTCGCATCATCTCCGCCTTGGCCGCCACGTCGAGCCCGTTGATGTAGAACATCGCCTCGGCCTGGAAGCCTCCCTTGGCAGCCACCATGACCTTGGTCGTCGGCGGTGGCGGCAGCCCCTTGACCCCCGTCACACGTACGCGGTTGGCAGCCTCCTCATCTTCCACCCATACGCCAGACAGATCGGCCACAGCATCTGGATTGAGGTACAGATGCCCCTGCAGCCCGTACAGCAGCTGCGCCGTGACGGTGCCCCTTGTCACCCGTCCTCCTCCCTCACTCGTCTTGCTAGTGACGCATCCACCATGATAGTCAATCTCCGCCATAGGAAACGCCAGATCAACGAGCTCGGGCAGAAAGTCCTTGAACCCGGAGAAGTTGGCGCCCACAACATACGGCCCACACTCGATCAGGTGCGCCGCCAGCAACGACCCAGCGAGCTGCTCGTGCGACGACGAAACGTCCCAGTCGTGCCACCATGCGGCAGCGCCCATGACGGGGCTAGCATCCGTTCCGCGTCTACAGAGCACGATCTACGCCCCGGCACGCAAGGCCTGTGTGATACCCGCGCAGTCAATGTAGGCACTGCCACATGTCGGCTCAAACTCCCAGTCTGCGAGCGACACGTGCTCCTTGTCGAGACGATGCGGCGCCCTGCGCCCTACGCCGCGTCGTTACCCGCACGAGATCGGACACATCGTCGCCATAGACAGCCGCCACCACGACGTGATCATAGCCACGCGCCTCGAGCAGCGTCTTCACCTTGGTATACAAGCTCTCCGTGTTGAGCGCCCCGGCATTGGTCACCACGCGGATGCCTCCGCGGACAATGTCGTCCAGACACTCCTCCAGCTGCACGTAGAAGCCATTCTCGTAGCCCAGATTGGGGTCCACCTCCTGCTTGGTGACGGCGTTCCACGCAATGTTCATCTCGGACAGCCAGTCGCCGGTGACGACATCGCACTGGCCGCTCGAGACCATGCGGCGCATTGCGTGGGAGAAGTCACCTGTTGCGCCAGAGACGTTGCCCACGCGGACGGGACGCTTGGCCATGTTGACGTGCACGTAGTCACCCATTCTTGGCTGTTTTCGTTCCTAATTAGTGTCCGGGGGCAAAGTAGACAGATGAGCAGGGTTGGTGATGATGAGAAGGGTCCAACGTCTAATGAAGGCAAGACAAGGCAAGGTCCGGCTCTGCCCGGTCTGAACCTTTCCAGGCACCGCACACACCACTTCAAGTCAGGAACAATGTTTGTAGCGTCGAATATCAGAGCATCCTTCGGTTAGCAGAGTCCAGTCGTCGGCTCGTACTGTAGGGGAGTCGGCGTGGGAGGCCGAGCGGCGCGTTCTCCGTCGCCGAAGTCTTCTCCTCCACATCAACTCAGTTCAGGGGCAAGAGATCGAGATACGCTCAACACTGTATTCGGTATTGGTTCCGTTCCCGAACCTATAGTACAAATCATATTATCGCAAGTTAATGGTTTCTATGTTTCCCAAACCCGTCTATAGCCCCAACATCAATCGTCGCCCAAGAAAAGCACACCGCATTACTGAGTATACATGGTGAATAAGAAAGCCCAGCGCACAAACAAGATTCGGTATTCCTGCCCGCCCAGCGCCCTCGCCATGCTATTATGCCATGCCATGGAACTACACATGGCAGACGTCCCATGCCCGTCCCCTCCGCCCGCCTGCCTTGCGTGTCATCCGAAATCAGCGCCAATGCTTCGCTTCGCTCCCGTATAACAACAAAAGATAATAGAAAAATTAGACAGACACCCGTCCAGGTCGTATAGTACAGCGCCCAATCAAAGGCCCACGTCACGGCATCACTCCGTGTCGCCACTGTTCCACCCGTGTCATCGACGCGGGACTCGGGTCACCAGGCATCCCCATATGCCCTGGTAGCTGCATGTTTCCGTGGTTGTAACCGCTCGTGCTCCTCATGTGGTGACCGCCGAGTGGGCCTGTAGCCCCCATGGGGTTGACTGCGTATGGAGTCTGTGGTGTCGGCATGCCGTACGCACTCATCGCCGTCGTCGACCGTTGGTTCTTCAGTGTATGCATCTGGCCCTGGTTCTGGTTGTGGACGGCCGAGGATGATCGTGAGGCCTGGATGTTGCCGCCATACCCATCGTTGTAGGCGCCGCTCCGGAATCCGCCAGCACGCATTACGCTGGGGCTCTTGAGGGAAGTGGGCATGTGCGCTCTCATCGCGGCCATTTGAGCCTCCCGAGCTGCCTGGGCTTGACGTTCCTGCTCGACACGCTGCCTTTCCCTCTGCGCACGCGTGTCCCGCTCGCGTTTGGGATGGGCCTGCAGCATGTCCGCCATGCTCAGCCTACGCGTGACCACCGAGTCACCAACGAGGTTGTTGTAGCTCATCTCCCGCTCGCGGGCTTCGCGCTCCGCTTGTAACCTGCGACGACGCTGGCCAAGGGTCTCCTCCTCCTCGGCAGCCGGAGACGTCGACGTAATCTCCGGGCCTCCCCCCTCTCCAGGGGTGCCTTTGCCATGGTCCAGGTCGCCAAATTGGCTGAGAAGCTCGGCCGAGAATGAGCTGCTCACTGGCCGGGCCTTGGGTAGTTCATGGGTCTCGAGCCGCTTTTTCCGCGCGCCCAGTGTCTCTTCCTCAATTTCAGGCTCTTCAGGCTCCGGTGTCTTCATCGGTGTACGCGGGAGGCTCGATGGGGTTCGAGCGTGCCCTCCTAGGTGCGCGGATAGACCAGACATGCTTTGTCGCTTGGGTAAGGCCAAGGACATTGGCTCTTTGCCTTGGAGACGGGCTCGGCGACGGCTTAGCGGCTCATTGTCATCTATCTCGCGACGCTCCAAGAGTCCAATCGGGCGCTCAAGGTCGGCCATGTTCTTGGCCCCCTGGTGCTTCGCGGCAATAATGGCCAAGGGCACATCTTCGTCGTCAGAGCCATTCTGGGCAGCATGCGCCCCCGGTTCCTCCCATGCCAGATTGATACGTTTAGTTTGGCGGTGCTTGCGCTGCGTCTCAGCCACGGCGTCCATCTCGAGAAGTGTCATGTAGGAACCCTCAGTAGTCAACCGGGGTTGCGTCCGATGCTTCTGCTGCTGTTTGCGCAGTTGCAGCTCAGCCAGAAGCGTAGTAGGTTGCCCGTCCAGCTCCGGCTCGCTGTCAGACGACGAGTCTTGTTCGTCCGCATCCTCGCCCTCTGCTTCGCGTGCATCCCCTTGCCTACTCTTCTCATCACCACTCGCGGCGAGGGCCTCGGTCTCGGTCGCCGCCGTATCACCGTGGACGTCGCCCAGGGCAGACGGGCTTCGACTTCGGTGAGCCGTTGCCTCGTCCAAATTGCTGCTGCTGCGCCTCATAAACCACGAGCGCGACGAGCGTTTCTTGGTCGGTTGTTTGGCCGCGGCTTCGGGCTGCAGCGATGCGCTCGAAAGTTTCGACTTGTGCTTCTTGGTCTTCTTCTCCTTGCCGTACACCTCATCGCCCAACTTGCCACCGTACCCATGGTTTGTGAAAGCACCGACCGGCGCGTTGGTGGAGGCATCGAGCATGTTGTCTAGCGTAGCCATGGCAGAGCCGTCCTGAACCTCCACCTTGCTTTGCGTCGTAGGCATATCAAAGAACGCACTGGCGCGCAATTGGGGCGGCAGCTGGGACTCCGTCTTCTTGACTTTGTCCTGGCCGTTGTGAGACAGTCTCTGCGGGCGCCTGAGGAGCGCCGTTCCGGGCTCAGCGGGTGGTGTCAGGTCCTCTTCGCGGGCTTCTTGGTCCGGCGAATCGTTTGGTACATCCTGAGACAAGGCGATGAATGACCCGCGGTGACCCGCGAGTGGGTCCGGCAGCCAGGATTCGCGCGAGGTATCTGGCATGGCGGAACGTCTCCTAGGTTGAGCCACCTCGTGCTCTTCCGCGTACTTGTCAGACGGTAGCATGGCACTGAGGACCCTGGAGCGGCGCTCCTGGCGTTGCTCCTTCTTGGGTTTGTTGGACAATTTGGGCGGCAGGTTCAGCAAGGCTGGTACACGCGCTGGGTAGTACAGCATTTTTTGACCCGTTTCTGGGTCCGTGTAGGACTGCGGTCGCGGGTCTTTGGGGCTAGCCATATGGTACCTCAGCTGACTTGGCTCATGCTGTGCGTCTCCGTGCGACATCTGGCCCAGATGCTCGAAACTAGCGTCAAGTTGATCGTGTTCGTATTCGTGGTCGGCGTGCTGATCCATCTCGGGCTGCCAATGCACGCCGTCAAAGTCGCCAAAGGCCTCCATAGCCTGCTGGAACGTGTTGACGGAGCGAATGCTACTTTTGCGCATGACTTTGCCTTGTTGTTGTGACGGGGTCGTTGGCATCGCCTGCTGCACGGATGCGTCGCCCGTTGGCGTCGAGTCCTCGTCGGTTCCCAATGGTGCAGCCGTGACTTCCTGAAGCGAGGGGTCCACCTCGATGGGAGGCGCATTATCGGCGGCGTCGAGCGCGTCCTTGGTAAGCGATGTTGGCTCCAGCTCTATGATTTCAGCAAGGGACATCTTGGCCGACCGGACGCTGCTGACTGAGGCCTTCCCAGGGCCATGGCGCGCCATCACCATGGGCTCAAAGTCGAGATCCGCTGGCCGGCCGCTCGAGTTCTTGGACCCGGAGCGCAGGCGGCCGGTCATTGAGTTTGTAGGGGACATGATAAAGCCGGCTGGCGAGTAGCCGCCGTAACGAGCTGCCGCGTTCGTAGCAACGATTGATGAAGAGTTGGAGAGGTGCCTCTTGAGCTGTCCGACAGGCGGTAGCTCGTGGGGATGGTCGTCGCCTTGTGCGGCTCGGAGATTCGCAGCGAGTGTGGAGGATCGTCGGCTGTCGCTCTGCTTCAGACCATCGTGTAGCTCTCGAATGGCGTCTCCGATGGAGCTAGTACCAGTAGAGAGTCTCTCAGCCGTCGCTTCGAGTTGCGCAACGTTGCCAACAAATGCCGAATTTCGAATGTGCTGTTCAGGGAGATCGTGCAGGTGCCGGGACAGGGCACGCGAGCTGTGCTGACTCGTCGGCAAAGGGGTGGAGCTGGCGGAGGATGGCAAGGTGATAGGTTTCGGATGCGCAATGAGAGTGTCAGCGTGCACGGTGGTGGTCTGCAGAGGAGGAAAGGGAATGTGGCCAGGTGAGGATGGTGAAGATGGCGACGATCCAAGGGCATATGATGACGGCGGTGAGCCCCAGTCCGTATTCATGGCGACGATAGCGTCCAAGCTGTTGTTATTATTGGCGCCCGGAATAGGCCGTTGTGGCTTGACGGGGTCCACGTCCGGAATTGATGAAAGCGTCCGTCGAGGCGAAGCACTGATTGCGGCGGGATGAAGGGCGGGAGCGTCGCATTTTTGCTCGCTGGTTTCGTGGTCGAAACGGGCAACGACATGCCCGTTGCTCTGATGGCATGGACTCGAAGAAGAAGTCTGCGCCCTTGGCAATGTGCTCTGCGGCGTGCCTGTTGCTGGCGGTTCATGCGAAGCCACTGGTGCAGAGCCTGTGGCCGCCTGCGACATGATCGGCGGCGCTGTTGCCTCAGCGGTGCAGCTACCGTCCGCAGCGCCACCTGCAGTGGTGCACTCGCCAATTGCTGCAGCAGAGGTCGGTCTCGCCCGTGCGTCCTGGCATTCGTCGGCTGAGCTTTCGGGGGTCAGGAGGATTTGTTGGCGCGGCTGATTGCGAGATACAAGATGAGGTGTGTGTGAGAGAAAAGACGTCTCCAGACTTGTTGAGGTGGTGGCCGTGGTGGTGGTTGTACTGGTGGAGGTGGTGGTGGTAGTGGTAGTGGAAGGAGTCATGCGCGCCAGCAGGAGCGATGGGGATTGCTGGTGCTGAACCTGATTTTCGTCGATCTCCATGTCCCTGTTGGCACCACGCGGCCCATGGTCCGACACTGGTGTTGACAGGGAATCCATCACGACGCTTGCAGACATGTCTCGAACGCGCTCGCGGTGGAGACTAGTCTAATAGTCCAACAAGCCTCCAAGGACCGCCTCGTATTTCGATGGCGAGTTGGACGAGAATTTTCCCGACGCTGCAAGCAATCGGTCAGGCTTGTATGACCAAATGTGCAAGGTCGCATTCAACGTCGCCCTTGTTGGTCCAACCCTCTTCTTGCTGCTGGATCCTGATCGGAATCGAGACTAGTGGAGCTTTCGCGATGGCCGAGACGATTGGCGACGCCTGGTCCGGTCTTGACTCTTGGACAGACGAAGCTCTCGCACCGGAGCTTTTAGCTGCGAGTGAGCAAGACAAGCAAGCGCCTGCCTAACGTTAGGCTGTTGGCCACGCATCGGCAGAACAAGATTTCACAGTGGCTGGGCCCTGGAATAAGAACACAAACGGACGTGGGCTTGGAGCCTGGACGATCAAAGCAAGAACATGCGGGTAGGGATGGTGGTGGTCGATGAATCAAACGTGGCACACAACGCGGGATGCACCCTGCCGTCTGTTTGATTGACAGCCGACTATGAAGGTTCCCGACGCCCGGGAAAAGGCATGCTCTCAGTCGCACGAGGCTTCTGTGCCGGCTGTCTCAGCTTTCATCAAGATCGGTCGTGCAACGTCACGATGCGTACTGCTTATGTACGGGCACGTTGGTCTGAACAATGGACATGTACTCCCTACGTACATCATAATTACATGTATCCGTAGGCAACGACGAGATATTGTCCACCATCACTTGACGACATAATTACCTACCTCTACCCATGGATGTCTGCCGTGCCAACTTGGGCATGGATGCTGATAGAGTTCCAACTTCCAACGCAGCCACTACCAACCTGCAGCCGCAATCACGGTGCCGGCTGGATTCCATCCCTGTCAATTAATTGATAACACCAGACCAGTCAGCGACAATGCGTAGCAATGCTTCCTCCAGCTTGACAGTATCCAATTTCCACACTCGGAGAAGTTAGGAACGCAATCACTTTTGCGCACATCGAAACCAGTTGATATGAACGATGCATCCGGTGTCCTTTTTCCCACGTACCATACGCAATTGGTCCGTGTCTCAATACGGCCCTGTCATGTTGGTCGGAAACGATGCAGACCTCGCGACCTTATTACCACAAGTGTTTGGCAGAGCCAATCAACTTACTCCAACAGGTGCTAGCGGCCGCTGTTGAGCTAAGGGACGCTTCAGGTAGCCTTTTTTAGCTCAAAAATGTGGGCTACTCCTGTTTACAATTAGCGATCTCGAACAAACACAGCCAGAATGAACTTCCGAGGACAGTGCTACGTAGTTGGGCTCGTAATCATCTTCTTCGGTTGCTGACTAGTGAATAATACCCATACATGATTATCACAAAGGAAGTTTTGGTTATAAATAACTTTTGTAAGAGGTCTAGTAGTTGTGTTGAATAATCAGTTACGATAACATGGAAAAGCAAATGCTCCCAGCTTCGACACCTGTACTCAAACCCAGGCTGAAATAACGGCTGCTCTGTGTGTAAAAACACTCTACCTGAATTTAAAGAATGCGATTCAATGGATTAACTCAACAATAAACATTTCATGGCCTGCCTCAATTGCGCGGGTGATAATAGTGACATTGAAGCCTGCCTGTCGGGTAGCCTGCTGCGCAAGCGGCGAGCAGAGCTGTCACGGGATGTTTTCAGCAGCAGTGCCAGCGCACGCTGCGTGATCTCACGATAGCTTCGTCTCGGAGCTGCATCTCTTGTTGAGACGTGGAGACAGCTGGCAGGCGGTGTGCATCGATCACTTCGGCACCTGTCCGCGGTTTCCAGCCTTAATGGGATTTCCTCCTGGACTACGAAGGTACACTCTCAATACCGGGTTGCGTGTGAGTAAAGTTCCCTCGAACACGGCGATGGCAGTCGAGGACCATGAGGACGACCACGTAGATACAAATAGATGGACTAGTCTAAGTCTAGTACATACCTGTAGCACTACAGTGGTCAGTTTGTGGGGGTTGGTCGTCTGGTGGCTGCGAGCAGCGGGTTCAGCTACAGTCCCCCTGAACTACGGATACAAATAGTAATCATTGGCAGCATGCCACTTGTTGGTACCATGACTATCGGTGGCAGCATTCGACAATCACTCTAAAATTACAAGTGGATCTCAACTCTTGTTGAAGCGCAAGTACATGTGATCATTACCATCGATCAGACGCTTGAAGGTCCCTTGCATGGTTCCTAGTAAGGCAGGTCCCAGACACTATCCGGTATCCGCGCCAGGTGTGCGATTTCGGACCTGGCATTAGGCGCAGAGCAGCAAAGTAGCTTTCCCGTCCATGGAAAGAGAAATTCGAGTCTTGTGCCTAATACAGCCGCCCATCAACAGAGCGAAATCGCCCAAGTCACAGCTGGCTACGGATTGTTGAAGAGTCGGTGAGTATGTATCCGTACATATACCTGCGAACGTGGCGCCGGGGAGGAGCCATGCTAACTCTCGCGGCTGGCTTTGCAGATTTCTAGCCTCACATGGTCCGTCACATTGCCTGCTTTACCGTCTTTTGCCATCACATGGTCGAGGTCCGAGCAACGCGTGCAGGCGAAGCTGCAGGTTCTGAACTGCAGGTCGAGAGTCTAGCTCGTCGCGCTCTTGGCTCTGGGGGAAAAACGGGGATCAGGCTCTTCCAGGATGGATGGAGATCACGGAGACAGGCGGGCAACAAGCATTGCCATTGGCGATGAAATTTGAGCAACCCCATTGCGGCGAGGGTCAGGTACACACCGTGCGAGATCCCCGTCGCCTCTTATCCCACGCCGCTGTCGGCAGTCGTCGTGGCCGAGCGTGCCCACGCAGTACAGTGCTATCTGATCCCCACGCACAGTCGCTACATTCTGCCCCACCAACCGTCAGAAAAGCATCGTGAAGTCCAGACTCCCTAAACCGGCGCCGCCGTCGGCGGTCGACAGGACGGACATTGCAAGCAAGCAAGTCCAGTCAGGAGCACGCACCTCGCCTCCTCGCCTCGTTCGTCCTCAACCATGGCCGACACTCGCCAAATCATCATTTGATATGTTTCTTGTGTTCCTCTGTCCTTGACACCACCTCAACCGCCCTTCACTGGCTTTCTCGTCGTTGTTCGTTTCGTTATCACAACGCATTCGTCTCCCACCCAGCTTCCTGCCCCGCCCATCGCTCGTCGTAAGGATCAGCACCATCGTCACTCTGAGAAAGCAGGAAACCCCTTTCGGTCCCCTCCCACGCCTCTTGCGTGCTGACAGGTGCCTTGTCCTAAATACTATCGACATTCCCACGTTCTTGACGAGAGGCGGTCAACGTGATCATCCATCTTTCATCATGGGGGAGCCTCGCGAGACAAAGCGGCGATTCGCTCCTGTGCCCATCGAGACAACATTCCAATCGAACCGCGCGACACAACGAGTTGGCCCTACCGCCGAGCTCACTCCTGAGGCCTCACCCGTTTCGGCTACCCCTCCCCCCCGCGAGTTTGGTGGCGAGCGTCGTCGGTTCGCTCCCCAGCTTATCGAAACATCACGTCGAGCGTATCGTGTCGGAGACGCGGGACCAGCAACCAAGCCTACCGACAAGACCGACATCACACCGTATACCAAGAACATCTATAATGCGACAAAGCCTAGGGGCCGGAGGAGGCTCGACTCAATCAACAGCGATGGCCCGTCTCTGTGGACCATGCCTCCGACACGGCGCGAGACAGAAGACCCTGCCGTTAAGAACTATCTCCTCGAGCTCGCGGCCAAGGAAGCAGATCGGCAAATTCAGGAGGCTGCGCTGGCAGCCTTTCCCAACAGCCGTGCACGTGAAGGTGGCGTGGCTCATTTCTACTATCGCGAGAGCTCTGGCAGTGATGAATCGCCAGAGGAAGGAGGCCTGCCAATCTCGGAGCCAGCCAGGGACCACCCGAGCCGGACGCGACGCAAGTCGTCCAATCTCGGGATGACCTGGTGGCACAAGCATATGCAGGATCATTATAAACAAAAAGGGCTGGACCGTGGTGATGAGGAAGCTGTGGTAGACACAGACGACAAGGATGTCAGAATGGTGTCAGATGCCGAGCTCGACAATATGGAGTTCACCATGCCGCCCGATGCATTGTGGACGACGAGTGGCAAGGCGTCACCGGTGACTAGGAGGGATTCGGGCGAGGTTGCGGCGGCTCGTGCCGCCGCCGACGCAGCTCTGGGTGCCAGGAATGAAGATGCCGTGATGAGAGATGCGCCCCCACCGGTGATCACCAAAGCTCCGGAGCTGCCGTATCCCAAGTCGGCCTTTAACAAACCCGCAGCACAACCTGTGCAGAGTGCTGGACGACCGTTTGGCCAGTTCGCATACAAGCCTGATGCAGCGCAGCTCGCCAAAGCTAGCCAGCTCCAGTCGCCACCCATGCTGGGCAAGGACATTCGGTTCAGGAGGTGCCCGTCACCAAAGCTCACCAAATTGGAGCCCAATCATCCTTTCTTTCATGATCCCGATGCATCAGGAAACCGAGATACGTCTGGAAAGGGTGGTCTATGGAACGGCTACTGCTTTAATTCTGGACGTGATGCGCCGAGACCGGCGCCCCAAATGGGCCCGCGCATGCTCGCGACTCCGGCCGTTCCGGGCTCGCCGGCTGAGCCTGCCGACGCCGACTCAAGGTCAATTAGCGAAGAGCCCGCATCACTGTTTTCGACTGCTGGTTCTTCCATTGACACGGCGAGCACTTCTGAGTATCGACTCAAAAATGGCCAAGCCCAAGGTTTGCATAGCGTCGACGAGCGACTACGCCGGGAGAAGGCCGATGCCGAGCGCAATGAGAAGATTACGCAAGAGTTCAACGACGAGTTCATCACGCAAGTATTCAATTATCTCTCGCTCGGGTACCCGGCAACAGCGTGTATCTTTGACGAAGAGCTTGCCAAGGTCAGCCACACCTCGATCGACGAACTGCGCTCTCGGGACGAGCAGCAGAACGCCAAGGGACACATGTTGGAGCTCCAAATCGGCAATACAAAGGAGGAGGACAGATGCCCGAGGTGGCGGGCTCTGAAGACTTATGTTCTCGAGTGGGCAAGGCAGCACCCCAACCTGGACAATCTCGACCCCTTGGCGTGGGGCGTCCGGGAAAGGAGGGGCAGTTGGGCCTTCTAAGCTGCTAATCATTATCATACACTCATGCTTACACCATTCCATTTCAGCCGGCGAGCTTCCGACCTTGTTTGCGTTTTGGCATCTATTTCACGGTGGGCGTTCACCTGCACGGCGCATTGCTGCTTGGCCGACGGTCTTACATTCTGAAGAGCTGGGACGGGAGAGACTTGGCATCAGCGAGGATCTATCGCGGCAAGAAAAAAGACAGGAGCGCTCAGTTTTTGCCTTTCTTTCATTCTATGAGACACGAACATAGATGCCTAACGTTGCTGCCAACTTTCATACGGCAGTGAAGACACATAATCCAGAACCTTGACTTGATGACTACATATCCAGATCTAGTCCGCAACGCCGTGTATACAATATATGTACGTGAGTGCATGCATGCATGAAACATCCTCTTCTCTTCACTTTCTTTTGCCAAGGGCCTTGCCGACCTTCTGCACCTTGGCAGGCGGCGCCGCCTCCACGTCACTGTCCTCATCCTCGCCCATGGACTCGTCCACGTCGTCATGGTCGACCTCATCCTCACCCAGCGACTCCTCACCCTCCTCGTCCTCGTCATCTTCCTCGATCTCGTCATCCTCTTCATCGCTTGAGTCGCCCGTGACGCCGTTGAGCACAGGCTCGTCCTCCTCATCGTCCTCCCCAAGACCCTTCCTCCCGGAGGCAATACCGTTGGCGGCATCCTTCTCTCTCGTCTCGCCCTCGACCCAGACGACGTTCTCGTCCTCGTCATCCGAGTCGTCCTCACGTATCGCCCCAGTGCGCTGCATCTTCCGTCGCATGTTCATCTGGCCCTCGAGGAGATCCAGCTTGCCCTTCAATGCGAGCAGACTGTTCAGACCCTTTGAGCGCTCTGCCAGCACTTTCTGCAGACCGCTGAGGTCGTTGATGACCTTGGGTTGCGAGGCCAGTGCACCGCCGTGCGCAATCAGTGTCCATTGCACCCACGTCATGAGCGTGCCGGCCCGGCCCGGCCGTCTATGTAACCGCGCCGCCAGCCTCGTCAGAAGAGTGCCAGCGAGGGTGCTGTCAATGTTCTCAATGGTGTTGCGGATGGTAGTGAGATCGGTGGTGTGAAGACACGACTCGAGGAGGTCGGTGTCGTCTGTTCGGAGCGCTTGTGTGAGGACGGTAGTGAGGGACTGGTGACTCGGGGGCGTAATGGCTGTGCGGGAACGTTGCGCTGCCGCGGCACCTGTCGTGTTTGCGTTGAGCATGGCCGTCACGTCGATCCCGTCGGCGTTGCTGCGAAGAAGCTCTCCAAAGGATGGGGATGTCGCCTCTTCGTCTTCTGACTCGTCGCGCTCCTCAGCATCTGGATTTGGCAGCTCATTTGACTTGTTGCCGTTGACTTTGGGCGTTGCGAGTTTCCCGTTGGACTGTGCTGCCTTATGCTGATCCTCCCTCTCCGCATCGGACATGTCTTCGTCGTCATCGCTGTCGGCGTCGGAAGATATCTCTATCATCTCCTGTTGCGACGCCGGCAGGAGATCCGTGTCTCCCACTGTGGCTTTTGACTCATCAATGGCGCTTCGGGCTCCCTTCTTGGCGCTTGCTTTGATTGTCGGGGGCGCCAACTTGCCGGGCGCTTTACGCTTGGTCGACATTGTGTGGATTTGGTAGAACTACAAGATATCGAGCTAGGTGGATGGTTTCTGGTAAGTATGTGGAATCGAGTGTAAAGGCTTTGACAGTGAGCTTCGAAAAGAACGTCTGGCCAATGCTTTTGGCAATGGCTGGTGTGGAATTATTTGATCGTGGGATGCGCTTCAATGGACTCCAAAGTCGAACTTTTTTCGACCACAGGCGCTGGAACGTTCAGGCTGGGCGGTCTAACTTTTTTTCTGAGTGCCCCACTGCAGATTGCGGCAGAAAAGATGACATAAGCAGCAGGGGTCAGCGCGACCAGATGTAGATAGGCACGTGACCCATTACCGAAATTTCCTACTACACTACGTACGTTACAGCACAGATTTCTTAGGTCGAGGCGTGCTCATGGTATCATCGCATCATGCACTCCCAGTACTTTGGTCACTAGTCACCCGAATATTTTTGTGTCTTGGGAATCCAGGACAATTGGATGCGACATCATGTCAAACAGTTTCCCGGGTTCCGAGTATCGCGCAACTTGGTCATAGGCCGCCCTTAGTTGTCACCGGGGTCGTGCCCGACGACACCCAGCACCCAGCTCCCAGCACCCAGCACGAAATTCCAACCTGAAGTCCAACCCAACAGTCGAGAGCAAACTTTGGTCGTCATCTCGGCTGCGATAAGTCTAGCATGACACAACCGCGAAAGCTGGGTCCAGTGGTCATGGTGGAACTGCCCTGCCCCCTCGGCCGGGTGCAGCGAGCATTGGGCAGTCCATAGAACGTGACTTGTGCTTCTGTTGACCTGCCCTGACTGCCTGTGCCGGAAAGTTAAAACTCAGACTTGGGGTTGATTCACGGGCTCTGACGAAAGATGCCAAACATTGGAATCGAGTAGCACCATTTGCCCTCGCCGTTCTTGCAGCACAGTTGCACCATGCTAAGGTTCGTGAGCTGGGAAGGCACGATAAGGTAGGAGTGGAACCGTTGTATGCAGCAAGGAGAGTTACCGGGCAAACGGGTCCCCCCAAATACCCACGCCCAGCCACTCCCTTGCTCCCATAAATACTCACGCGCCTCGCATGTCCTAATTGGAAGAACCGATTTCGCGTTTTTTCTCATCGCCGTGACGGACCCTCCACTCGCAACGCGCTTCCGACCGCACAGACCACGCGACTTACACCCGCACTGCGTGCACTACTGAATTGTAAGTACCTTTTTGCCGACGAGTTTTTCCGAAGGCTTTCATCTGCGCTCCAGCAGAGCAACCAAACAACAATTTCTGGCGATCCAGTGCATCTTCCACCAATACCCGCGCATTCCCTGGCGTCATTCGGCCTTCCCTTACCAACTTCCACTTACTCACAATCCGTTATAGTCTACCATTTTATTTAGCTGACCGAAACGAGCGCATTCGCTGTCTGGATCGACCTCACACGCGCTTGCGCATTTGTTGCGTCACTTCCCCAGGCGCATGTCGCGAAGCTAACGCGCATACCAACCCACCGAATCTATTCACACCAGCCACCCGTCGCAACCCACGGAAGACCGCGCACAGGCGATTGTCGATATCAACAGCATTTCGGGGGTTCTCCTACACTCGACACGGATATCATCGCGACCAGGCGGCCTTCTGTCGCAAGTCTTGTGGATCACTTCACCTCGGCCTCACCGTGTACCCCCGCCTACCCCGACCCATGTCGCGCTGATCGGTTTTTCATCCCACCCACACTCCAATACTTCACGACTGAGTCGTCATCTTTGCTAAGAACACAATGACATCTGCGAGCCCTGACTCGCCGCCCGCCGTGGCTGGCGCGCAGCCCGAGGTCTCGTCGACGGATGCCAAGGCTGAGCTAAACGGGTGAGTGATCTTTCCCTGAGCCGCTTGCCGGTCGCGTATGCCCATCGCAAGCCTTCTAATCCGCTGCTATAGTTCGGCGCACAACGATGAGCTCGCCGCAACTCCAGGGCTTAAGAAGACCACATCGCCTCCTGCTGTTAATGGTCACGGAAGTGAGGGCGACGAGAAGGTCAACGGCAAGCGCGAAACGCTGGACGAAAACCAGCAGTCGGGCGATAAGGATACTGTGATGGAGCGCAGCGAGGGCGCCCCGGACCAACCCAAAGAGACTCCCGCGCCCACCAATACCGACAGTCCCAAGGATGTCGAGATGGAAGACACAAAGGACAATGGTACAAACGATAGCGCTGCCGCCGATTCCCCAGCGGCCGTTGAAGACAAATCAGAGGTCAAATCGGAGGATGTCGCGGATGCCAATGTGAAAGAGACGGATAGCACTACTGCCGAAGCCCCAAAAGCTGACGATGCCCCGAAAACTGCCGAGTCTAACGTTCCCATTGAAACGCCTGCTTCCTCGAATGATACGCACGCAGGACTGACCAAGGCTGAGTCTGATCTCCAATCGGTCAGTGTCTCGCAACTCAACATCGATGCGCACGAGGCCGAATCATCCCCTGTCCAGCCCTCTGTTGAGGTGTCCATGTCGGACGCACCGCCTGCTGTCAAGGTGGCGCGTGAGCGCGAAGAGGACCACACAGAGGAGCCCGCGTCGAAACGAGCAAAGACTGAGCCGAAAGAAGACGAGGCGGGCGCAGAGGCACCTGCATCCGCAACACCGGCCACAACCACGCCTGCCCCTGCGCAAACTGATGCCGGCCCGGTTGCGATACGACCCAGCGACGGACTCGACCTTCCATTGGCGACTCTGCCACATTGGAATGACAAAGCTTGGCTGTCCAGGAAGCTCGAGTCCCATCAGCTGAGGGGTGTGCGCAAGTCTCTGGCGCGTGTCAAGAAAACGAAGAATGGTAATAACTTTCGCGATTCGGTTGAGCGCCTTTGGCCTGGGCTTTGGAGCAAGTACTTGGCCCTTGTTGAGAAGCCTATGGATCTTTCAGAGATTGACCGCAGCCTGCGCGACGGCCAGTGCACGACATTTGCTGAAGTTCGCAATTCCCTCCAGCTTCTGCTTGAGAACTCGCGCGCCTTCAACGGCCCTGATCACTACATGACCGTCGCTGCGAAGGGTGCCATTCAATCAGTGTGGGATGACATGATGATGATTCCCGACGAAGAACCTCAAAAGTCGAAATCAGCTCCGAAAGCGAACCGGATGAGAGAATCGCGCAGCTCCCTGACGAAGGATGAAGCCGATGGCATCGCCGACGCTCAGGCGAAGACGGCTGACACGCCCAAGCACGTCGCCACCGCCGTCCCCCCACGAAGGGCGTCTTCCAACATTGATGCAGACCGCCCAAAACGTACCGTTCGCCCACCAAAGCCCAAGGAAATCGACTACGGCTCCAAGCAGTCACGCCGCAAGTTGAAGCCTGAGCTGCAGTTCAGCGACGAAGTGCTGTCGGAACTCATGAGCCCCAAGTATCACACCCTGAATCAGTGGTTCATGGAGCCTGTGGATGCCGAGGGGCTTGGCATTCCGCACTACTATTCCATCATTACGCACCCCATGGATTTGGGGAAAATCCAGCGTATGATTCACGAGGGCGAAATTCACAATACTAAGGAGTTCGACAAGAACGTCCGCTTGGTCTTCAGCAACTGCTACAAGTTCAATGGCCCGCCAGTTCCAGGCAGTGTTTCGGCTCTCGCCAAGCAGCTGGAGGATATCTACACTGCGCAGATGAAGAACAAGGATGCCTGGATGGCCAAGCAGGCAAAGGCTGCCGCTCCTCCACCTTCCAACTCCGCCGCTAGTGACGAGGAGGACGAAGATGAAGATGACGATGCTGGTGTCGAAGACTCTGGCGCCGTCGCGAGCATCACCAGGGAGATCAAGGATCTTGACGCCCGGCTGCGGGAGGAGATGGCCAAGCAAGCCAACCTCTTCCAAGCTGACGACCCCAACCAAACCATGATTGCTGTTCAGGGCCAGGTGGTCACCATGGTGCAGCAAGCGCTGTTGGAAGCCAAGCGCAAGCTGAATGAGGCTAAGCAGAAGGGCGGCAGCGGCAAGGCCAAGAAGGCCAAAGCACCTAAGGGGAAGGGTGCGGGAGGTGCCGCGTCTCGCAAGTCGGGAGGCCCGGCTGCCACTAAGAAGGCCTCCGGGGCCAATCCTAAGAAGAAGAAGAACCTATCAGCAGCCGACAAGGACAGCATCGCCAACGCTATTAACGACCTTGAGGGCTCACACCTTGACAAAGCTATCGACATCATCAAACGCGACACTGGTCAGATGGTAAGAATTGACCGTACCTTACTCCATCATTGCACTGATGCTAATTGAGACAACAGGAGAGCGAAGATGGTGAGCTTGAGCTGGACATTGACCAGCTCAGCACCGAAGCATTGTTGAAACTTTGGGAGTTGTGCAAGCGAGTTCTGCCCGGTTTCGGCAAAGATCCAGTTCATCACCCACCCTCGTCGCCAGAGGCTGCTCGCCCGGCGGTTGCAGCGGCGTCAACTGGATCGGCCAAGGGAGCCCCGAAACCCAAGAAGAACAAGCCCATGACAGCTTCTGAGCAAGAGCGACGTATTGCGGACTTGCGCAAGGTCGAGGCCCTGTACAAGGAAGGAGGCGACGCGGCGGAATTGGCTCGCGCTCAAAACTCCCTCAACGACCACATGGCGATGGATCAAGACGAGTCCAGCGATGACTCCTCTGAAGAGGAGTGAAGCACCAGCCCGCGTCGGTGGTGACACGCGGCTCATGCAGAAGTGGGAGGCTGCGTGTGTTTGACGGCAGGATTTCTGCCTTTGTTACGTTCAGGACTAGAACATTCTTTGGATCAAGGGGGTTTCCATGGGTGATTGACTGCCCTGGGCAGAGACACATACACCTTGGGTGGAGGTTGACAACGGCTACATCGACAATACCTCCGTCTGCTTGCAGAGTGAGACGGGTCGATTCGACGAAGAAAGGCAACCCGGGAAACGGAACTTGCTATGCTATAACTGATGACGTCGGCGTTATGCGGAGCGTTTTTGCTCTCCTGAATGGGGGAAAAAGTCGATCAATTTCAGGGAGAAGGGACCATTTCGGGATCGGAAGGGAGGAAGAAGGAGAGGGTGACTGACTGTACGTTAGCTGCGGGGAGACTGATGGGAGGATGATACCGAAAGCACGAGCCGGGCGACTCGACTGATGGAAGTAACCGTCGTCTCGTGTGTAATAATACTACTCCGAAAGCCGCCAGTCCGACTGGCGAACATGATCGTCTCCTGCCCGATATTGTACATTGAAACTCTCACCGTCCGCGGGCATCATGAAGCCCCTGCGCGTATCGGCACGGGCAGCTTCCTCCTCAGGCGTTGACATATCTCGACATACATGCCCTCCCCTTCCGTGTCCGCTGTGATATGGCCATGCCTGATCAGAAAGTCGACCATGATAGGACACACGTTCGGCTTGAACTCTCCATCAAACATGCGCTGCTTCATCTCCTCCACATCCATGAGCACAAACCCCTCCACCTCGTCATCACCCGGTCTCGGGACCACGTCCGCCGACAGTTCCATGTCGTACACGTACAGGATCTCGCTGTGAAACAGACCACTCTTGGGATTCCTGTTGGCGAGCGTGAGCACCCCCGTCGCCCGGGCCGACCGGTGGACCAGTGACGAGGGGAGGGATGCCTCCTCCATGGCCTCTGCGAGGATGCAGCTCGTCGGGGAGTCGGAGGCCTTGACGCCACCGGCGACTGTACTGTCGAGCTTTCCTGGGTGGGCGTAGAGGTGCTTGCTGCGCTTGGCGACCCAGGCCTTGAAACCGCCGCCCGGGAGGCGCGTGTAACAAGTCATGTGGGCGCCTCTGGTGGCGATGCCGAATAGGGGCGCTGCGAAACGCTCGAGCTGCACAATATCATCTTCGCCTTTGGCACCGAGGATGCGAAAGGGCTCGCTGTGGGTTTTGTTGAGGATGGGGAATGTGTCAGAGTCGATGGCAGAGTCGACGACTTGTTGTAGGGCGGCGTTGATGTGCTGGGTGGGTGAGACCCCAGCGAGGGGGTCGTCGAGGGTTACGGTGCGGTTCTCGTCGGAGATGGTGAACGCAGGCGGCAGAGTGAGCTTGTTAAGAGTCTCGGGATGGATGTACCCGTGAGGAAGCTTGTATGATGGCGAGAGAAAGAGGCCATAGTACGGTTCATGGTTCCCTGCGGAGAAATCCAACGGGACGCTTTGATAGGCGAACAAAGTCAGCCAAGCACATGGTGAGAAGAGCGAACGACTTACTTATCAACCTTGTCGATCAAGTCAAGGAATCTGTTCGAACTCATGATGTAGAAATTTGGTTAGGCGTGGTGCTTTGTGAGAGTTCAAGTTGTGAGTTGCTCCTGTATGAGGAGGTGGGTGGTGGGGAGGTCGCTAGTCCAGTGGGGGCTGCCTGGGAGCACTCTACAGACTACCATCAGGCATCTCACATTTCGAGAACTGCCAGTCACTTCGCTGGCCTCTATGCATAGTCAAGTATCAATTCTGGGCGGGCCCAGTTTTATCTTGCATCCATTATCACCTAGCTCACGTCAGCCATGGTGAGTTATGCTGCCCCCTCCTCCTCCAAGCCCATCGCTTCTAGGGTATTTTCCAACACTGCCCGACAACGCCGTCTATATTCCAACGCCAGTTGTTGATTTCCGGTCAAATCCCCCTCTTGACCGTCCACAAGCTCTACTTCCGTCTCTTCCAATCTCTCCAGCTCTTGCATCACCTTGTGCTGGATGATACCCATGGTGTGCTCCAAGTAGGCATGCGCCTGGGAGCCCTGTTCGATATCGCCGCTGAAGAATTGTCTCCGCCTCGCCATTTCTTGTTCTTCTAGGGTTGGTGCGTCGCTCGGCATGATTTGAGACCTTTCCTCTGGCTGGCAAAGGGTGCAGAAAATGTCCCACACCATATCTGGCTGTACATGCTGAAATGTGCCAATGATGGCCTTTTCGTCTGGTAGCTCCACAGTCAGTTCTTGTCGGTATCGACCAAGAAGTGAGCTGGGATGGGCCATTGGGCGCCTTGAGATGTAGTACTCCTCTGAAGCACTCTGTGAGCTCGTTCGCTTTCGAACGTGCGTGTAATCGTTATGCAGCTCCTCGGTGGGCGGGATCATGAAGCCATATCCGAGCAGGAGCTCAGCGTTCGTCTTCATGCTGTAGTTGTTGAAGACCTGCTGGCCTGGCTGGAAGCTGCGCCCAACCCTGAGCTCGCACGTGTTGTAAGGCTTCTGTTGTAGTTCCCACCGCACGTCTAGCGTCATGTCGTGGTTGCCAATGTCAAACAACGGTAATAAGACCGAGAAGTCGTTGATACCGATGCCGTCTGGGAGTCGCGTCTGCTCTTCCTCTGCTAGCACGAGGCTTGGCTTGAAACTCCTGCTTGAGAAAATGCAGTATGCCCACTGGTAGAGCTTCATACTGATCTCCCTGTCTTTTTCGTCGCCATGCTGCTTGAGGAGATCAGCTGCGGCTGTGTGTTCTTTGCGAACATCTGCCCTGATCTTCTCCAACCCAATCTCGACATTCGTGCCCTCCAACAGTTCAGCATCGTCAGTGGGCCAGAACGGCGGGAGGCACCAACTGTCCTCATTAGCGGGCTGCGGTAGCGCCTGAATGTAGGGCCACCAGAATGAATCCCTGCCTAACAGATACTGTTTGGCGAAAAAGAATCTGCCAGTGACATGAGGTGGCGTTTGGGAGACGAATTCAGCTGGGAATATGGGGTTCGTGCTGGCCGCGTGAAGCACATCCAGGTATGATAGCGAGAGTCTCGTCGGCAAGCTGACAACTTGGTCCCAAGCTGGCAAGGGATTTTCACTAGAGGGCTTGACGCGGAACGAGAATCCGGTTGTTGGATCATCATAAACCTCGACGGAGGGATGCAAAGTCGCACCGTGATCAGTGGCCCAATCAACCAATGCTTTAATGCCCTCCATGAGGAAGGTGAGGTTGGTGCAGGGAAAGAGCGACTAGCCTAGGAAAGGTTGGCTTGCTGTAACTGAAAGTTGAGAACTGGATCTACCAGGTAGATTTGCTTCAGAAAGGCGTCGATCCCGCCCTAACGTCCCCTCCCCCACCATGACGTACCAGTTGCAGGGTAGTCAGATCAAGGGACTGACACGAGTTATCAGTAAAGTAGGCAGGTTCTTTCGTCACTATCCGAGTTTAGCAAACAGTGAATACAAAAAAATACGAAACTCTATCAGAATCTTCACCCCTTTAACTAACGCCTTCCAAGATTACCCTCTTCAACAACGCCATCCAAGCTTCTTCTCAGTGGAAATCGGCTTCCACCCTTCCATACCTCACGCCGTCCACCTTGAGCTCGAAACCCAGCCCGGCGCTGTCGACAATCATCTCCAGCGTAAAGTCCAGGTTGTCAAATTCCACGCCTCTGGTCGTAGTCAGGCGGGTGAATAGACTCCTCGGCACGGCGTTGAGATCTGTCGTCAGTGTGCAGACGTGGATCAGGTCGCGCGTGTACGCCGCCGGTGGCTCCTCAGCATCGCAGGCAATCAGATCGTCCGTCACAATGAGGGACTGCCCAGGTCTGAAGTTGCGTGTGTAGTGGAATGCAATGGGCGCGAGAGGCGATAATGATTCCCCCTAGACAAGTTAGCCTCGCGTAGACACCGTGGCTAGGCAGAATACTGACCTTGGCAATGTGCCACTGCATCCGATCCGATACCATCCACCGCTCCCAGAGCGGCGACCAATATCTGTCTGTCACGGAATGCCGGTCCTCGTCATATACTGTCGCATAGGACGTCCCATAATGCATCCTTGACTTTCTCGAAATGACCATGTTGCCCTCTAGCCCCCGCAGGACCGCACCCCGTACCACGGCCGTCCATGCGTAGACTGGCTGCATGACCTCTATCGACGAGGCCTCCTGCAAGGAGTTGACGTTGGCGTGCGTCGGTCGCTCACTGTACGGCGGCGGCGCCGCGCTGTTGAAGTGGCTCTTCAGTCGTCGGTACAAGTAGTCGCTCTGCCCAAAACCACCCACGAGGACGATACCGGAGACAATGCCGCCCTTGGCGCGCAGGCCCTCGACTTGACCTTGAACCAGATCCGTGACCTCTTTCACCACCGGTTCGAATATGTCTTTGATCTGCGGCGCAGTCATCACCAGGAACCCAGAGTCGAGACCCGCCTCTTCATCATCGGCCAGACCAGGAAATCTATGCGCGGTCAGTTAGTCTCGCAGACGCAGATCTACCGCGAAGCACACGTACGGAATGTTGACCTCCTGATGCTCATCCTCGTTGAAATTACGTTTCACAAACTCCTCGAAATATCGCAGGCCCATCTGCCATGTCTTTCCCTTCTTTTTCTTCATGTCGTCGAATCTAGTCTTCCCAAGGCGGTGTCGGACGTGCTCTTCAAATCTGTAATTGAGAAATGCGCTACCACATAGTCCGCCAGTACCGACGGCGGACTCCTCCACCCTCAGAGGTTTTAGTGAAATGATCTTGTAGGCGATCAGGCTGTTCGCACGTTAGCAAATGCTCGCCAGGGAAATTGGCTCACAGTGCCGGCTTACTCGACGGTTCCGCCACCTGCATCGCAGACGATAAAGTTGTCCCCGACGTTCAAGTGGTTCGGCTGTATCGCTTTCAAGGTATACACTGCTGCGGCTTCGGGCTCGCTGATCATCTGGAGATCAGACCGGCTACCCATCCCCGCCCTTTCTGCCGCCTGCAGTGTAGTATTCTTCGCAGCGTCGCTCCAGACAGCTGGGCAGGTCAAGACAAACTCGACGCGCGTCGATGCCATGAATGACTCTCCGTATCGTCGAGTCAATGTGTCCATGGTGTGCTTGTAGATTTGGGTCAGGTAGTCACTGACCGCATCGACGACGTTCTTGTTGAAGCGCTTGAGCTGAGAGGCCGTATCCTGCGGGCTCACGTAGAACGGCAGCTTCTGTGAGCGGTCCAGGAAGAGCTTGATGCAGCGCAGGCGTGACTCCTCTGGCTTGAACTGAAACCCCCATTTCACCGTGGGGTCCGCATCTTCCAGTGCATCTGGTGGGTAGCTGTAGGCAATCTCGGTCGGCACCTTGTCCGAGGTGATCCCATTGCCACCAGGCCAAGTCTTGATAATCTCAACATCGTCGGGTGTCGACGTGTACACGGCAGCGACGCCTGAGAACGTGGTCCCGAAATCGACACCAACAATGAGCCGGTCGCTTACCGGCGGTAACTCCCGTGTTGGTTCTCTGACCGGCCCATTGATTGCTTCCGTCGAGCTTGGCGGCGTGTAGCTTTGGAAATAATTCCGGCTTTCCTGGTTCCTTCTGCTCGGAGTCGGCGAGCCAACGTTGTTACTCGTGTTGGAGGTCACCGGCCTCAAAGGGAGATGCAGGCTCATTTTGAAAGGGCGAAGCGTTGTCTCTTTCTGGCGTGAGGAATACGAATGCGGTCGATTCACGCAATTATCAATGTCGTTGCGTTGCAGTGCTGATGTCCTGCGGGGTTGTCGCCGCTGAATGCTGATCCCCAGATTTCAGAAAGCCTATTCCCAAGACACGTGGGCACAATGTTGAATCCTCTTCAGTGCTACCAGCAATCGGATACTCAAGAGACGATTCCTTGCGTGAGGTCAGTCTAGTTGCGAAGACGTCGGCGAGGCCGGCAATTTCACCCGTCATGAACTGAATGGAGTCGCCCGCATGTGAAGACTGGGCGCGCGCCTCGGCGCTGTTGACTTGCCTGGAGTTGTTCGCGCACCAGTCGTAAAGATTTGACGTCCGCAAATGGTCGTCTGGCAGGGTCCACGAAAGGGGTTCCGAACTATTCTCTGTGCTGTACGTAGTGGGTGCGTCGTGATCGACCAAAGGCCTGGCGTGCGACTCGGAAGGACCTCTGGAACTGGACGCGTCTTGGGGCCTAGGCTGCCCTTGACGATGCTTTACACCTTTGAGGTTTTGAGCACGCAGCCTTGGTTGGCACTGCGTCGCAAGCGTCCTAGGGCTGAGCTCGCGTTCTCGATTCCAGCTTTGAGGTTTGACGATGCGTATTGATTGACTGGACGGCGGGTGTTGGGCAATGAAACGCTTCCAAATTCACGATGCGCCTGGCGTCTGAGAAGAGCCGCGCTTGAAGGAACCGATGATTAGTCGGGACTCGGGGAGTCGGAACAATGGGAAGGAAGAATCGGTTGCAGTGAAAATTGACCTATCTGAAAAGGCGCATGCAGGGCAAGGATCGAAGTATCTGACAGCGTCCAAGTCCGACTGAAGCGGGCGAGGGGCAGGCGAGGTTGAAGTCGCTGGCGGTTGGTGAGAATGCAAGCATGCGGGGTGTCCGTCAGACTCCGACTTCTATCGATACAATAAGGTACCTAACAACCACTCCACGTCCATGTCCCTGGCCCGTTTGTGTCTGCTGTCTGCCCTTTTCCGTCTCCAACTACGGTCACTAATGCACGTCTGACAATGCGTGCGCGAATGGGCTGGTAGCCAAGTACGTGTGTTGACGGGTGCCTAAGCAAGATTCTGCCACTCTGAATGGTACAGACTTGGCGATCAGCCCTGTGGCCTTGCTATCGTAAAAGTACCTTCGGATAGCTTACGCATCCTATCGGTCTGTCCAGGCAATGACATCAAGCACGGATTGGAAAAAAGAATTGGACGAGGTATGACGACGGCTGGGTCGCATGTATTCAAGCTCCTCTCCTCGTCAAGGGCCACCTCCCTGCTCCTCTCTCAAATCGCTGATGGACAGTTAAAGCGACCCCAATTACAAATATAGTTCCGAACCGCCCTCTCGTCCACTTCCTGCAAGGGGGTTGGTGTAGTGTAGTATATAAATGCCGTAAAGATTGGAAGAAACATATGTGCCACTTTGGACTCCCGTATCCAAATTCCGATGGACCACCGTCTGACATAGGAAATCTTTGTTGCTGGTAAAACGCCAAAGCTGGCCGTGCGAATGGGAGGAGGTCAAGAACGCTCACTTTTCCCGGTCTATCAAAAGGGTATTGCTCGCTGAGGCCTGATGAACCACGAGTTGGGGGGAAATGGACAAAAGATATAACAGGGCACAAAAGCTCCGCTTCGTGAGCCTTGCCGGGTATTTTGAATGTATCTGATGGGCGCTGAATCGAACGCATAGAGGGGGTAGTAGAAATGGCGGGCGAAACAATCGTCGAGTGACTGTTTGTCGTCCGCGTGAAAGGTGAAAGAGTGACGTGCGTGACCATGTGAAAGACAAAACACCAAAACACCGTGATCATGCAAGAAATGTACAACTTGGAGCGCACCGTGGCGCGTCCACACTGTGATACAGACCTAGAACCGGCTCCCAGCAGCCCAGATGCTGGCCGAGGCAGAGGCTGCCCACTCGCTCTCCTCGTAAGGCGGTGTCGGCCACTTGCTCTGGCCAGCGGCGGGCTTCTTGCCGAGATCTAGAGGTTTTGGTCGTAGCGCCTCGTTGCCGTCTGCAAATAGAATTTGAGTTCCGCCGGCGGACGGCGATGGCGTAGGATATGGGTTGCTGAGCCCCAAGTTACTGGCGGACTGCCGAAGAGGCTGGCTGTTCTCGCCGCTGTTCATGTGCTTCATGGCAGTGTGCGTGGAGGTCAGGACCTCATCGAGCAACTCGTCTTCCTCCGCCGGGGCCTCGTACTGCTGAACGCCTTGAGCAGCCTGTGCTCGTCGTGTCCGGCTTGAAATGGGTCCTCCATTGCGGGCAGCACCCAGAAGGTTGTCGACAGAGCGGTGCTGTTGCTGGGGCAGTGAATGGTGACGCTTGAGCCCGCCACTAGGTCCTGCCTGGTGCATCGGGGGGACAGAAGTCTGCGCCTGCTGTGTATCGAGGTTGTTCTGCACATTGCGTAGCTTCTTGTCCAAGGACTCGTACATGGCCCCCTGCTGTTCCAATGTGATTGAGGACCGGTTGCTGCCAGCCCAGGGCGCACAGCCAGCCACAGCCTCAACATCCTCGTACTGAGGCGAAGATGGGGTCTGATGACGACCCGAAAGCCGCCGGGCTCGCTTGCGAAGGTGGGAAAAGAATCCTTCCTTCTGTCCGCTTGGGGGCGACGCAAGGCCAGAATTGCCGTTCAAGGCACGCTCGGCTTGTTGGCGATGAATCTCAGCGTAATGATTGGTGCTAGAGTTCACTGAAAGCTGACGGCCGATCTTTTTCGACTTCTCCTGGCCAGCAGCTGCTTCAGCTGCGCGGAGGTTGGCGCGGGCGTTTACTTCAGCTGAAAGGGGCGAAATGGGGCGGATGGACGGCAGAATTGGCATCGGAGCCATATTGGATACCCCGTTCGTCCATGTGCTCCGTTTACCGGCTCCAGTACGCTGGATACCGGCTGAGATCTCGGTCTGTGTAGTCGATTGGAGAGCTGCAGGGCGAACTGCTGCGCTCTCTTTCGAATGGGCTTGGTTGGCGACAAGCTCGGGTTGCTCGGACCTCCCAATGAGGGACTTGCGGAACCAGGAAGGTTTCGATGATGGGACAACCGGGGTAGGAGTAGAGCCACGGGAAACAAGGTCAGACTGCTTGCGGCCGAGAACACGCGAGGCGGACGACTTGGGCCTCAGCGGGTCCACAGCATCGGCAAAGTATTCGTGGGCGAGAGCCTGTGTCGAGGTGGGACGATTCTTGGGGTCCCAGAGCAAGCACCAGGTGACAAAGTGTGCCAGCTCGCGCGGCCATTGAGGAGCTTGCAGAATAGTCTCCATTGAATGGGGTGCCATCTTTGGGAACGAGAAGCCCAGCTTGCCCGCCAACCTTGTGCCTTCACGCCAGTCACCACCGCCAACTCGACTGCCGGACTTGCTGTACCAGTTGCCGGGGCTGCCCATTATCTCGCAGACCCTCCAGACCTGGTCAACTTCGTTACCGCCAGGGAACAGTGGCTTCAGCGTTGCAACCTCGACTGCCATGGCGCCAACAGCCCAAATGTCGACAGGCGCGGAATACTCTCCCGCTCGGAGGAGCACTTCGGGAGCACGATACCATCGGGTTGATACGTAAGTTGTGTAAGGAAGCTTTGAATGAGTTTCGCGGGCCAGACCGAAATCGGCAAGTTTGACTGTATATGTCGGCGGTGTGGATGGTGGTGTGACGAGGGCAGAGTAGCGTCGGAAAGCAGTCGATGGTTCGTTGTGCGCTGAGGTCGAGACGAGGATGTTTTCGGGTTTGATGTCGCGGTGGAAAAAGTGGTGGGCGTGGATGTGCTCCAACCCTTGCATGATCTGGAAGAGAATGCTCTTGACGCTGGCGTTGTCCAAGCACTTGTGGTCGCGGGCCTTCATCAGTTGATAGAGGTTGCCTTCCATGTACTCCATGGCGATATGGAGCTTTTTCGTGTACGGGTCGAGAAAGATGTCAAGAGCTGGTACGAGGTGCGGGTTCGCGGGAAGCGTCCGCAAGAAGACGACTTCGCGAAGCTCTAGGCATTGCGAAAATGAGCCGAATGTCTTTTTCATGGATTTGATAGCAACCTAGATAAAAGCGTTAGGATCGACCAAGCATGGAAGTCGTCGGGAATTAAACTCAAGGCACTCACCACTGTGCCGCGGCGGGCGACATTCGCTCCCGCGGTTCGAACTCGCGCCAAAACGACACTACCAAAGCTACCGTCGCCAATCTCCTTGAGGACTTCGAACCGGTCCTCGAGTGCGATATTGTTACCGTGGGATGACCCACGGTTTGATGAGTCGCCGGCGACTGTCATTGTGGAGTCTTGTGCTGATAGAGACGCGTCGGGTTTTGTGTTACAGTCCAGTGCCCGAGGGATTGAGCCAGCAGTCAAACTCGGTGGAGCGAATCGAGACAAAGCGCGACCGCGAGTAGAAAACCCACAATCAGCGTAGATTGTATAGCAGGGCGATGCTCTTCAGAAGAGCGCGAGAATGTGTTAACGGAGCATCCAGGTCGAACAGTGTGCGCGTATTCGGGTAGGTGCTTCTACACCAGGCGGGACAATCCAAATCCTAGCAGAGTTCGCTGAGTAGGTAGTTGATAGGTCAGGCGCTCTGTGATTCAAGATAATAATGACAGCAAGCGTTCAGGTCGGGATGGATGTGTCGTGTGTAAGTGTATCCAGTGTATTTTCAGGATGGGGGATAATGAAGGAATGAATGACTGGAGGTGAGTGGGCGGTGGGCTTGTGGTGAAGAAGAAAGCTGGAAAAGGAGAATGGAGTGAGCGGACAGGCGAGGGACCTGAATCAGACGGATGGAGCTGCCCAGTGATTAGTACTTTGGTAAGGTACGAAGGACAGTGGTAAAGGGGGGCGGGCCGGGCTGTCTGACAGGTACCTCCCGCTCGCCGCTCGGTCCCTGGGACTGGGTGGCTCTTTCCAAAGTTACCCAGCCTGAGCGGACCCGTGTGGGGCTCCAGCAATTCAGTCACGTCCGTAGTCTGTTAGGTGGCGGGGGCCACGGGCTCTCGTACAACCACAGCTGGCAATGACTGGAGGCCAGCGCTGGCCCATTGATGATGAATACATACAGTGAGGACTGGATGCATCATGTTCTGAGTTTCTTCTTCTTGGAAGCAGAGTTTGAGAAGATGCGGTACTGCGAGAAAAGCATCGATGCGCAAGGTGTGCACTGCCGTGCTATGCAAGCCCAACTGGGCTATTTTGTTCACTAACAGCTGCCCACACACAAGTACTACGTATTAGCGTCCCAAACGCTCTTCCAATCGGTTGATATCCATAATGTTATTAGTGAGAATGAAAAAATTAAAAAATTAATTAGTCGCTGTCCACTCCGTAACAATCTTTGTGTCTGAGCTTTAGCTAAATCTTCATCATTCTGCACCAACAAAGTTCCATCTCTCCCATTGCAATGGCATCCACTGTCTCTGCAAGTCCCCGCAGCCAGTCATTCCCGGCGGTGAAATGAGTCTCGCGACAAGCCCCCAAGGGTCGCCTGACGGGGGCGCAAATGGGCCCTAATTCACGGGCCTCCCGTCCTCCGCGCAGTACTTGGGACCCCTTCAAGGGGCGAACCAATTTTACTCGTGGACAGGGATGCATGGGAGAGTCAAATTGCCCAATTTGCCTACTGCGAGTGGGGCCAGCAAAAGGAAGTCAAGGAACAAGAAGAATTGAAGCGGGACCAAGAGCTGGGATAACGCAGGTACCGACCCCAATCAGCGCAAGCTCTGTTTCTTTAGCCTTTTCGGGCGAGGAATTAGTCTGCTTGCTGCAATACGATAAGTAATACTGGTCATCGTGCAGAGGATTTAGCCGCATTACCTTTGATGGGCAAAATGGCATAGCATATCACGCCGAACCCCAAGCGTTAACATCAACAGCTCGGAAAAACTTGTGCGACTGTCGACCGAGTGACGGTGACGGATGAATCCCACCATGATATCCGAACTTCAGACTCTTCTGATGCCAGGCTGCCAGCTCACGCCACAGAGCCAAGGCTTGCCAGGGTCGGATAGTCTCCCATTTGACGGGACCAATTCCCCGTGATGGTCTAAGCCTGATCAAGCCGGAGGAGCCGACAGCAATCAATCAACTTCTTCGACAGCGTAAGTGTTTGTGGGGATCATTTGGAAGTCACTTCGCAATCTTTTACCTTGCAAGCTGGTCGCAACGGCAACAGGCACGAGCACGAACTCCTGGGGCCACAGAAACACCCCGCCAGCGAGCAACTCCTTTCAGCGCCCAACGAGGGCGAGAAAAAGACCTGGGTTTAATTGAAGAGGGGGGAGGGAGAGCCGAGGCTGGCTTTCGTAGCTCACAACAAATGTCTCGCGATCGCCTCGGGAGTGAAGAAGCTTACTAAGGCTGTAGGGAACGCGTCAGGGTCACCTGTGCTGGGGACAGCCTGGGGTCAAGCAGGTAACGTACCGCCTGCGTAGGTACGTACAGGTCGCGAGAATTCGCCACTTTGTGCTCGCTCCCTGATGATCACATTCGCGCCGTGCCGCGCATTGACGTAGCTACTATCACATTCAAGGCACACGCGTCGCGCGTCCTTTTGCTCCTGTAACAAGTTTACATGTACTGATCAGCCACGCAGCCACCCACAGGCCGACAGCCAGTCAGACGGTTCGGAGGAATGCAGAGCCAACGAAGCCCAGCCTTTCTGGCTTGAGATCACATGACATTTATTTGTCCATGGGGCGTGGCCAGAAACTGACTGATGAGTCTGCGCACAAGCAGCACATGCATTTCGCGACTCGCGGTCCCTTGTGGTAGGCTGACAGCCTAAGTACCTATTCCTCGCGTTCTTCTGCTAAAAAGAAAAAAAAGCAACACGAACGGTCCTGAAGGCTTACCGCACATCATCTGCAAGGGTGCCGAGCTGCATTGACAGGCAGGGTCATGCACGGGATCGAGCTCACGGGCGCGGTCGACCGCCAGATGGTTGAAACATGACGCCCTGGTCATGGTTGGACGCTGCCCGCCATCAGGGGCCTTTCAGGGCTTTACTGAAAATCCAAAGGGTCCAGCACAGACTCCAGAACACAAACACATATCATCCTGGAGTTGATATCAGCCGCGCTTTGGCGCTCGATAGTCGCGGGCGCTTTTAGGTGCCTCTGAAGGCAACGGACCGCGCCGCAGCCGCCCCCACCCGTGAAGTAGAAGTAGGCATGCGTAAGGTTGGCTGTTGGCGTACATCTGGGTGAATACTGCACAATAGTGCAGGAATAGCAACAGAGCGGTTGTCTCAAATAATAGATTGAACACCATGGTTGCTTGGTTTCCTGCTCGAGTTAAACAATAAACAGCGCAGCGCTTGAACTTGCGTGGGCGACGATGCCCATGAAAGAGCGGTGAACCGCTTACCCGGTACCGGCGTTCTTATCACGAATCACACTACAGATGTCTTGCTTGTGATGTCCGCTCTAGACAAAGTATTCATAAGTTGAAGCACGGCTCAAACCTTCTCATATGATTACGGAGGTGGGGCTAGAGGTTAAGCATGTGTCAATGAGCATCGTTGTCATCCATCAGTCATACGCAGGAGCATAAATATTTATCAATGTCCTTCCAAAGTTAGAGCAAACGATTTGACTCTGGTGCACCCAAATCTGCAGTAACTTAAGATTCAGCACTTGGGCATTGGAATTATTAGCGAAACTAATCACTGATTTGCATCATGTGATGTGTTAAGCGTGCATCTCATGAAAAACGACAAACCCAGAGAGCTGGCAGCATGCAAGTAGAGATTGGGCATCATGGCATGAATGCCCAACAGGACGGCTCAACGGAGCATCCCAAGGCATATGATACATGACTGCTGTGCGGGGAAACCATTGATTAATGACCAGGCATGTCATTTTTTTTCCAAGACCGCATACAGCGAATCGGCTCGGTCCCTTAAGATCTTCAAACAAGTGTAAAGGATCTTTACAACTTGGCTCCACCGAGTGACCCGGACGAACGCTGCAAAACTGGTATGACCGTGATCACCGGCTAGAAGATGCCATTTATCAGCACTATCAAGTAGGGGGAGGATTGCAGTCGCGGAGTGGGAGATAAACGATTGCCATCGCACGATAATTGTGAACTGCTGCGGGTTGTCTGAATACCCTCTCAAATGAGTAAACAATAGCAGTGATAAGGATCCTGCTCCATGGCAAGCAACGGATAGATTTGCCGAATGTCTAACTCCAAAGCGCCTTGAACATATGAAGAACCGTCTGATCATTGCGTCAAGATCAGCGTGCGAGCGTGACCGCTGCCTGATCTAAACCAAGGCAGCAGGCTAAACACGCAACATCGGTCAATGAGGAAGTTACGGCGTTTGCTGTTGCCTTGAGGATAGCCATATAAGGTACTGGTGTATCTGTACCTCCCACGGCATCTTCTCTCTTCACATTCGACCTACAGGCAGCCCCCTCCCCCCTTCTTTCACATCACTCAACACAGACATTTTCCCGAAAGCCTCTGCCGCCGGTCCTCACTATGCCTGACGAGATACGATGTGACCAGTGCGGTCTTGTACAGCCCTATGATCAGTTTTCCAAGCAGCAGCGCAAGATGGACGACCCAGTCAGTTCGACTTCCGGGATTTTTTTGATAGGAACTACTGACACTGCCAGTGCTGCAAGCGATGCGTCGCTTGGACCGAAATACAGGAGCCCGAAATCCCTTCTTGCCCTTTGGCTACGGGTCATGTCTCCTAGGAGGAGGAAACTGGCCTAGCCTGGGGTGGAAGCGAGACAGTTTGGAACGAGCCGAGCCTGGCGCCTCTGGTACGTATCACCACAATCATACTTCTTAAGAGTGCGACTAACGGAAGATAGGCTTCGGTGACCAACCGCAGCAGTGTCGGCGCAGAAGATCGCGGCAGGGACCCCGAGGAGGAGCGTGATGACCGAGTGTCCAAAGCAGGCATCCGGAACTACGCAGGTAGCACCCCGAGCGTGAGCAGCGCACCCGCTCGCAAGCTGCCTCCGCACTTACAGCACCGCGTGAAAAGCCCCAACACCCCCTCAACCGCTGGCTCGGTCGCGAGCTCGGAAGCCGGGGGCGCGACAACGAGCACTGGCACGGGTCAGCAGCGCTTACCACCGCACCTTCGTAGCACGGCGGCGAGAAGTATCTCGACGGCGACGACTGTGAGAAAAGAGAAGGAGAATATTAAGAACTGGAACAGTCAGACGTACAACGCCTACGGCCCGAATGGCGAAAGCCAACAGCGTGTACGCCAGCCGTCGACAGTCGCTTCAGCCTCTATGTCTGACTACACCCCGTCCATGAACTCGAACGAAAGCAGTGGACGCCCAGGTCAAGCCGCCTCGGCTGGTACACGGATGGGCAAGCCGCAAGGCGACACGCAGGCTAGCGGCGCCGAAGACAAGCCTGGCAGAAAGTGGGCGAAGCCGGCAAAGGCACCTCGTGGCTACTGAGGTTAAACTGAAAGGTTGGAACCGCTTGAGCGTTTATCAGCCCCAGAGAGCAACGGAAGCAGTAAGAAAGCTCAAGAGGGAAGCGAAGAAGAACCTCTCCATTCTTTGTATTTCGTGTGGATGTCAGCAAAATCACCTGTACGATCTGATTGAGCAATGGTCGTGCTCAGAACGAAGAGGATGATGCAGAGATAATAGCCAAATTCGAACCTATGAGTTCCTACTCACTTGCTCCTGACGCCTGTGGACCAGCTCCTTGCCATTGCCACCGAATTTACCTCCTCTGAGCTCCATCGACTTGTGTATCCACAAAAGATAGCCAAACCATGCTGTTGTTGAATGACGTGCAAGTGGTCGAGGTGCTCTTTGCAACAGGCAAAAATATGTCCGAGAGCCGTGGTATATGTTTACACACTCTCCTTGTTCTTTGTATGCCCAGTGGAACATTGACGTTGCTGCCGCTCGCCCATTGACTCACTTATATGACAGCCTCATCCCTGGGGCCGGGTTCCGCGTTCACCACCGCCTGGGCATCGCCCACCTGTCTCCGCTCCGTAATTTCCCGGTCTTTGAGTCGTTTGCGTAAGATGAAGGGGATCGAGGATGTCCCGGCGGTGTATAATTCCTATTGTAGGGGTTCCGACGACGAGGAGAGTCGGTTGAGGTGGAGGTACACATCCGTTCCGTAGCTAGTTGTTGTTAGCCGTTGCCCACGATCAATAATTGTTTGACACAAACTTACCCCTCCATGCTGATCAATTTCAGATCACCGCCAAAGTACCGCGCGTACAGACGCGATATGGGTAGACCGTAGCCGAAGCCAGCCATGGGTGCCTTGAAGTCGCTCTTGTCAAAGTCAGGGTCTAGGCTGGGCGTGCGGTCGACGGTGGTGTACATGTAGGTCCAAACGAGGGGGATCGCGCTGCGAGGGATGCCGCCACCCTCGTCCGAGATTTTGATTGTAATGTCTTCTTTCCCCTCGGCGACAATGACCTTTGTGACAGGGAACTCCTGCTTGTCCTCGCCGTGTGCCTCGACCACAGCGCGAAGCGAGTTCTTGAGCGTCTCAAAGAGCATGTGCGACAGGTGCCCCGGGACGTACATAAAGTTGAGATCCGGGTTGCAGACGAGCTGGACGCGGGGGGCCTCAAACAGGCCGTAGTGGTCTTCGCACACAAAACGCGCATTCTCAATGGCCTCCTGGGCGAGGTCCTGCACATTTGTCTTTGTGCAGATGACTCCGACGTAGCTCGGGTCGCGATGCCGACTCTGGTCCGTCAGGGCAATGTGCTGGCCGATGAGCATGCGTATGCCGATACGGGACATGTAGAAGCGGTCGAGGAAGGACTGTATGGACTCGTTGATTTGCATGCGCTGCCGTTGTCGTTTGTACTCAAGGATGCCCTGGGCCATTGTGGTTACTACGCCGTCGTGCCTCCTCTTGATGCCGTGGAGGGTTTGTGCGAAGCGCTGGTTGTATAGCTGTAGCTCGGGAGGCCATTCGGAGGTGTCATCCACCATGGCAAAGTACCGTCTCGACAGCGACTTGGTCTTGTTGGCGCCCTGGCCGTTGGCACTGGCGTGGAGACCTCCCCAGCCCGAAGAGTCGCCCTCACCAAGGGACGGATTCGGAGTGGCTTCGGAGAGTTTGAGGGTATTGCGTCCGTAGTGTTTGGCTGGCTTTGTGAGGCGCGATCGGACGTCCGCTGGCAGGTTGGGCCGCGGCAGCTGTGTGATTTCTTCAAAGGACTGCGCATACCAGTCCTTGACCTTGTTGACCGAAGGCATCTCATTGAGGCCATCGGGGAGGTCGTCGAGCTCCTGGACTCGGTGCGCCAGTCGGATGGGAAGCTCCTCGGCAAGGAACTGTGAGGCACGGAAGAGGGTACCCGTGGATGGTCTCTCGCCGAATTGGACCATCTGTCGGAGGCTGACGCCCGTGGCTGGGAATCTGGCATAGTGCCTGATGGTATCCATCAGGCGCTCTGAAGCCTTCCACGACATGGTGGCTGGCTGGCTGGCTGGCTCGTTGGTGACTGGTCTTCGAGATGGGAATACCCGAAACTACCCGTACGGCAAGGTCTATGATCTCGTCATTGGAGCACCGAGGGCGTACTCGTCTTCTAAATGAAATGCGTGCACAGGTGTCCGAGCGCGCAGGTAAGTCGCAAAAGTACAATGGTACTAGATGTGAGTGTTGTGAGCATGTGTGTCGCGTGCACTCTTGTGGGAGTTGTTTGGAGTCGAGTTCGGCCCCACGGCAGCAGCAGCGCTTGGAAAGCCGAGGCAGTCCACGGACGAATACGGCTTGGACTGGACAAATCAAGGAACCCAAGGCGTCGTTGGCGAGAACAAAAAGCGACTCGGAGCAGAGGAAGCAATCGAGATCAGTGACGCAAGGCAATTGGAGAAAAGGGGACGGCGGACACTGGCACAGAAAGGCGAGGATTTGAAGGTCGAGAGGAATGAGTCGTCCACGATGGGCCGGGACCGGGGAGGACAGGACAGGACAGGACAGGACAGGACAGGACAGGACTGGGCTGGACTGGAGAGCATGACGCTGCGGGCAAGCGGGGGTCACCTGGGAGGCATTCTACAAGGTGCCTCCATCCGTTTAGCTGGTCTCGGCCAGCACGTTTGGTGCGCTTTTCCCCGGCATGAATAGTCCATGTCGATCTGCCCTGGGCTTTGACCTTGTCCAGCGTCATCCATCCGTAGCATTGGGATGTGAGGGGATCCAGTTTGCCTTGACCGACGGCTTAAGCTGGCGCGCTACGTTAGATAGATCAACAACCAGTACCTCGAGAAGAGGGGTTTCCAGCCCTTATAGTACCCAAGATAGCTGGGTAAAGATTCTCTTGGTAATCTATTCCCCTCACTTGTTTTCTAGATGCTTGAAGAATGCTTGGATTCACCTTGTTGCTCGACCCATGCTGCTAACGTACCCCAACTCAGTCACCTTGGCCGTCCAGTCGTGGATGAGAGCAGACAGTACGTATCCGCAAACAGCAAAGACCAGCCCCGACTGACGGACGGCATCAACGGCTGCAGCACATCGTCGACTGAGCGCATCCTCCGGTCTTTTGGCATTGCAAACCGTCTTTGCGCATGATGAGGAGGTTCATATGTTAGGCAATAAATGACTCGAGCGCAACTGAAGGTTTCTCCAACTGGACCGATCCCCACAATCACGTGTCAATCCCGACGCTGGGGAGATCATTGCTATCACATTGGTAGTGAGAAAGTGCAGACGCTGGGGCCGACGCTGATAGGATTCTTACTATGCGCATCAAAACCTAAATGCGTGTCTGCCGCAATGTCAAAATACTCTTTTTGCTTTGTTGCGACGAATTTCAGCAAGCAATCCTTCGACCCAAGTTCAGCTCCTTGTTAGCACTCTACCTCATGGTGTGGTGAAAGAATAGAGCAGGCGCTTGTCTGCTGTTTTGGGCACAGACATGTGTAGCTTAATTCTGCGGCTACGGGTAGCGCCAGCCGCTGTACCTATAATTCCTCAGCCACGTTCTTGTTGGTGTTTGTCGGTGAAGTGACGGGAACATCACGTCCATCCATCTCTTCCAGGTTCAGGCTCCGCACAGCACCACTCGCACCCGCGCATTATTGCCCTCCTCGTCGCCTGGTGCGCTGTGCTTCTCCTGTGGTCTGTACTCTGTTTCCTGCTGTGCTCTCTTATCGCAAAGCTAGCGCAGCAAATGTGGCGCCGTCAGGTCACCGATGTCTTGCCATGGATGACCGCCAATCCGACCATGATCCTCCACGGCACTCGAGGCAAAACTCCCTCCATGAGCAGCGCATGGCGAGGCGAAAAACGGCGACGAGTCACAGCTCCGACAGGAGCAGCAATGAGTCAAGGAATCATCATAATGGACTGCCCGCCACGCCGCCGCCTCGTCTCATGTCGACCCCCAGCGCTGGCTCGTCATCCGCCGGGGCGTCTTGTGGTGTGATGAGTTCCCTACAGCGGGAGCTGTCTCTCTCTAGCTCACATGACCAGCATGACGGCGTGTCGAGGTCTTCCAGCCGTTTAGCCTTGGCTCGACGGTTGAGCCACCTCGCACAGCAGCTCACCAGCGATGGCGTGATTGACGAGCACGCCTTGACAAGTCAGCTGGGTCAGATGGAAAAGGCCGTTGCGCAGTCGCCGCCCCGGAGTAGATTCTCCTCGCCGCATCACCGCCGACCAGGTAGCCTTGAGTCGGAACGTGCCGTGGTACGGAGCCACAGCGATCTTGGTGGCTCGCTGGCGAGCTCACCCGACTCGTCATTGTACCGTTCACGGTTCTCCAATCTGTCGGCATCCCTCATGATGAGAGAATCAGAGCCTGCGCTCGAGCCCGAAGTGACCCAGGAAGTACAGAAACCGGGTTTAACACCACGGCAGCTGAATAAGATCATCTCCGAGGCTACAAAGCTCAATGAAGAGCTCGCCACTGTGGTTGGTAACCTCAAAGCACGGCAGGAAGAGTCAAATGTACAGTTGGCCTCATATTTGTTGCTTTTCGTTGTTGACTCGTTGTGCGACAGCATATTCACGATCTCTTGATCGAGCGCGCCGAACGTGCTGCTCAACGTATCATGTTCCTACAAGACCGCATATCATACCTGTAAGACCGAACTTCTTGCCGTCATTTGACACCACACTCTCCGTTGCAGACACCTGACACGCAAACAGCGAGGGGGAGCTCCGAGATAACGACGACGAGATACAACACCTGCGCATCTGCCTCAAAGCAGTCGAGGTACAGTTGCCGCCAAACCCCGATCCAGATATCCAGCGCTGCATCGCTTCTTTCAAGAAGGAATACCAGACCTTGCGGAAGAAGCGACTCAACCGCAGCATGGAGCAAGGCTATCACAATGGCCACGGCTTAGGAGACGTGACGCCATCACTCACAAGATGAGATGTTTTACGATACCCATGTGTATGACTGGCCGGAGTAACGAATTCTCTTATACTTCTTTCTCCTTCGTTATGTTCATTTCACGCACGCCATGTGACCTTTCTGCTTTGTTCTTTCGGACGATACCACGAGCCTTGGACTGGGGAGATGGGGATGCAATGGCAGACTTTTGACACAGAAGCAATGGATCTGGCGTCAGCAGCTCCTATTCGTGGAATTGGACCAATTCATAATACACTACTCTCTCGATGAAAGGTCCTCGCGACTGAGTCACAAATATTATCTGTACTACACATCCATGGCACAATGGTTCCATACAGCAAGAAGGGATGGTATGCTGTATGCTAGACCCAAACCACAAAAACAATTTGTCAGGAAAACTAGCGCTCGAAATATAAACAAACAGAAGTGTCCCCCGCAGTCCATCATACTTTGTATAGCAAATCCAGGAAGCCATTCGCGAGATCCACCACCACACTCTTGTTCGGCAAGGATCCAGCTACACCATAGAGAGCTGCCGAGTCGCCCACGGCCTTGCCCTTGGCTCCCTTGCCCTCCACGATGCGAACGCGCTCCTTCTCGCGCTCCGTCTCCACCACAGACTCAAGGTCGGACACAAGTCTCTCCCAGACCTTGGCAATGGGCAGCGTCACAGCCACATGGATGGCGGGAGGGTTCTGCAGAGCATTGAGGTGCCATCCCTTGCCGCTCATACCGTCGGCAATGTCGTAGATGTCGAGGTTCTTGGCTGTAAAGGCTACAACCGACACCAGCGGCTTACCAATAATCTCAAGCTCACCACCCAAGATCGGCGTCTCGCGGATCGAATCGGTGATTTTCTTGGTCGTTCCAACAATCTTCACACACGCATCCACGTAGCCGGACTCGCCGACCGACATGAGACTGGCCCAACAGCCCGCGATCAGGGCGCCAGGGCGGGAACCGGCGATACCTGGTGACGCGTAGACGCCACCAGACCAGTCAGGCGAGACAAAGTACTGGTATTTCCGCAACTCAGACGTGCGATAGAGCACGGTGGAATTGCCTTTGGGCGCGAAGCCATACTTGTGCGTATCACAGCTGATGCTCGTGACACCCTTGAGGCGGAAATCAAACAGCTGCGTCTCGAAGCCGGCCTTGTCGAGGAAGGGCACGAGGAACGAGCCCAAACAGCAGTCGACGTGGAGGCAGAGCTTCTTGCGCAGTGCGAGCTTTGACAGGGCAGCAATGCCGTCGATGATGCCGTGGGGGAAGTTGGGCGCCGACCCCACGAGCATGATGGTGTTGCTGTTGATGAGCCTCGATACGGCGCGAACATCGACCTGGTAGCTGGGCGCAGGGCACGCCACGAGGTGGATCTTGATGCCAAAGTACTGGCCGGCCTTGCGGAACGCGGTGTGCCCCGTCTCGGGGAGGATCATCTCGGGCTCGGTGATGCCGCGTTCGACGTACCCACGCTGCCTCGCGGACAGACAGGCCATGAGGATACTCTCCGAGCCACCTGCGGTCGACACGCCGGCCGCACCTGGTGGCGCGTTGAACAGGTTGAGCACCATGCTCACGATCTCGGCCTCCATCTTGCGCACGCCGGGGAACACATCAGGGTGAATGGGGTTCGCGACCGTGAACTTGCCAAACGCCTCCGTCTGAAGCTGCATCAGTTTCTCCTCGCCATGGTACACGGCGCCGGAGACGAAGCCATCCTCCCATCGCGTATGGTCCATGTCAGCGAGCTGCTTGAGCTCGGCCCGGACAGCTTCCTCGGCCATGCCCTCCTTGGGCAGCACGAGGTGGCGCGTCATGTCGGTCGTGATGAGTTTGTCGGCCACCTTGGAGAGCGACTCGCGCACTTGTTTCTGCACCTGGCTACGCACGCCAGGTGCGCGGAGGAAGTAGCCGTATGCGATGCGACGAATGTCGTGGTACAGCTCGAGGAGAGCGCCGATGATACCGCGTCCCTTGAGCTTCCACCAGGTACGGCGCGTCCATCGTAGGACGAAGAAGAAGAAGACAATGTTTCGAATGCTGCGCCTGGTCAGAAGCCATACATAGCAGAGGAACAGACACCAAATGAGACTCACAGGTCGAGGTTAATCATTCCTAGCGACAGTGACGACATCTTGGGCTTCCTCTTCTTGACGGAGTCAAGACTACCCCGAAGACTGATAGGCATCCTCGAAGAACCCGGCATGTTGGGCAACTGTTCAAGCGGTACCGGTATGGGTTGTGGAATATATGCCTGGTAGAGGTTCGAGCTCGTTACATGATGAGGTGGACGTCTAGAAGAAAGCTGGGAGTGGGGAGAGGCTTGTGGCCTTGTACCACTTCCTAGCCAGGCACTATCAGGTCATCACATGCGCCAATGCCGGCTAGCCGAGGGTTGCGATTTGATAACAGGGGTTTAGACGCATGGCGATACGTACAAGAAAGTGCTGCGATTGTATCAACTCATCATTACCAACGACGCAGATGCCACTCGCGGTGCGCGCAACGTCGGAACCCGCGGGCCCCGGCATCGGGGCGCGCGCGCAACACGGACGGCTGCAGAGCACGTCCAACATCAATCTCGTCGCGACTCGCCGCAGGTTTCCGCGGGGACCTCATTCCAGGTCTCTGGATAAGGGGACTTTTGATCATCTGGTGGGCAATTCAAAGGCTGGGCCACAATGGGTCGTCTACATCTGGACTATCAACTCCCGAAACCGCTGCCAATACCACTGAGACTCTCGCTCGCAGCTGCTTTCACCCGTGACGGTACATCCCTTCAGCATGACTACGAAATCGCCCTCTCGGTAGCCCTCACCCAGGTTCGTGTGAGCGTACGACGCCATTGTCCGCTGGGGGACCAGCGCAAGCTTGGACAACACCGTTGGGTGCCATTGCACAATGTGCTCCTGCGATCGTGTTAATCAAAGAGTGCTTGCTGGAAGCCGACTGCCATTGAACTTACCAGTGCATGCCTCTCTGCCTTCTGGAAGTTATACGACATGTACAATGGATCCATCCACGTCTCTGTTAGAAATCGCGCCCAGTCGCCCGTCTTCAGCAATACACTATCTGCGACTAGTCCGTCGTTGTCTTGGCTGACAATCATGGCGGCCTCTTGGCCCTTGAGACGCTGAAAAGTCTTGATGATGCTGTCCGGCGGTACGACCGAGTGGTCCCTGATCATCAAGCTTTCGAGGACGCGAGGATCGGCAACGACCTCTTCCACCGTTCGCGAGGGCTCCATGATGAAAGCATTCTGGTCGAGGTGCCAGATGTAGTTCGCATCCGGGTATTTCGTCAACGCATGTCGCATAGCCATCACCTTGGCCCAGGATTGCTGGTAGCCTTTCGTATCGTAGTCCTGGGCTTCCACAATGAACGTCTCGTAGCCTTTTCCCCGTCAGCCCATAAACCCAACTGTAGAGCGCGGATCATACCATGCTTCTCTGCGTACTGCCTACGGTTCTCTTGCACGGACCTCAAGTACGATGCGCTGTAGCTCTTGGGGTCGATGACCGTCACAATCACGATGGAAGGCTCCCCTGTGGGAACATGCTCCTGGTAGACCTCCTGTCGACTCCGGCCGGAGAGTAGCCAAAAAATTCCTAGTATCGCTACAAGTATCAAGCTTATCGTTCGAAGTCGCGCTTTTCGCAATAAAGGGAATCTCGTCGATCGTGGCCGAAACGGTGGGGGATCCGAGCTCTTTCGAGGGGGGTAGGCAAAATGCATTGTGTGAGACGCACCCGACGGCGTCGACTTGCGACAGCTCGCCTTTCGAAGTTTCTTTCAACACAGTATTCAGAAATCGACGCCGATGTCGCGGGATGGTTTCGCAGCAGGAGGGCTGCCCTCGGAAGGCGGCTATCAGCGTAGCGTGGACGACAACGCCCAATGCCAGTACTGCGTAACTAAAGAGCAACAATATGATCGGCTCTGACAGGGAATGTCAAGGGACAGAGTCAAAGGAAGAGCGTGACAAGTCAATACGAATTCGTTCGTCCATGTTGCGTCAGGAAGCTTTTATGCGACAGCCCACGCAGGACGGTCGCGGTCGTAATGAGATTGGAGGTTCCGGGTTCCACTTTTCAAATCCTAGGGCTCATGTAGCATGAATGATGAATGACTTGCGCCAGTGCATCAGCACGGTAGTACCCTTCGTCAAAATTGGCACTTCGGGCACACAATGGCAAATGGCACGGATCAAATCGCGAATGCATTGATGGTACATAGCGCTATGAAAATGTGTCAAGCCCTGAAAGAGGTCATCCGCTCACCGCTCTGTACAGGTGTACCTAGTGGACGACTGCTGTCTACGGACGGAAAACGACCAAGGTCGTCTGTCACGTTGACGGACTTTGACATCTCCCAATCCTGCTATCGGACAAGAGATCAAAACGACCCGAGTCCAAGCATGAAAGGAGCCTTGATCTCTGCACACAGACACGTCGTCTCGATACGGGAGAGCAAGCTCAAGACAACTTAAAGGTATGCAGGGCGCCCAACGGAGCGCACGTAGTTGGATCCAAGTTCACCGAGCCCTCTGCTTCACTCATCTTTCTCGTGTTCATCTGCTTCATCATCGTCTGCATCGTCGTCGTTTACGTCCATGACTCGGTCGCTGACATTCTTCAACAAGCGCTCGCTCAGGGCTCCGACGAACCGCCACGTTGCCATCAGGAAGGTGACAGCCCCGATGAGGATAAATAACCAGCTCAAGTTTTCCGCCCGGGCTCGACCTGTGCCTTGTCGTCGGCCGCCCATCAGACCGCCACCGCGGTAGTAGAACCACTGCCAGGGCGACATGGCAAACATGCTCTTGACGAGACCGACCAACCCGAGAGAGAAGAACCCCTTGGCAAAGTGCTCTGTCCAAGTCTGTGGCGCCTCGGCGAAGGGCTGGTTCAGGCCCTCAATGTCGGTCAACACACTTGCAACACCGTCAGTCAAGGTACCCAGAGGGTCAAACCACAAGTCGAAGAGCGGATCGGCAATGTACCCCAGCACAAATAGACCAGTGATCAAAACAGCGATGGTCAGTGCAATCCGGGTGGACTTGTTACTTAGGGTGGTTGCCCAACTGAGCCGGGACATTCGATATGTGAATTTGCAAGTCGGGCACTGCCAAAAATTCCGCGCCGTACCTGGATTGGCTAATCGCCACGCGTTGAGGCAGCCTTCGTGGACATACTTCTGCGAGCCTTTGCACTTGCATGGCGAGAGCAGACGTCCGAGTTCGGGATCGTCGGATTGATAGACGGGCTTTGCTGAACCGGAAGATATTCCCAACGTGGTGAAGGTTTCAGGGAACTGTGGGTGCTCGGTTTCGAGACATATACGGCAGGACCGCGGACCATAACGTTGACGATGGGACCTCGCACGTGTGCCCGTAGAATGAGGTTGGTCGGCTGGTTGTTCCGGTCTCGAGCTTTGATGGCTTGTGGAGGCATCATTCAGGCCATCTTGTGCTGTAGACCAGTCCCAAGTTGGCTGGGTGTCCATATCGGAAGGCTCGAGTCTTGCCAGAGCGTGGAGGGATGTATATGTAGCCTGCGTGAGAGGAAGTAAGAGTTTGTGCCGCGCGGCCTCAGCGAACGCGGCGTGAGGACATGTCAAAGCCTAGAGAGCAATGTGAGGGAATGCGAAAGAGGAGACACAGTTAGAGGTCGGTCGTTGTGTGCATGCATGCAGGTCGTGTCAACAGAACATCATGGAGCCGATCAGAACAGACAAGCCACCTGTTTTAGGCAGTTGCTCAATTTGCTGTTTGGGAAGAAGTTGCCGGGCTATTCCACAGAACGATTTGCTGCCCGCCAATCACCAGCTGTTCCGGCACCTCATGTAAGCAGCGGAGGCAGCAGTGAATGACATCAGGGGCCGGATAAACCTCGCTTCCGGCCCAGCTCTCGTGCCTGGTGTCCCGCAGTCTGTCGCTGTTGCGGTCCAGAGACGCGGCAGCTCACTGCCTGTTGCTACTGGCGGGTTGGAGAGCTTCACCTGCGTTGGGCAAATACCAAAGCTGCATCTTGACCTCACCACGCCCAGCCTTTGCGACCGCGACACCTCCTCACAGATACCTATTCCTCACTGATCATGGCGGACCGTTATTCTTTCTCTCTGACCACTTTCTCCCCAAGGTATGAGCTCCCACAGAACTACCCAGCTCATGACCGCATCCTTGCTAACATGACAATCACAGTGGGAAGCTGGTGCAGATTGGTAAGGGCATCCCATTCCCGGGATAGCGAGCCTCTCTCGACGACACATGCTAATTTCACTACAGAATATGCGCTCAATGCTGTCAACCAAGGCATCACTGCCCTTGGCATCAAGGGTTCGTCCCACGCACGACCCCTCCATACCCGCCATTACTGACCACGGTCCTAGCTACCAACGGCATCGTCCTTGCTACTGAGAAGAAGTCGTCTTCGCCCCTCGCAGACCAGAGCTCTCTTTCGAAAATCAGCAACATAACACCCGACATCGGCATGGTGTATTCTGGCATGGGTCCCGATTACCGAGTATTAGTCGACAAGGCACGTAAGGTGTCTCACACGGGCTACAAGCGAATCTACAACGAATACCCCCCGACTCGCATATTGGTGCAGGATGTCGCTCGCGTCATGCAAGAGGCTACCCAGTCTGCTGGTGTCCGCCCTTATGGTGTCAGCTTGCTCGTTGCCGGATGGGACGAGGGCATCGAGCCTGATGTAGAGGCAGAGGTTGAAGACAAGATGGATACCGAGGGGGAGAAGAAGAAGACCACAAAGACGGGTGGTATTCACAAGGGCGGGCCCATGCTGTACCAAGTAGACCCATCTGGCAGCTACTATCCGTGGAAGGCGACGGCTATCGGAAAGAGTGCGACAAAGGCCAAGACTTTCTTGGAAAAGCGGTACTCAGAGGAGCTCGAGCTGGAGGACGCCATTCACATCGCCTTGTTGACGCTTAAAGACAACATTGAGGGCGAGATGAACGGAGACTCGATTGAGATTGGTAGGTTCGATTCTGATAAGTGGTCGTGAACCAAGGCTAATCAGGAGAAAGGCATTGTCGGCGCACCTGCGGATCATCTGCTTGGAGTGGCTGGAGTAGAAGGAGCCCAGGGCCCGCGGTTCCGAAAGCTAACACCTCAGGAAATTGAGGATTACTTGACGAGTCTATGATACGTTTGACGACACAGCGCATTGGGAAATACATGGCAATGTAAAATAGAAAGAGTTGCAGTGGCTCAATAGAGCGTGGATTGCAATCACTCTACGGATTGGTCGTTCCCTCTTCGGCTAGGAGAAATGATGATCGAGCGCCAGCAAAAACGCCAGCTACGCGCTCACTCTGATGAAGAGAAATAACCAGCTTTGTCCACGACGACACATGGTCTGTGGCAGCTCGTCCCAGCCCGAGTTGGCCATTGCAGTTGCCACCCAGAACAAACACCTCGCCCTCGGTCGACAGAGCTATGGCATGGCACTCTCCAACCGCGATATCTTGAATGTCCACATCACCGTCCACTTCCACATAGTTGGGAACCCCATTGAGAGAAGTGATGGGAAGTTGTTGACGGTGCGAACCTGGTGCTTGCGCTCCCCATGCGTACAAGCTGCCCGATTGTGTCAAGGCCATGACGGTGTAGCCCCCAGCTGCCACTTTTCGAATAGGCTCTCCCAATCCATCCAAGTCGTAGACCTTGGCGGGCCTCTCGGCAGGGCTTTTGGTGGTCAGCTGTCATACTCATCAAGTAGTCCACGGAGAAGATACGTACTTTTCTGCCGTGACTTCCCTGCCCAAGCAGTCCGCAAATCTAGGGTCACCAACAGTGCTTACCGAACCATCGTCGAACAGAAAGACCCAACCCACATCGTATGAAGCGACCTGCGCTATGGCGGTGTCGAAATCCCATTGGTCTCTCTGTATGTCATCTAGGGCTGTTCCGAAGGTTGTAAAAATGCGAATTCTCGACCCATGTGTCTTGTTCTCAAATCTCAATCCTTCCCCGGCTCCGTTCAGAATGATATTGGCGAAGTTCGATACATCGCTTGGCAAGATGGTCGAAGCGCCTGCTTGTTGCAAGCCTTGATCTGTTCGTACTGGATAAAGGTTAGGCAATCCGAGATATTTGGATTTGGAAATGTCTCACCCAACGTGTGGGCTGGCCAAATAGCAATGACTTCGACGTATGCATTTTCCAAAATGACTTGGGCCTCGGTAAGATCTTCAGGCTCGCTTTCTATCAAATTTGGGTCAAAGACCAATTGATTCCAGGCATTGAAGCCTGCAGCAAAGAGCCTCATTCTATAGTGCGTAGCTCATGACAGAATGATCAAGGTGGTCATACCGGGTAGGTCGGGTGATGGCTCCGGTTGCCGTTGACTCGGCTGAAGTCCTATGAGCGTGTGTCGTCCGTCGCTGGAACAAGCACAATCGATTGTCACTTGTCGCTCAATTTTCTACAGCTAAATCTGACGGCGAACAGTGAACGCTCTACGACAACTACCTGTAGCCAACCGCTTCACGGAGCGCAGCGCTCCACACAGGCATACCTGGCTTTTTGATGGCTCTGCCCGGCCTCCTGCAGTTCACTTCACACAAGATGACGACCGTGCCTCAAAGCGAGTGCTCTTGGCTCGGACTTCCGCACCGTACTTTGCGTTGAGTCCCAATCAAGACTCACTGTCTCTTGTCCGGGTCACTCAAATGCTTCAACCGCCGAGACGTGGTACCCGCAGACCTTCATCGAGTCCAACTAGCAATCATGTCTCTCCATATCTGCACACCCGTTCTTGAGGGTGACTCTACAGAGTCTTCCCGCAGCGAAAGCCCGGACAGCATGTCTTTGGACAGTCTGACGCTCGAAGAATCCGGAAATGTCGATGGGGACTCGTGTCCAGATGATAACGCCGACGAAACCAGCCTTGTTGAGGATTCGATACCAGAGTCGCCAGACATGCGTGCCTACCAGCAAGAAATGCTTCTGGAGAGCATGAAAGGCAATGTAATTGTGTCGGTAAGCTATAAAGGGCCTCCTCCTGGTGGCTCCATCTGACAACCACAGATGGAGACGGGGAGCGGGAAGACAAGAATGTAAGCTGCCATGCCAGCGCGTGCGATATCGTGTAAGAAAATGGCTGACCATTCTTCAGAGCCATCGAGAGAATGCAGAGGCAGCTCGAAACCGGCGACCCACGACAAGTAAGTGTTCAAAAATTCAATTGAATCAACAGTCACTAAGGGTAGATCGCCTGGTTTCTCGCCCCAACGGTCTTACTATGTGCCCAGCAGTGCGAGGCGGTCAAGCGTTCGCTGCCAGCGTATTCGGTAAAGCTACTGACCGGGGATCTCGAGCTCGAGACGTGGACAGTATCCACATGGAAAGCAATTCTGGGCGACGCGCAGGTTATTGTGTCCACCCCGCAGGTTCTCTACGACGCGCTGTGCCATGGAGAACAATTCGTGTCCTTTGGGCGGCTCTCCATCCTCGTCTTCGACGAAGCACATAAATGTGTGAAGAAGGATGCCGGGCGGAAGATCATGCTCGGGTTCTACCACGAGCGCAAGTGCTCTGGCAAGTCGGTGCCAGTCATCTTAGGCCTGACCGCGAGTCCGAGTATCAGAGCAACTATGGAAGGAATCGAGCATCTTGAAACGACGTTGAACGCTCGCTGCGTCTGGCCAACGCTTCATCGAGAGGAGCTGCTGAAGTATGTCAACAAGCCACGATTATACCCCATTGTCTTTGAGGAGCCCGAACACCAGGAAACAACGCCCTCCATGCGATCTTTGCAGAAAGCATGGCAAGAGCTTGATTTGAGGTCTGACCCATACATTCTCAAATTGCTAAGCAACCCATCGGCGAGGAACAGACAACTCCTCGAGACTGCAATCTGCAAGAGCAATACATATTCACAAACCGAACTCAGGAGCACATACGCGCGCTGTGTCACTGTCGCCAAGGAACTGGGCTTGTGGGCGGCTGACCAGTACATCTGGCGAGCGACCACTGAGTTTCTGAGATGCCTTAATGTACAGCCTCAGATATTTGACGAGTGGTCTTCGCAGGAAAAAGAATACCTGGCGGCCGCCTTTCGCCGCGTGCATGCGCCTGAACCACCTAAATGCCCGACTCATATCTCAGGCAAAGCAGGCTTGCTTTTACAAGAGCTGCTGCAGGTGCAGCAGATTCATGATTGGCCGGTTTGTCTGATCTTTGCGAAAGAAAGGGCGACGGTGAGCATGCTATATGAGCTACTTAATGCTTGTCCCCCGATCAAAGAGAGATACCGCATCGGCGCTGTGGTTGGAACGTCGAACCACAAAAGCAAGAAGCAGAACATCTGCGACCTTTCAAGTAACCTCAACCCGGGCCTCTCCGTGCTGGAAGACTTTCGCGTCGGACAAGTCAACCTTCTGATCACCACGAGCGTCCTCGAAGAAGGCATTGACGTGCCTGACTGCAACACTGTCATCTGCTTTGATATCATTGAGTCGCTCAAATCTTTTGTACAGCGCCGCGGCCGCGCGCGCATGCACAGCTCCAAAATCGTTATCTTCACGGACAAGTCACCGAAAATGGCCGAAAAATGGGAGGTTCTGGAGGGAGCGCTGAGGCTCGAGCTCCAGGCTCAGGAGCGAGAGATTATGGCGCTTGAGATGCTAGAGCTCGGCGACGAAGAGAGCAGCCAAGAAACGCTTCGATCGAAAACAACGGGAGCCAAGATTGGGTTTGACGAGGCGAAATCTCATCTCGAACACTTCTGCCACAAACTTTCAAGGGGCGAGTATGTGGATGCTCGTCCGTACTACATGGTGCACAAGTCCGACAAACTCATGTCATGCACCGTACACTTGCCTTCCTTCATCCCGCCTCATGTTCGTCTAGCTGATAGTATTCGGTCGGACTGGAAAAGCGAGAAGAATGCCACCAAGGACGCAGCTTTCCAAGCATATGCGGCCCTGTACCGCGAAGGTCTCGTCAACGAGAACCTGCTGCCATTCGAGCCAGAGCAGTTGCCGGGGCTGGAGACCAGAAAGCCGATGGCTTATATCGAGCCCCCTTTTAAGCCTTGGCAGGACATTGCGAGAGCTTGGCAGTCGACGGACGACAGATGGGCGTACACATTCACTTGCTGCAATGAGCATGGCGACGTTACGGGGACATACGATATTGTTCTCCCTACCCGCATTGACCAACCTCGCACAATGAAGATCCACAAGAGCTACGATATTGCCTGGGAGTTACGGGCCACTGCTGGCAGATGCTTGTCCTCCGACGAAACGTCGTCCATGCAGGATCAGACATCAGCTCTTTTAGCCATGAACTTTGGTCACAGATGGGATGTTCTCGACAAGCCGCACGTCATTCAAGTCAGCGCAAATGACGCTTTCATAGCGTTGGAGCACAAAGGGTCTCAGACATTTGTCGGAGAGTCGTCCGAGGACCCAATCCGTTACCTGCTTCGTGATGGCTCAGGGGCCCCTTGGATCTTTGAGAAAGTCTTACCTTCGAAACCGACTGTAGATTCGGTCCAGCGTCCTTTCTTTGAGTATGACCTCGCACCCGACAACGTCCCATACGCCGTGGTAAGAAAATGGTCACGCTACGCCGACTTCCTGCATCCTCCACAGGCTTGCGCTGCAAATCATGCCACGGGCACAAAACCGTACGGATATGTAATTCCGCTACCATGCATGAGAGACGAAGTCACGATCAACCATGTCGAGTTTGGGCGGCTTCTGCCTTCGATACTGCACGAGATGGAGCTCATGCTGATCACGCAACATCTGCGCAATAACTTGTTGAACTCGATCGGCTTATCAAATCTCGGATTGATCCGCTCAGCTATAAGCACACGGAGTGCGAACGAACCATTTCAGTACGAACGGTTGGAGTTCTTGGGTGACTCGATTCTCAAATACTGCGCAGCAGTCCTGGCAGCTACGTTACGTGAGTTTGCGGACGATCACAAAGACCTATTGCTAACGCATGACAGACCCCGACTGGCCCGAAGGATATCTTTCGCACCTAAAGGATCAACTCGTCTCAAACGCTCGACTATCCCGTGCTGCTCTTGAAAAGGGGCTTGCTAAATACATCCTGACACGTCCTTTCACGGGCCACAAGTGGCGACCCATCTATGTTGATGAAGCAATGAGCAGTGACCAACAGCCAAAAATCGACAATCAGCTGTCGACGAAAACCTTGGCAGATGTGGTGGAGGCGCTGATCGGCGCATCGTACTGTGAAGGAGGCATTCAAAAAGCTTCCAGATGCCTCGCGGTCTTCATTGACGACCAGGAATGGCCACATCCAGATGTCAGCCGCCTCAAGCTCTTCGAGCTCCAGCCTCCCGTTTCCATCAACGAAGCTTATTTCGCAGAACTTGAGGCGCTTTTGGGCTACACCTTCAACAAGAAGTCCCTGGCAGCAGAAGCTCTCACCCACCCTTCCTGCCCATCAAGCGACGCACAGCGCTCATTGGACCGACTTGAGTTCCTCGGGGATGCAGTACTTGACAAAATTATTGTCTCCCGGCTGTTCAAAGCGGAACCGCCCTTGACGCATGATCAAATGCACCTTCTCAAGACTGCTACAGTGAACGGAGATTTCCTAGCGTTTCAGTCTACCGAATTTGGCTTGCCAACGGAGCAGACGATAAAGCCCAAAGGTTCCGATCTCCAGACGCAAACCGTCGTGAAGCCGCTCTGGAAGTATTTGCGATTCGAATCCCTGAGTCTCGGCGTCGAACAAAAGGCTCTGGAAGAACGCCATGCCCAACTACGCTTGGATATACTGGACGCTATGGAGAATGGCACTCATTATCCTTGGGCCCTACTCGCAAAGTTGCAGGCTAAAAAGTTCTTTTCAGACGTTGTCGAGTCAATCTTGGGGGCAGTCTGGCTCGATTCTGGCTCGATCGATGTTTGCGAGGGCATTATAGGAGGAATGGGTATACTCAAATATCTCGACCGCCTCATCCGCGATGGAGTCCACGTCCGACATCCCAAGGAAGTCATTGGCATGCTTGCTGTGACACAGAAGGTCAGGTATACGGTTGAAGCAAGCGTCGAGGAGGCCGGGAAGCAGACTTTCAGTTGTACGATTTGTGTGGGCGATAGAGAGGTTGCGCACGTCGTTGATGGTGTTTCCAAAGAAGAGATCAAGACCAAGGCAGCCACTGAAGCGGTCAAGATCCTCGAAGGCGAAATGAAGACCTCGAAAGCTGGAGCGGAAGCTATGGCAAGGGCCACGGAATAGGACTTTATTGGAGGGCATGGGCCTATGACTGATGACTTTAACGCATTTATGAGTGGTGGTGAGCGTATAGGCGTTCTCGAGGGGGCCAAGACTTCAGGCCTTTGGACATTTGCTGATTAGCGTTGGTTATTTATGACGAGCGACATCTCATAGATCAATTGTAGAGATGATGGGAGCCTATATATCGATGCCACTCAGACTTGGCTCTTTTTAAGCCCGTCCAGCACCACATCGGCCGCCCAGTTCAGGGTGCTCTCCAAGTCTCTGTCAGCATCCAAACCCTTTTCCACGCGGATATTCTCTTTTGCCAAAGCATCCTCCTTGAAATCGCGCTCTACATCGCCGTTCTCAAACATCCACGCATGCTCTTCCACATAGTTTGGCCAGACAATCTTGTCAACGTATCCTGGTGGGTCACTCCAAAATCCTTCGATCGTAACGTAGCCATCCCTTCGTTCTCTTCGCATCTTAGCTTTCTCATACGTTGTTCGCAGAAAGATCTTGATGTCAAGGTAAGGGTGGATGGGGGACATTGATGGGGGGTAAAGGAGAAACCCATCCAAGAGGCAGAGAGACAGTGCCCCCGTGCGCAAGGGATGATCGGCGGGGATGGACGAGTCAACGCTCGACTTGAGGGCGGCTATGGCGGAATCGGAAACGGGACATTCGCCGATCGAGTTCTGATCCTCCTTTGACTCGAGATGCGGCTTCAGCTTGTTAGTCGCCGTGGACTAAAGGGGGCCAATGTCATAGCGTACCGGAAAGGCTGCATTCTGCCGGATGTAAGCGAGGGACTCTGCCATGCCAGGCACGTCGATTGCGCCAGCACAGTCCCAGTCTAGCAATCCGTTCTTTTTGGGCAGGCTTCGATTTGTCAATTAACAGTATAATTGTGAGCGCCTAGCATTGACTTACTCCTTTTCCTCCTTGTAGAAATCATCTTGGTGCAAGATAAAGGTGTTGGGAAAGACATCTCGAAGTATGCGGGCGAGGGTAGTCTTTCCGCAGGATGAACATCCGGAGATACCGACTATCAATGACTTGCGTTCCGTCATATTTGAAAGTTGAAGCGTATGTCTGTTCCAAAGACGAGTCTCTCTCTGACTTGATCGTGTTTATTCGTGAGACAAGTGACGCCCCTCCCCCACCACTGGCCCTGATATAATAGGGCCGCTGCCTTAGACAGCTGCCTTAGACAACAACAAATGTGCGCAGATATACAAGCTAGAATGTAGTCAACCATGCATGCTGCCAAAGGATATGACGCTGTTTAATGAATTTTGTCATCAGCAGAATAAAGTCACACACTCCCAAGGATCCTTTGATGTAATAATACCAACTTCACAAAAGATACGCAGTACAAGAATAAGTGCACTAACCCAGTTAGGCAACCATACGTCAGTCTAAACAAACTTCACTCTCGACAATTTGACAGCCTCCATGCAACGAAAACATAAGGACCACGAATCCAGCAAAGCACGACTCAGCCCGCAAGATGTCGTCCGTCCAGGGTGGCCAACAAGTAGGAATCATCATCGTCACGTCTCTTGCGACCTTCATCTCAGGTTTCATCCTGGGTGTCTGGTCTATCAATGGCTACATTATCTCACCAGCGGTCCGCGAAGAGCGTCGACGATTCCACGGCGACCCAATCGAAAGCGAGGAAAGCGACATAGACGAAGACGACACTACTTTGGACCATGCCCCGAGCTGGAGCAATGGGATACAGGCGGATCAGAAGCAGGGCCTGAGGGCGAGTGCGCTGGCATCGGCAGCCGAGCCAAAGGTGCTGGGGCAGCCCAACGAGGAATGCAAGCTTGTGCTGGTTGTGCGAACTGATCTGGGCATGACAAAGGGTATGTTCTTGAGATTGAAGTATCGTGTCAAAGGCTAATGAGGTATAGGCAAAATTGCGGCGCAATGCTCCCACGCGACCCTTGCTTGCTACAAGGCTCTCGCTCGTCATCCTGCCAAGTCGCAAGAGGCATCTATACTGTCACGGTGGGAGAGGCTCGGCCAGGCTAAGATCGCTGTCCAGATCAAGTCGGAAGAGGATATGCTCGAGCTGCGACGCAAGGCTCGCAACGCTGGTCTGACAGCTGAGGTGATCCACGATGCTGGGCGCACGCAGATCGAAGCGGGAAGCATGACCGTGCTGGGTGTCGGTCCGGCGCCAAAGAGTGCTGTCGACCAGATCACGAGCCACCTGAAGCTTTTGTAACGGATGACACCAAACACATGTACGACAGACGATAGACGACGACGACAACGCATAGACATAGCAGGGCACCCCAAAAATTACGTATAAATATGAAGCTGCACTCCATGAATGGGTATATTCTAGCATGATCAATTCTACTCTCTCCGTGCGAACCTTGACAAGGCCGGACCGAGATCTTCTTCCTGCTCCTCTCGCTTCTTGTTGTTCTTTGCTTGCTGCTCCTTCCAGATCTCGTCCACCTTCAATCGCTTCTCGTCGATGATGTTCTTCTTCCTCTGCTTCCTCAGATACTTCTTCAAAGCACCATTCTTGCCTCTCGCCCTGTTGCGGATCTCTTCCTCAATGTCTGGCGCCGCCGCGTCGAGATCTTGCTCCGCCTTGCGCTGCTTATTCGATCTCAAGTCCAGATTACCAATGAAGTTGGGGTCCAGCGCGATCATGTCAGGCTGCAACTTGTTCAGAAGGCCCCTGACCTCGGACTCTTGGCGTTGCTTGGCTGTTTCGAATGGGTTGACCTCGAGGGCATCGAAGTTGGCCTCACCAGCGCCAGGCACAATGATGGAGGAGAAGCCCTCATCATGGCCCTGCCCGAGAACATCTTCAAATGGGCACCACTGCACCCGCTCCATCCGTTTGCCCTCTCCGCCGTACGCCATGTAGGGGCTTTGCACCTTTTCTTGGACGGCCTTGTTTTTGTCAAAGAGGCCTCTCCATATCGTTGTCTGGGTGCCCCAGCCGACTGCGGTCAAGCCTGTGTCCGAAATGTCTATCGATTGTGCGGGTTGTCGTGTAAAGTAGCTGTTGACTTCTTTGAACATTCGGATATCCCATACAGCCATCTTCTGGTCCTGTCCTCCGGACACCATATACCGGCCTTCGCGGTCGATAGCGAGAGACCGCACAGGTCCTCGATGCGCGAGCAGCTTGACCAAGGGTTCTGCCGAGTTCGGCGACCAGAGGGTGACTTGTCCATTCTGATGTCCGACGTGCATAATGGCGTTGTACGGGTTCTGGGTGAGCGAAACGGGTTGTCCTAATCGGGTGGGAAGTTCGGCGACGATGTTTCCGGTCGTGACGTCCTGGTACTTCAGCATACCGGTTGTACCCTGCCATTATTACTATATGAGCCACTGATATCCGCGTGTAGCATTTGACTTACCAGAGTCGCCAGAATGAAGTGATACGGAAGGAATTCCATGTGCGTGACTTCCTGGTGCTTCCTCAAGCTGTGGATCTCCACACCATTCTTGTCGTAAATGTAGACATGCTTCTTCTGCGCAACGGCAAAGTACTGATTGTTGTGAAGCCACTTGACGTCGCGCACAGTTTCGCCCAGCTGAAGCTCGCATCCCAACTTGCCGTCACGCCAGTCCATAGTTGCGACATGGCCTTTGCGACCGCCGAGAAGAAGCTCTCTCCCATTCCTCGAATAGTCGAAGACATAGGGACCCAATTGATCAAGCTTGAGCTCGAACTTCTTATGGGCAGTCTCCAGAGCAACATCATCTACAATGTCCTGCTGGCGAACCTTGTACGTCCTTTCGAGCTCGTGCTCTGGCTCAAGGAAACCGCTCGTGTTCTCAAGTAGAATCTCAGCATCTTTCGCCCTGACGTTCGCATTCTGGTATTTTCCCTCCAGATTCTTGAGGTTTCGCCGTAGTTTCTTGTCTTGGATGCTCTTAGTGTTGATCTTCTTGCCGCGACCGTATGCCTTGTTCGCTTCCTTTAGGCGCCGGATCTTTTCGCGCTCCTGTTGAGGCACAAGTTCTTTGCGGAACGTGTCGACAGGCACAGCACTGCTTTGCTGCACTTGTGTTCTTGGTTCGTCAATCGTGTCGACCTCCATTGCTGCTGTTGGTTGGAGTCCGTGGTCGCGTTTGTTGAGCGAGTCGGCGAGTCGCAGATCTTCAGTTTGAGCCGAGAAAAAAAAAATCCCTTATCGGTCTTATCGATTGTCCCGCCACAACCTGAAATTTCTTGATAAACCCCACCATCCTCTTGTCGCAATCACCACTTTCTGGTCGAGGCGTCGTGAAGAAGTCCTAGAGAATTAAAACCATCGTCGAGAGGCTAGAGAGCCGACACCGAGACATTATTCACCCTGGCCTCATTACCATTCCGCTTCAAAGCAGGCGGCGACGGCAAGATGCCAGCCACCGTCTCCCACTCTCACCGACCGACGACCAAGGTGGACCACAAGCCGTTCAAGTCGAAGGCGGCGTCCAAACACGAGTTGCGAGACCGCGCTAAAGGTATGGCATATGTTCAAACATGCGACAAGCACATTGTTCTAACAAAAATCAACAGGCCGGGTTCCCAACGAGAAAGGCTCTCGCAAAACACCCCACCAGCAAGTTATGAACAAGTTCGACCGCCGAAATCAGGCCAAGCAGGCCCGCATTTCTAAGCATAAGGAGCACTTGAAGGAGACTTCGGTATTCTCTGGGAAGGACGGAGCGCCGAGAAATGTGGCTGTCCTGCCTCTCTGTCCCGGCGGCGATGCCAATTTTGCGATTCAGCAACTGAACCAGAGCCTTGACGTCGATTCCAACTCCGAGGACGTTGCGCACCGCGTCACGGTCGATCGTTTTAAGCAAAAATTACAATACATTCCCCTTCAACGGGACTTGAGCGCTTGCCTCGATGCTGCCAAGGTGGCCGACTTTGTTGTCGTCGTTGTCTCAGGCACGGTCGAAGTGGATGAACTGGGCGAGTTGATCCTGCGCAGCGTGGAGAGCCAGGGCATGTCCAACCTTTTCACTGTCGTTCAGGACGTGGACAAGATTGAGCCTGCAAAGCAACGCCAAAGTGTTCTGGCTTCTCTGAAGTCTTTCATTTCACATTTCCACCCGGATCAGGAGAAGCTCTATAACCTTGATAATCGCCAGGAGTGTTCGAACCTCATGCGATCGCTGTGTAGCACCACACCCAAGGGTATCAACTGGAGAGACGAGAGGAGCTGGATGCTCGCGGACTCTGTGCAATTCGGAAGGGGCGTTGACGAATCCACCATCGTGACTGGCTTCGTCAGGGGCCGAGGGCTGAAGGCCGATCGACTCATCCAGGTTGGCGACTGGGGCGCGTACCAAATAGAGAAGATCGTTGCTGCACCTTTACCGAAGCAAATCAAGAGGAAAGGTCAGGAGGTCAAGATGGACGAGCCAGGCGAGGAATTGCTCGAGGAACCTTCTGCAGATCAGGATGATTTGAATGAGCTGGCTCCCGACGATGTGGTCATGGACGCTGATGACGATGGCATGTCAGTTGCCACCATGGCCAAGAAGGGTGTCCTGCTAGACGATCACCATTATTTCTCCGAGAACGAAGAGGAAGAAGGTGGTGTATCGACCAGGAAACTACCCAGGGGTACATCGCGTTACCAATCAGCGTGGTATCTAGACGACGTCTCTGATTCCGGGTCCGATCTGGAGGATATGGATATGGACGACGAGGCAGAAGAGGATGAAAGCGCGCCGGAAGATGGCATTGAAGGCTTTGCTGAGCCTGAGCCCACAGAAGGAGGTCCTTCAGAATACCCGCAGTCGGAAATGATGGATGTTCCCGACGAAGATGAGGATGCAAAACAGTTGCAAAGGTATCGGGCGAGCAAACGTGACGAGGCGGAGGACGACAGGGAGTTCCCCGACGAGGTTGAGCTGCCGCCCAATGTGCTTGCGCGGGAGAGACTCGCTCGGTACCGTGGACTGAAGAGTCTGCGAACAAGCGAATGGGAGGAGAGTGAGGACCGCGCACACGAGCCCGAAGACTGGCGACGGCTGCTTCAGGTCCCCGACTACGGGGCTTCTCGCTCTCGTGCCACTCGCGAGGCACTCGTGGGTGGTGTGGCTCCCGGCACACGAGTCCAAGTCTACATCAAGGGCATCAGTCCTAAAGTCGAGAAGGCGCATGACCCCAGTTCCCCAGTCACCCTCATCTCCCTCCTCAGACACGAGAACAAGAAGACGGTGGTCAACTACCTCTTCAACCTGAGTTCCGACCACACGTCTTCCATCAAGGCCAAGGAGGAACTGATCGTTCAGTGCGGGCCACGTAGGATGGTCGTCAATCCTGTCTTCTCCCATGGTGGCAATACCCCCAACGATGTTCACAAGTACTGCCGCTTCCTGCACCCTGGAGGCTCTTGTGTTGCTTCATTCATGGGGCCAATCACTTGGGGAGCCGTCCCGGTCCTCTTCTTCAAGCGCACTTCCCAAAGTCCCGAGCAAGGGCTCGACAGCGGGCTATCATTGATTGGCACAGGGACGTCGTTGCCCCCTTCGACATCCAGAGTCATTGCCAAGCGGGTGATTCTGACGGGTCACCCCTACCACATCCACAAGAATGTTGTCACCATCCGGTACATGTTCTTCAATCGCGAGGATGTCGAGTGGTTCAAGGCACTCCCCTTGTGGACGAAGAGAGGACGAAGTGGGTTCTTCAAGGAGCCTCTGGGTACTCATGGTTACTTCAAGGCGACGTTTGATGGGCGGATCAACCCTCAAGACTCTGTCGGCATCAGCCTGTATAAGAGGGTATGGCCTCGTCATGCTCGACCTATCAAAGGGTCATTGATGGAGGCAGAAAAAGTTCCACAGCTAGTGCACGATGGAGACATGGAGATGGATGGGTAACTACATAGGTTTATGACCATAACGACATCCCCTTTGTCTCGCTTACAGCGAAATGTGGGCCCAGGAGCAATCGCAAATAGAATCATGTGCTACGGTTGCCATGTTTCAATTACTTGGCGAGCTGTTCGAGACCTTCTGTTGGCTTGGGGCCGCCCTTGCTCTTCCTCTCTTCTTCTGCGCCGCTAGCCCTCCAAGCGCTCAAGATCAAGTTCACAATGTGGTCCACAGCGACATTCTTCTTGACTTGAGCAAAGACGGTTGGGCCGCCTTCGCGCATCTTTCTCGCATCGCGCTCCATAACACCCAAGTCCGCTCCAATGGCCTCTGCAAGATCCGTCTTGTTCACCACCAATAGGTCACTCTGCGTGATGCCTGGGCCTCCTTTGCGAGGAACCTTGTCACCACCAGCCACGTCGATGACATAGATGATAAAGTCGGCCAGCTCACGACTGTAGTTTGCGGCCAGGTTGTCGCCTCCACTTTCGATGAGCAGTATATCTGTGCCGAATTCGCGGTGCAGGTCTTCCAGCGCGGCGAGGTTGGCCGAGATGTCCTCCCGCACGGCAGCGTGGGGGCATCCGCCCGTCTCAATGGCTCGGATTCGGGACGGAGGCAGAGCGGCATTGCGTGTGAGGAATTCGGCATCTTCACGCGTGAAGATATCGTTTGTGACGGCAGCAAGGTTGTATTTCTCGCGCAGGGCAAGGCAGAGGGCAAGCATCAGTGCGGTCTTGCCAGAACCCACAGGCCTGTTGGCTTTGTTAGCGAGCAGCTTTTGTTTCGGTAGGCATCGCCCGTCTTGGAAACTTGCCCGCCAATACCGATAGTGAAGGCCCGGTCAGACCAGTCACGCCCTTCAACTATGGGCATCTCCCGGCCAAGATAGCTCCCCGGTCCGTCAAGAATCTCGTGGGAGTGGCCATGCTCTTGCGCATTGAACCCCGAGGAGTCATGGGTATGCGATGCTCCACCGTCGTGGGAATGGGATTGCGCCATTGCTGGTCTCGTGCTGGTCTCCAGTCTGTGTTGCCTTATCAATGGAGCAAAATACCTTGCAAAGGTTGGAATTCGGTGTCGCGAGCGTCCGGTGGGGGAGGGGCTATTACTGCCGGTGGTGGCGGCACGTGCCAGTTCGGCATTCCACGCAGTCTCGAAGGATGGGGAGAACAACCGAATAATCAAATTCTTGTATAACACAAATGAATCTATCCAAATTCACGAGGCGAGTGGCTATGACCAGCTCCGCAGCGTGAGCTGCTCTTGGCTATAAAACGTACAGTAGTGCACAGATGCTGATACTCATACAAAAACCTTCTGGCCCAACCTCTATTGGGACTTTTCCACCTCAGATACACCAGAGTCCTTCAGAGACACTGCCTTGGTCTGTGCAATGATTTCTCCCAGCTTCTCCAACATCTCATCCGTCAGTTGCGGTTCGCCCTTGGCCTCGTTAAGCGCGTCCCTCCTGATGCGTGCCTCGTCGCTGGGCGTCTGCATCTCCTTGAGTAGCTCGTTGCGTCGGCTCTTCGCAGTCGCCTCGTGCTCCTTCTTGGCAATGTACCAGTCCTCGTGACGAGTTCGGAATTTGGAGTACTTGTTGCGCAGCTCATCCAAGACTGCTGGTGGCATGGGCGGCGAAAGAAGGTTGTAGAAGAACGAGCGGCTCTCAACTTGGCTGCGAACGGTGTCACAATCGTGGGTCCGGTGGTTTGGTGCTTCAACTTCGGGCCAAGGGATGACAATGTTTGCACCTGGGACGAAGCGGTCCCATCGCTTGCCATGGTCCCAGCGTGCGAGAGTCATGTTCTCTGACTTCATGTTCGCCGCAGTGCCCTTCAATTGGTGAATTATCGTGTCCTTCATAACGCCTGTCTCGGGATCCAGAACGGGGTAGACAAGGCGAACGGCATCGATTGGAATAGGCAGAGAACTCAGCGAGGTCATCTCTTGCAGAGCCGATAGATGAGCGGCCTGGATTGGTGAGCTCATGTGCACAACGCTCGCCTACAGAACGTACCTTGTGAATGTTTCGGAGGGTCACTGTCCCAAATGTCGTGTCGATGGTCTCAATGTGGTCAATCCTCCCCTTGTCGACGCCGTCCATGATCACCACCCGATCACCGACAGCCAGGTTCAAGCGTCTGGGGCCTCCCGCCCATGCACAGCGCTTCACGACGAGGTCGCGTTTGGGCGTATGCTGTCCGTCGACGCTGGGATCGAAGTGCACTGTCCTTTGCAGAAGACCGTATCCATTGACGCCGATTTGGCGCCTTGGCGCGATAGGGCCCATTTCCCATCGCTCTTGACGGATCTTTCGGGCGAGCTCCATGTTACTCTTGTGCTCTCGGCTGGCGTCCCTGAGTTCATCCCTGACTTGGATACGCGTTCGAATGCGTTCTCTGTGTTCGCGGAGTTTGGCTCGGCGTACGACCTGCCGTTCGGCCTGGCGTGCCCTTTTGAAGATTTTCTCCATGGCGAGGAGGACAATCGATCAGCCCGATGTCGAGCGCCGTAGTTGTCGGATGTGAAGCGCAGCGTGCGCGTGATGTCGAATTACCTGACGCCTGGGAAATTCTCGAGAAATTCGGGTCACACAGTGTGTAGTGCGAAAAATACCTGCCCGTATTCACACTGTACCTGGAACCTCCACACTCCATGTCCGCAGTACAGTTTGGCCTCGCTGAATACTACATCCTGATTACTGTGCATGCACCACTGCACTGTAGAATATGTCCGCCGCAGCTCACTGATTCGAGTTGTGCAGGTAATGAATGTTCAGGATCCGACTTAGCCTCACGGACAACACGCCTGTTGGGCTGTTAGCAATTCAGGAGGCTGATTCCGATCGATTGGCGCACAATGCTTAATAAACGTTGACCCTGAACATCGACCGAGTTCCAGCTTCGGTCCACATAGTAATGTCAAGGGACAGAGTATTTCACGTGAGTGATCTATCAAGACATTTGTCTAAAGAAGACCAACACTCCTTTAGTATGAGTCAGTTAATTCTAATTTGGTAGATGGTACTTGTCGCAATGGCTGAGGATTAGAGATGTCAAGCGCGGACCTGTGCAGAGTCCTACGAGAATGCCCCATGGGTAGGACTATGTATCTACACGTACGCACCTAATAAAGACACAGGCATGGCGTTTGGGATGGCCAGGCGATACCGCAGCTTGCCGTTACTTTATTAGGGGCTCGGATCTACGGCGGAATTCCTGAAACGTTAAGTAATGAAAGGCCACGAGCCAACGCGGCAGCATCTTGATAAGCTTCCAGCAGTCAGGGCGCAGGTAGAGGTGTTAGCATGTTTGTCACTCGGGGCAGGTGTCAGCGCTCGCTTTGGAGTTTGCGATATGAATATAAGATTTCATATCCAAATAAGCAATGCAATCGCGTTGTCCTTAGATCAATTTGCTTGCTGAGTTTGATGTCTGATGCATCAGGCTTCATTCTTCATTCAATACTACCCAGTAGCGTACGTAACCTTTGTAGGTGCGCGCCTCAATACCGCTCGCCGGATATGTTCAGGCGATTACGAACATTGTGCCATTGGATTCGCGTCAAGTAACAGACACGAACAAGGCCGTTGACATTACCACCGTCGGCACGTTCATCTGCCTAGCCTCAGCCACTCTGAGCGCTACGGTGAGTGCCTCTACCAGCAGTCTAAACTAAACGTCAATGGTGGGTAAGAGCAACTGGGGCTTCCCATTCGCTACCAGCATGGGCTGTGGCCCAGCAACCCGCTGGGAGCACAGGCCGATCCACCGCACCTCAGGCGGCGAACGGCCTCATGGGCCTTAGCCTGGGTGCCGCTAATGTGGCTGACGCATTGCCTCGCTGCCGTCTGGTTTGATGTTTGGGATGCAGGTGGTCCGCCCATCCAGTCAGCTGCGGCCTTCCTGGCCCCAAAACCCCCTTCTGGCTCCAGTTCAAACCTGACTCTGCCTCCATTCATCACCACTTGACGTTGACAGTGATCCATCCTCGGATCTTCTATTCACTGCATCTCCAGCCTTGCCATCTTCACATTCAACGGTCGCTGTTTCAACATCGCCAGCCCATCCTTCGTCTACTCTCCAATCAACAACCCATCTCACACACACAGACAACATGGCCGAGATCCGCCGAAAGCTCGTTATCGTTGGCGATGGTGCCTGCGGTAAAACCTGCTTGTTGATGTGAGTAACCTGTGCATCCCACCCATGGTCCATCGTCGTTTGGATCCCCCGCTGCTCTTGCGACGTTGCGCGTGGCTTTCTGGTGCTAACATGATTCCAGTGTCTTCTCCAAGGGCACATTCCCTGAGGTAAGCCGCCACCGACCGTCACCGAACGATCCCCAAAGCCCCCCTTGTCCCAACAACAAATGCTATCGCCTCCTCTCCAAAGCCCACGAGACCACTTGTCAGCGCCGTGCACGACGGATTTGATATCCTCTTGATGCGACACAGATAGATGCCTGTCCCTTGACGCGATTACCAGACTCGTATGCGATACCGGCCACTGGCATCATGACTGACCGGAAATCACACAGGTCTACGTCCCCACCGTCTTCGAGAACTACGTCGCCGACGTTGAGGTTGATGGAAAGCACGTTGAACTCGCCCTATGGGATACCGCTGGCCAGGAGGACTACGACCGTCTCCGACCTCTCTCCTACCCCGATTCCCACGTTATCCTGATTTGCTTCGCCATCGATTCCCCCGACTCGTTGGACAATGTCCAGGAGAAGGTAAGCAGAACATTCGATCAATCAGCATGTGGCAGTCCCAAGCTTACATTACACAGTGGATTTCCGAAGTCCTGCACTTTTGCCAGGGCCTGCCCATCATCCTCGTTGGCTGCAAGAAGGATTTGCGCTACGACCAGAAGACCATTGAGGAGCTGCGAAAGACCAGCCAGAAGCCGGTCTCCCCTGAAGAGGTAAGTCAGAACATGCAAGGAGCCTTTGGTCAATGCTGACGTATGTAGGGTGAGGAGATCCGCAAGAAGATTGGCGGCTACAAGTACCTCGAGTGCTCTGCCAGAACCAACGAGGGTGTCCGCGAGGTCTTTGAGCACGCCACACGTGCTGCTCTCATGTCCCGCAGCAGCCGTGGTGGCAAGCGCGACAAGAAGTGCCTTGTCTTGTAAGAAGAGTCTCCGGACTCTTGGCACTTGACAGTCTGTTGACGTTGCGCGCGACTAAATATCCATTTCCTCTCGGATGACCTGGGTTCAACGTTCGGGCTTTGTTTAATGGACGTTGGTCCGGTTCTTTACTGAGGAGTTTGATATCGCATTGAGTCTGTGTGCACCCACGCAAGCTCATACCTCATCAACGTCGACTCTTCCAAGCCCGAGGACCTGTCGTCCTGCATATCAACTTATGTTTGGAGCTATGGAGGTGGAGCTATCAGGGGACCATCGCCTTGTAATGTGTCGACAGCTCACCAGGCAAGCGGGTCTTGTTTTTATGTATCTCTTGTGTCGCGTCACTACGGGGGAGGATAGGGCGGACCTCATTTTGGGACATGTGCTTTGTTTTCCTTTTTGCTATGCGTCTCGAGGCCAATATTGCGGTGAATGTGAGCGGCCAGTGTGAGCAAGTGGGAAGAAGGACGAGGGGGACTAGAAGCTTTCAGTCATGGGTATACGCTGCGCTGGTGGTCATGTTGTGATCCGGCCAGGAACACTGAATCAATGTTCTTTTCACCCTTTTCCTGTTCTTTCCCTTGCATTTCAGTCAAACGCGTCCTGTCCTTCTCGGTTTGTCTTTCCGGTCGTCTTTCTCCATCCTTGTTCACGCTTTCTATTAGATCAAAGTAGCGAGGTGCGGCACATGCTGCGTAGGGAGCATTTGGAAACATGTCTACCTTACAATTCTACAATATCCCGGTACACGAAGATCAATGACATGCGAGGCGTCGATCACTGTCTGGACAATGCTCTGGTTCAGATTGCTATCGTAAATGGAATTCAGTTATTGCATCAAGAATCAGTGCCTTCACGAGGCCCCATTCTTTTGTTTCCTCCCTCAGCTCCCGAATTCATTCAGACCGTATCCTCGTTGTGGTCGTATTAGTTGGGGCACGACTGGTTCTTGGTTAGTGCTCCGTCAACTTGTAAGACGGGCAGGGAAAACTCACAGCGCCGCAGCTGCCACAAGTCTTATCGGCACCTTCGATGGTGGCACTGCACTTGGGGCAGGACGTGTGGCTGTTGACGAGGGGCTGCATGTTGATTTGTTTGAGTCTGTTGATGGGCTTATAGCGTGTGTAAGGCAAGGTTGATTTGTTGGTCAAGGTTGTGAATCAGTTTCTAGTGGTACTGTACTGGTGGAGGAGGGGGAAGCGATTCCAGTCCTTCATCACAAGAGTCCTGCTTTCTTGGGAAGCGGGGGTTCGCTGCTACGCCCCCACTCTGGCAGTACCGTGACCGTGACCGTGACCGTGACTTATCACATGAAGTGCCACTCACAGGACCCTGAGACTGTTTACTTGTCAGGCCTGACTCTTGAGGAATGGTTGGCCCCGCTGTGCATGAGACCGAACGCCTTGTGATGTGGGACGCAACGCGGGGAATGATGCTACACGAGGACAATGTGACCCTGGTGCGGATGTGGAAATGCAATTTCCCTTTTTCTAGATTCTATTGGGACAGATATATACATGAAGAGCAGACGCCGTCTTTCCTTGAAGCATGCAGGGACACGGAAAGTGCTATCCAACTCATGATCCTTGCCGATGGCGAAATCGTAATATAGAACTTCTGCTCAGGTACATTTCGCTGGCTCGTCGGTGCCTAACAGATTTGGTCAGTAAAAAGAAGACCAGGATAAGAGGACGGGGCAACCCACCATACAACAACTTATCGACGGCCTGGAATGTGCTGATCACCATGACCGCCGCGCCAAATGCAACGACCCCATACGCTAGGTAGGTGCGCCAATTCCTCGTGGTCAATTTTATGTAACACATGGGCGGCATGACATAGGCCATGGCTACGGCACTTGTTGCGCCAACCAGCTCAAACACCGCGCCCAGATCGCAAGTGAGCAGGCTGATGAGTGTTGCGCCGCCAACAAGACCTGTGCTGAAGAGGACATGGCGCCGCAAGCTGAAGGGGCCGTCAGGGAAAAAATAAGTCTCCATCACTTCGCGGCACACAAAGGCCTCGAGAGGTAAGGTCGTCAGCATGTTCAGACCGAAGCAAAGACGGGCGACGTTGACCATGATGTTGTCGGAAGGGAAGTTGTTCAGGACATTGCCGAGCGTCTTGTCGCCGAACACGAGAAACCCAGCAAGGGCCATGGTGAGACACGCCACCGTCGAGGCTCCTACGGACCAATGCGTGACGCGGGAGAAGTTGTCAATGGTCGGTGTCTTGAGAGAGCCGTAGATAAGTAGCGAGTTGTGATGGCAGACAAAGGCAAAGGAAATGACACCAATAGCCTGGAAGATACCGCCGTTGATCGTCAGGGTCGGCAAGTCAAAATCACCCCTTTCTTCGCTCGGCACCATGACACCCTGCACGAGCACCGTCACCACAATGACGGCCATGCCTATCAAGGCGAGTGTGCTGGCTTTTGCCAGCTTGGCAATGTCCCGGTACAGCGTAAGAGGGTAGCTCACTCCCATGCAAAACACTGCAATGGCTACCCTTCGGTCCGTTAGAATCCCGATAACAGGCACATCTACCATGCCAGGCCAGACGGCCAAAAGCACGTGCGGGATTGTATCGCCAACAATAACGCCAAACGCCACCATGCCGCCAAACGCAAAGACCCATTGCGCCAGGCTGATGGCGATGAGTCCCGGTTTCCCAAAGCAGTATTCGACCGTCCCTTGAAAGTTGCTCGTCCCGCTGAGTTTGCTGTTGATCACGATGAGGCGGATTGTCCAATCAATCAGGATCGTAAGACCGATCAAGAGCAGCGTGCCAGCGAGCAGGCCAGCCTGCCTCATGGCGTACGGTTGCCCGATGATGCCAGCGCCGATAATGGAGTTGGCCATGTTCATGAATGCGCTTTGCATGCCCGATTTTGGTCGTCTCATTTCGGCCTCGAGAGTCTCCGCGTCGTCACCACCGAGTGCATTGGCGATCGCGACGCTCGGCGCCTCCATGTCCGTCAACAGGGGAACCCTGTGATGTTGCTGTTGTCCATCTTCCACGTCGAATTCGCTCGAGAACCTCCCGTCGTCGCTGCCCATGATCTCTGGCGTCAGATCAAAATGGACGCGGTTCGCGGATCGAGGCGGATGGGCGATTTCGTTGCCATCCTTGTCATAGTCGTCTGCGTCGTGTAGCACCCCAAGATCGTTGTCGTTGTCGTCATCGTAGGCATCGCGCGCAAGGAGACCTTGGCCCTCTTCGACGTGGCGCTGCCCTTTGGCGTGGCCATTGGTGGTCGTGGCGGTCATTGCTGAAAGGAGAGAATTAAGTTACAAGGGGAGGGAGCATCTTGCGCCGGGCGTAATTCCCTGTATTTTCGTGTGGCGGCTTTCGTAGTGGCAAGAGAATTCGAATCGCCTGACGATGCAAACAAAAATTGAAGACAAAGCGGTTTCAGGTTCGTCGTGTAGGTTGAAAAATGTTGGTTTGGTACGGTGAGATACCTATGGGACGATTGGAAATTCCATGTCTGACATTGCGGTTCGGCTACTACGTAGTAAAGGGTGCCTCCCTAATGAGGCTTGGCGATTTTAGCGAATTGATGCATGTCGATCTACGGGTACTACCTTACGTATCGATATCTAGTAACTGAAGTCACCTTTAAACGTGGCAGTTCACGTGAACTTGGGCGCTGACGCAAAGTCAACACAAGATTCCAGAAGCATATTTCCATGTCTGCGAACTTTGCTCAGAGCCAATCCCTGATTCTTTAGTACAGGCAGATTTATCGGCCTCCAAAGTCAGAGTGGTTCGCAGCCCTGGCATTGCCACTCCCTGCGACCCATGCTGTCGTGAAAAAGCCTGTCCTCAAACATGCAATACTCGATCCCATATTTACATTTTTGCACGATCTTGATCATCTACTATGATTATACTAATATCGTTAAACAGTTGGCGCGCGAAAGCGCCAGAAGAGCGTGCTGTGCTTTGCTATGCGTGTTGTTGCCTGACTGACCACTGGGTATCATGATCTCCTTGATCCGTATACGCGAAACCCTCATCCAGCTAGTATAAACAATTATCGAGATTCCCAACGTATGTGCCCTCACTATTGCCAAAGTACTTCCGCAATCTAAAACATTAAAATGAGTGTGTATGTGCTCTAAATATGACTCTAGACGAGCAGAGCAAAAGCAGACGCTATGCAGAGAAAAGTTGCGAGTTTGACGCTCGCTATGTTGGTGGGCGACCCGTTCCCAGGACCGTCGTCTTCGTTGTCTCCGTGGTCTCCTTTGTCTCCGGACTCTTGACTGCTCGCGCTCGTGGTTGGCGCACTGCTTTCCTCAGTATCGCTGGACGTTTCCACCCGCATGGTTTGCTCTTGACCGCCGAGCCCCAAGCTGGGCTTTGATGTGATCGTCGCGGTCATGGTCATCGAAACTGTGTCACTCGTGCTGACGACAGTAGTCATTGTTGATGGCGCGACCGAGGTGCTTGACGATTGTTCATCTTCCGACGCTTCGTCGACGTGCGCAGCAAACCCTGTAGACTATGTTAGCATCCAACCATTCGAATGAGTTGTGGCAACTTACCAATGCGTCTCTGCTCCTTGTCAAAGACGGTATACACGTTCTTGATGAACGCTGCACCGAGGAGCCACGCACCCTTCACAACCTCCTGCCCGTATATATTACTAGTGCACTCGCCTTTGTCATTCTTGGGGGAAATCCAGTCCTTGGGCGAAACCTCGTAGTCAACCCCAGAGAAGGTGAATGTCAAAGTCTTATCACTGTCGCACGGGACTTTGTACGCCATGCCATCTGAGCTTTTGGCACCAGGAATGACGCTGTGGAAAGACTTGACCAGCTGCTTAGGCCCGAAAATGTAGGTAGTCCCCGTGTCGATGTAAGCGAGCACATCGCCAGCGCCACTCGACTTGCCGTCGTAGGCCGTGTCGTCAAGTTTGATGGCCCAATCGTTGTTCGCGGAGGCAGTGTCGGTGTACGAAATGTCACCCTGATATTTGGTTTTGTCGGCTG